AATGGAGCTCTCACAAGGCAAGCAATGGGACATGCCGGCGCAGGATACGCCGTCGCCGGGCAGAGGGGAGAGCAGAAGACTGAGGAGCCACTGCGGCATCCTGCCCGGGAGTCGAGCCCACTGAGAGGTCTGAAGCTTAAGCTATGCAGACGGGCGATCTTGCCGCCCTTTCTCCCGCTCCCGAGGGAGACGCGGCTTCCAACACCCGCTTCCATAGCAGCAGCAGCCGCCGCCGAGGAAAAACTCCGGAGGGGGGCAAGCCAGAACACCCTCCCTGCCCCTCGGGATCCCGCGGTGGTTTAAACTATTGCCGCCCGGCCGAGAAGTACGGAACTTCAAAGTCTGTTCGTTTCAACCGGGAGTGAACCCGCGAACAGAACCGATCGGACCGAGTCAAGTTATCTCAACGATGGCGTAGAGACTTCACTTTGAAACCAAGCCCGATGCTTTTAGGAGCATTAGACCTCCCTTCTTTCCCTCAGGAAAGAAGCCAGTGCCTGAATTCCATTTGAAACAGAGACTTTAAATCTGCTACATATGCGTGTGTATGTGGATAAACTACACATATACACAGAGTAGGATAATTCTCTAAAGCTTTAGTAAAACAGCCTTTTCTAAAGGGCAACCTGTCGTTCTATTGTTTAATGGAAACTTTTTTTCTTCTTTCCTGTCAGTTTTTGGATGTGCTTTAGATTGTAAAGCACTCTGAATTTAAGGATGGGTTGAAGTATAAAATACAGGTGGTCCTCGATTTATGACCACAATTGAACCCAACATTTTGGTTGCTAAGCAAGACAGTTGTTAAATGAGTTGTGCCCCATTGTATGACGTTTTTTGCCAAGTTATTAAGTGAATCACTGCAGCTGTTAAGTTAGTAACACGCTTCTTAAGGGAATCTGGCTTCCCCATTGACTTTGCTTGTCAGAAGGTCGCAAAACGGTAAATTACTTACACCCTCGGGCACTCAACCATCATAAATATGAACCAGTGGCCAAGCATCCAAATTTTGATTACGTGACCATGAGTATGCTGCAACAGTCGTAATTGTGAAAAATGGTCATAAGTTGCTTTTTTCAATACTGTTTGTAACTTTGAAGTGTCACTAAACAAATAATTGTAAATCAAGGACTACCTGTATCAGGATTATAAACTAGAAAGAATTATAAAACAAATACATTATTTATGTCAGATAGACTGCTGATTTATTTTAAAAAATCAGGCTAAATACTCTTCATAGTTTGAGAAACAATTCCTGTCAAATCCTGCAGCCACTAATATAATATAATTGGATATCTGACAATATTCATGCTCTAGACATACTCCTCAATGTAATGGCTGGATTGCAAAGGCTACATGACTGTAGGATATAACAAAATGCTTGTAAGCACAAAAGACATTCCATCCTGCATTTTCAACAAACACAACTAAGAGAAATTCTTCAAGAAAATCTGCCAACATGGCTACCTCTTCCAGTTAAGGCAACAGGCCAAATTTTTAACATAAAAGAGCTCTTTACACCATTATACAGATTTTGCAGTACTGACTGATACCAGCATGCACAATCCTACAAAAAATCCAATTTTTGACAAAAGCTCTAATTTGACAGATGAGCTTTCAGCATACTACTGCAACTGCTACACATATTTTTCCAAGGATTCAATTTTTTAACATCAATTCAAATCTTGAATTGTCAATTAGACTAAAACTTTGTTTATAAACACAAGAACTATCATATTTTGAATTTAACAATGTGTGAATATTAGTATTTTGTAAATACATGTTTTCTATTTTTTGTTATATGCTAGAGTTGCACAAGCCAAAATTATTAAATACTGTAAAAATAACATCTGATTTTAATACCTGTAGTCATAAAAAAGCTTAAAACGGGAACAATGCCAATCAAATAGATGGCATATGCCATCTTTTAAACAGCTGTGTTTTCATAACTTTTTGAAAGATGACTGAAATAGGGGATTATTTGTTGTACTATTGACTTAAATAAGAATCTGTAAGAGATCCTTCCAAGGAACTTCTAGAATTACATACTGAACAGATGAGCATTACCAAAGGTAATATAATATCACATAAACGTGTTCCTCAGTAATATTTACTCTCTTATTCATTTTTCTCTTAGACAACCTCTGTGAGCAAAACTGATCAAAACAGATCAGCAAAACTGATCTGTGTATGTATATACCTCTGTGTGCGCACACATACACACACATACACACACACATATATACAATTATAAAATACAAAACATTCTCAGAAACTTTATAGAATATTTCAGCTTGGTCTCTGGTGTCTACCTTAAAAATCTTCTAGTAACCAGATTAAAAAAGACTTTGCAAACAATAGAGGGTTGTTAGTTCCTTTTCTAGACCATCAATCCATGCATAATTGAAACCAACATATATACTGTATGTATTTCCTGTGAAGTATTTTCTTTCTGCCAGCTTTCCTTTCCATTTCTTATCACTTTCAGAAACAGCATTATCTTACAATCTATAATACATATAGTCCTTGATTTACAACAGTTCATTTAGTGGCCATTCAAAGTTTGGAACTGAAACTGAAAGAAGTGACCTATGATCAGTTTTCACACTTATGACCATTGCAGCATCCCCCACAATCACATGATCCAAATTCAGACACTTGGCAACTGATTCATGACAGTTATAGTGTTTCAGGGTCAGTGATCACCTTTTGTGACCTTTTGACAAGGAATAGCAATAGAGAAACCAGATTCACTTAACAACTGCAGTGATTCACTTAACAATTGTGGCAAGAAAGGTTGTAAAATGGGGGCAAAATTCACTTAACAATGGTCTTAGCAACAGAAATGTAAGAGTCAATTGTTGTCATAATTCAGAGACTATCTGTACTGTATGCAAAGAAATAATAGATCTGAGAAGGTAGGAAAGCTACCATGTACTCAGACTTACACTTGGGAAGTCATTGTAATGCCTAATCAGGCAATGAGGTTTTCAATATAAAAAAAAGTGAGGGACGGGGATCTCCGAATGTATTGCAGTAGGAAATGGAGCACCTATTGCAATACTCTTAAGCAGTTATGTGTCTTCCTGGCATTGCATGTAACTGCTTTAAGATGTTCCAAAGAGGTGGTGTGTTTGGTTTTCAAAGAACCTTTTGGAGTGGAATCGGAAGTATTATACATAAGTGGCATAAGAATTCCGACACTGAAAGCAATTTCTGCTTACATTTCTGTCTATTCATTATTAGACTCTGAAACAAAGGTAGGTGGCCAAGGAAGGTAGCATAGTAATTGAACTAAATTGATAGCCAATAATTTAGTTTCATAATATTTGAAGGGATTAACTTCTAGGTAAGTCTGTATTGAGCTGCAACTATAAATTTAGGATACTTTTGGAAGCTGTAGTCCATATCCACTCAAAGTATTGAGTATTCCTATTGTTTACAAGAGGCTTAACTATAGATTTCTCATCCAATTTTTTGAGGCATATTGAATATAAACTAACCATACCAGTTAGTTCTACAGAATATGATGGATTATATTGTTGATTGCTTTGTGACTCAGTGTAGTTAGTGTACAGTAATTTACCTCTAAAAGATAAAATTGTGAAGTTATCTAGCTGATCTTAGCTGGATTAAAAATCTAAGCAAGATTAGGCCTGCTCAATACTTGGATAGGAGAGCTCCAGGAAATATCAGGACTAGCCTAACTGGGAAACCAAGCAATGGCAAACCACTTATTATTGCAAAAATAATAAATCCCAATAATATAGAAGTACCCATGAATTCACCAGAAATCAATCCTGACCAGAGAATCATTTATACACCACTTCTAACTCATTCAACTAACCATAGTTGAACAAAATGGCTTACTTCATGTGGAAAACTGTCAAGAACTGAATGATTTAAGAGGGTTATGACAGAATTTAGTACAGAAATGTTAGATTTAATTTGCAATTATCTAAACTAATATTAATGTTGAAAAACTGAAGGCATGCTTCATAAAGTATTTTTACAATCAAGGAGGCCACGCGCATATTGTTACTATGAAGGCTTTCCATGAGGGGATAATTTGCACAGGATAACTGAACTGCACAGCTGTTGGATGCCCAACTTGTTTCCATTGTTTTATCTTAAACCCAAAGGTTTAAAATTTTGGAAATGGGGGGGGGGAATATATTTTTCTTTGTTTACAAGGGGTAGTGTAGCTGATCTCGACTGATCCCAAAGATGTTAAGCAGGTTGAGATTCGGAAGTTTAAAAAAACATCTCGGAAAAAAGCAGCGGCAATCATTTCCGGACTAGAAAACAGAGACGCATCCAGGAAGTTTACCTGGAGTCAAGCTTAGTTAAAGTTTTGGGATCAGCCCAACTATTATGCGGGGCTAGACAGAGTGAAGTCCTTTCCCACAAAGAACCTCAATAAATATATCTTATATAGGAAAGGGACCTGAGCCGGTAATAATTGATCGTCAATTGTGTTCTGCAAGGGTGATACTTTTGCGCAGCATCTGTCATGATAAGTGAGATGGGACTACTGGATCACTCAGAAAACCTGCCTCCCCTCGACCGGATAATGGTTGGATGCAATCTTTTCCCGAGGAGCGAAGGGACAGGAGGTCCATCCTTTTTGTCCGCCCCGCCCGTAGTGTAATGGCCGTTCCGCACCTCAATCTTCTCGCCGATGCAAGTCGCCATGGTGAAGGCGATGCTCTCACTCCGTCGTGTAATCCGTTACCGCTATCGCATGACCGCCTAGTCTGCGTCCTTGTCCTACGGTTGTCGGTCCAGAGGCCTGTCCTTCCCCGCTATGGGGGTCGGGGAGAAACTCCCTCCTTGCGGGGCTCCATTTTGAAAAATCCCGCCGTTGCAAACTTCGCCCAGAAAGGCTACGTCTGACGTCACACGTCATTTCCTCTCTCTGGTTCCTTGAGAGGAGCGCGTGCGCCCTGGACTGTTTATGATCGTCAAGAAAGAGGTACAAAAGCGCACGCGCAGGAGGCGGGTAATCATTTTTGCTGAAGCGGGGCGGCAGACTTTATAGCCTGGGGAGCTAATTATGTTACAAATAAAAGGGCTATATTCATACAACACATCTACTCCTAGTTTACGTAGTGGTCCCAATTTATTAGGTTTATCCAACGCGCTAAACCATAAGATAAGAATGGAATTGTTGGCTGAGAATGGAATTGTTTGCGACTAAAAAGTGATGAGTTTGTGGTTTTGTGTGCTGAGCAAACGCAGCCAAAATATATTAGGTGGCTATTCAACTATTTCGTTCAGGGGCCGTCCAAATACTGGAAGGAAACTTATAAGCATACATTGAAGGCTTCTTTCATTATTTCTGTGCTCCCCCTATCTTCAGTCTACAAACTTCTTGTGTCAAGCCAAGGTACGTTGAACTATACTATATAAACATGCTAATCCAGAAATTTTTACTTTTTCTATTAATCCCACCCAGTCTAAGATTAATCTATCTCAGCTGTGTGCTATAAGGATAAAATTGTAGAATTTAGGCTTCCAGACATTGTAGCTTTGTCAACAATTATTAATTGGAATATAGAATTCTTTATTGGTCAAGTGTAATTGGACACACAAGGAATTGTCTTTGGTGTATATGCTCCCAGTGTACATAAGGAGAATAAAATACATTCATCAAGAATAAAAAGATGCAACACTTCCTGATAGTCAAGGTTACTAATAAGCTATCAAATTGTACTAGGAAACATAAAAACAATATAAATTGAAAGATACAAGCAACATGGTTATAGTAATAAGTGGGAAAAGATAGATACTAGTAAAGGAAGAGAAGAATAATAGTAATATAGTCTTAGTAAATTATTTGAGAATTAGTTGGGAATTAGTTGTTAAGCAGAGTGATGACATTCGGGGGAAAAACTGTCCTTATGTTTAGTTGTTCTGGTGTGCAGTGCCCTATAGCTTCGTTTTGAGGGTAGAAGTTGAAACAATTTATGTCCAGGATGTGAGGGGTATGTCTGACTCCAACCTGGCTCTTATAGCCTGCTATTCCAGTGTTTGCTTGACTGGTTTTTTTCAACAAAAGGCACAATTGGCTGGCTTTGCATAACACATTAAGCCATACCATATTCTGAACTTATCCACACAGCCACTTTGCTATACTATCTTGGAGTTGGGAGAAAAATGTCAGTATATATAATGCTGCCACAACAGGGTGGCTGTGACATGAATCTGGAATAGGAGCTATGCTGTGGAGAGGGCCTTACATGTTCTCTGTGCAACCCTTGTAAAAACAGCGAAGAGTAATTTTCTTGGCTGAAATTCAAGCATTACCAATTGCTAAAAAAACGTCTTTCACTTGCAATAATGAGGATGAGGCATGTAAGACTCGTGCCTGGGTCCAGTTCATTTTTTGCCAATTGCCTCTTAGGTAATTAGGATTGTCAACCTAATGACCAGTAGATAGTGATCAGTATAAAGGATAGCTGGATTTCTGTAACTTACGTGCAGTTGCTGCAGAAGTGTTCTTGGAGCCAGTTCAAGAAAAAGGTGGTGCTTGTATATGTGAGAAGTGTGAAGGTAAAGGTTTTCTCTGTCCAGTTCTGTCCGACTCTAGCAGGCAGTGCTCATCTCCGTTTCTTAGGAAGCCTTCCTGTAAGCTTTGCATTACACCAGGGCTCAATAGAGGATTCATATCCTATTACTGTGATTGATCATATGTTACATTAAACTATTCTGTGAATTGATTTTTTTTCTTACTACAGTGGGTGAATTTGGCTATTGTGACATATCTTGACATGGGTTAACCCAGTGAGTTGCAACATAAGCCATAAACCTTTAAATGAAGCATGCTTTAGTGTGAATCCTATCAACAATTAAAAGAGTTTTTAAAAATACCATTAATCTAGTAAAACAGCTTTGAATCAATTAACAATGAAGCCTTTAGAATAATATAATATAGGCAGTATATACACTTGCCAAGACAAAGTTGTAGTAGTAGTGAATGCATAGGTATACATCAGAGTTGAAATATTGGAATCTTGGTGTTTGTCACAATTAGATTTCTTTTTGGAAACATTTCACTACGAAACTACCGTAGTATCATCAGTACTTCAACATAGGGGAGTAGGATTTTCTGGTGTGGGGGGGGGTGGGTGGGAATCAAGAAATAGGAATTATGCAAGATAAAACAATATAGCCAACCAAGGCCAATCATAAACACAAACTATCAAGACAAGTAGGACAAGCTTCAACATATAAAAAGCTAGCAAACCCACTTCTTTATGTCAAAGTACTGTTAACTTAGGTTGGTAATGAACTTACTGCAAGAAAACTAAAATTCTTACATAAGGGTAGGACTTTGCAGCTTGATCCATGCAATTTTCTTAGCACTCATAGGAAAGTATTAGATCTAGATTCCCTTATAGATCGCCCTATTAAGTCAGTCCTGCCTGGCCATCTTGATTCACTTTCAAGATTAGCTATATGCTGCCACACACATTGCAATTAATTACTGTTCTGCAATAATTTCACCTGCATTTGTGCTTTATTTTTAATGGCATAGCTATTGCATGTTACACCGTTTTCTATTGGATTTGGAAGTTCTTGTCATTTTGTTATAAAGGATAAAAGTTACCAAGATAAATGGTATGATTTGAATCTTGCATGTTGAATATTTTGTGATGAAACATTCTACAGCTTATAAAGAAAATTTAAATAGCTCATCATTGTTCTTGAATAAGATATACTCAAACTTATGGTTTTCCAACATAGAGTGGCAACTGAAATTTAATTTGGATCTATTCTCTACTATTTTATTTTATCATGACTTAAAATATATACATTTAAAATAGATTACCTTTTATATTTCAGATCAAAACATTCATGATTATATAAGGTTTATAAATTCTTTCTCTTCTACTGTATATTAACAGACTATAATTAAAAATTATTGTTACTAAATAAATTTTACGGTTATTATGGATTTTTTATTGTTCATGGTTTTATTGGTTTTTAATGTTAGTTAAGCTGCCCAGAGTCACCTCAAAGTGAGATAGGTAGCAATATTGCTTAACGCATTGTAAGCCGCCCTGAGTCTTCAGAGAAGGGCAGCATATAAATCAAATTTAAAAATAAATAAATAAATAAATCTAAATAAATCTAAATAAATAAATAATATAGATAATGCTGTAATAACTTCTTAGATTTCAGGAGAAAGTCTAATTGTGTGGATAATGGATAAAACATTTTAAATGTTTACATTTTTTTTAGCCTATGAAGAACTCAAGTCATCCTAAATTTTAGAATATTACTTCATCACAGATATACAATTGAGAATAAATCATAATTGTAGAACAGTGAAACCAACAGCAATAAAGAAGTCTTATGTAACAATTAGTTGAAGTTTAAGAAGTAAATTTAAATATTTATTAAAAATATATTACATACAATCTAGCAATTTGTATTGCTACTTAGAAGTCAATTGACATATTTGTCAATTTGTGCATGTCACTATGAAAGAGTCTATCTGTTCACATATATAGGAAACATTTTGTAACACTGCTATAGATTTATGCAAGTTGAGGACACTTTGCTACATAATACAAAAGTTTGCTGAACTAATCACTTTCACAATGGCAGGTGAGTTCAGTTCAGCTTCTTGCTAATACTTAAGTGTTTCTTTCAAATGGAGTGTTTAAGTGCCTCCCCCTCCCCCAAGTCTGTGTTGAGTACCATCATGAGACTTATGTCCATGTAGATCATACTTTTAAAAAACAGTACATCATGAAATGGGTATAAACTAAGTATGAATTCACTTTCCGTAGTTCAGACTTAAATTATTAAAATGTTTTCTTTCTAATTAGCCATTGTAATTTAGCAAATTTATACCCTCCATAATATGCAAATGGCAGCTGAGATCCCAGTTCCATCCAAGCTGCTCTGAAAAATTTTTCCTTATTAAGTCTGACAATAGAAGAACCTTTAAGGCATGTATAATGTTTTGGTTGTGTATAAGAGAGAAAAAAGCAAGTTTCTAATTGTCCTCTAGGAGCCCTGGCCATTCATGCTTCTCTCTTTCTCTACAATAAACTTCATTATATTTTCACAAAAATATTTTGAGTTTTAGTCCAATTTAGTTTGAGGATAGTTTGAAAAGTTCATTAAAATGGATTGTATTTTCCAAGAAATTATTTTAGAAAGAAATTAGTGTATTACTATAATTAGGTAGACAAGGCATTAAATATAATTTGATACTATGTGAAGGGGGAAATGGGAGGAAGTTAGGGATGTCTAAATAGCTAAACAGTGGGAGCTGATCAAAATTAGCTAATGTAATTAAGTTTATTAATCAATTTTCTATTGTAAGACAACTGGTCACATAGGAATAAAACCAGGTAGTATCAAAACTATTTTTGTAAAACTAAATTGCCCATGTTCATATATACCAATATCAGGATTGAGAAAAGAGTAGAATTAATTCCACAGGTGAAACATTAGCCAATCATTGGCAGGTTTAGCATCTCCTGGAATTCTTATGTAATAGTAGATAGAATCCAATAAGGTTTTGCAAGATGGTTTTGTTCCTGGCTAAGAATGTGTATTCAGAATAGTATCCCTTAATAAATCATAGTTAACAAATTTATCCTTGGTTAAGTTTAACACAGTGTAAGACAAGAAAACCAGTTTTCGAAACCTGGTGGGGAAACAAGCCATATGAAACTGCGAAGCACTTGCACAAAGTATTCCTTTAGGATTTCCTTACGCTCATAAGCATTTTTCATTAACATCTATTATTGTAAGGACAACTATTTTTTCTACACTGGAAGTGCCATAGACTGCAACTTTTTCATGTCATTGGTATTTAACTTCATTTTACATGTCTCTGTTTATGTCATATCTATCCTTGTAAGGCTAGTACTTCACGCAACTAATGAAAAGGATTCCATCCCATAAAAAGCTTGTCATTACAGGTTACATATTCTTTTGTATTTCGCAAACTTTTTGGAATTTATTTTCCTTTATTTACTCTTTAAGTTAGTATTTGAGCAACTTTTTCTTATATATGCTCATAAGAGGACAATTTTTTCAATATAGAATGTTCTGTACACTTTTTATATACTATTGTGCTTTTTTGTATTAATATCCCATCACATATTTTTATACTGCACTTTAAATTAATTCTCCAGTCTAATGTCAAGTGAGTATTTAAACAGAAAGATGACATACTTCTTTCCCTTTCATGATCCATCAAAAATCCATCAACTAAAACATAGCTAATAGTGGAAAGAATAAATCATTATATAGACGCATAATACCCTAAACTAGAAGGTTTAAAATAAATCATAAAATGTAGACCTGTTATTGTACCATACACTGAATTAATATACAATAACATAAACATATATTCAAAATTTACCACAGGCTTACATAGGTAAAGACTATATACGTGAAAAGGCTTCTATAATTACTGCTTGTACAAAATTGATTGCATAAACAGTAGAAATATAAGACAAAATAATATAAAATGTGCTTAATGCTTTATGTAGTGGGTTCTCCTTAGTAAACTATCCTCGGTTATTTATGCTATATTCCAAAGCAATTTGGTTATAATCGATTGGCTGGCATGATAGGCTGGCTGAACAGTAGTTGGCAAATGTTTTTGTGTCACTCTTCTTTTAATCAATTGGGACAGATGGGAAAGCAGTGTCTACCATACTCCACCAATATGAATATGATATACTAAAACACATGCTATACTCAGAAAAAGAACATATTCCAGTAATTCCTCTTTAGGACAAAATAATTTGTCTCTGGTTGCTGAAGAACAAACTTTTTTTTTTGGCAGCAGCAGAAAATTGATTTCTTCAGTTAAATCTAAAATTTAATAATTTAGCAAATCAATTTATATGTGGAATAAAAAGAACAGAAATCTGATTTACAAGATTTTTGCAAAAGCATACATACATTGTATGTTATAATTTTTCAGCCAAAAACTGGAATGAGCAATGAAGGATTCTCAGTCTCCACATGATTACTTTGATTAAAAAATTGCTAAGTGATATTAGCATGTTTTAAGATTGTTTTTTAGATTCATCTGTACTGATATTAAGCTTAAATGTTAGTAGCTTGTTTTATCTATTTGTTAAAGATATATCAAATGATATTCTGCAAATGCTTGGGACAATTACCAAAAATGATTACTAGTATGAACTTTCAGTAAGCACAGTCTCTAACCAAGAATATTATTTTTGCCAAGTAAAAAAAAATAAGGAATACTGTGTAAGTAATATTAATTGATGACAATATATTATGTGTGTAGTTTTTACGTTTAATTCCAAGAAGGGCATTTTGTAAAAACAGTCAAAGGCAGCATTCTGAATAAACCGAAGCCAGTTAAGTCAGAGGTATTTAAGAGAAATGAAAGCATGTGTGTCTCGTTACAGTCTTCCAATTCCATACTATTACAGCTTTAAGAGCATCTCAGCATCAACACAAAATATGATACAGGACCGTGTGAACACGGGGACCACAAGTTTTATTTTAAATCTTGTTACTAGTTTGCTGACAAAGAATGCTGCTGGTGTAAGGTCCTTTCAAGCTTTGGATATTGATCAACAAAATTCTTACAGGTTTTTGTGTTACATCAACAAGCTGAACTAGTTTGCCAACTAATCTCTATTTTAATATTTATATTAGAACAATACAACAATTAAAAAAAAGGTCAGTGCTTCTTGTGGCAATGTTCAAGCCATGTCAAACTGAATATTTTCTAAAATGAAGATGCAAAAATCTACACTTCAGCATCGAAAGTGCAATACAGTGGTCTTTCATAAATAAAGGAGCAGTGGCTTACAATAAAAGCTTTGAATAAGGTAGATTGTTGTCATTTATGTATCAATTCTGCCTCTTTGATATAAAATATATCATAAAAGCTTAAACTGATTACAATCTATATTCAACTAAAGCTTCACAATAAGCTTAATGGAATGAACAATGAGAATGTACTCAATAGAAAAACACTTTCAAACCTAATGAAAAGAATAAAGGACAGAAAGTTTTTTAAATAACTGAACATATGTAGTGTGAATTAAGAAAAAAAGGACCCTCTGATTACTTGCACTGTTTTTAATGAACTCAAAGAATTGTAAAACTTAGTCCATGTCCATTTCTTCAGATGATTTAGGCTGCTGGCAATTATCGTCTAATTTAGTATCAGAGCTGCTTTGTCCATTCATTGGCCTGTTTTGTTCACTATTAGATTTTCCTTGATCTTTAGACAGTGGTTCTGCTTTGGACTTAGGTTTGTAAATAATTGGATTACATAAATTGTCCAGTTCCTATTAGGAAAAAATAATTATAATTACCATGCAAATAACACAATGGGCTATGAAATTTATTACAATGTAAAATACAAGAAATAAGCTTAGCAATAAATTTATAAAATTGCCCATAATTAAATATTAAACAACATGATAGCATACAAGTCAACATAAGTAGTCTCTAATAAACTTCCTTACATGTTTTTAAATTTTGAAAATAGAGGGATTTTTTACTGTTTTTTCTTCCAGCAGCAAAAGCACATAGATGAATAATTTTAGCTTTAATAGATTAATAATAGAAACCTCTTCATCAATGGAATAAAAAAACTCATGGATCAAACCATATTCTCCTGATTTAAATATACTTGGTATATGCTAACATCTGAATTTAACACTTGAGAGGGATAGCGGTTAAAATGCTGGCCTACAAATCAGGATAGTGTAAGTTCTAGGCCTCCCTTAGGCATGCAAGCCAGCTGGATAATTTGGAGCAGTCTCTCAGCCTAACCCACCTCATAGGGTTGTTGTGGGGGAAAACGGGAGGCAGGAGAATAAGATACATTCATGGCCTATAGGCCTATATAAAAAGGTAGGACAACTTCATCACGTAGAGAACCTTGCTTACATATGAACAGGTATAGCAGATTGACCTACGCCATATGCATTTCTATGGAAACTTAAGAAATATCTATTTGTTGTAGTTCTCTTTTGCCAAAATATATTTGTGTCCTGATATCATTTGAAATACGAAGCTATTCTTAGGCTAATTCCTCCTATTTTTCCATTAGAATAATTCAATCCCAAAGTTAATTTACCTTAGATTTTGCTTTTATTTCTGCCACCGTAATAATAGGATCCTGTGTCAAATTCAGTCTGTGCTGTATATGCATCTTTGAGCTCAACCAGTTCATAGCTTCACTGGCATATTTTTCAACCTTTTCCATATCAACAGGATCAATGTGATCATATTTTTTATCCTACAGAGAAAATATTTAAAAATATTCAACAAATAATAAACAATAGGTTTATCCCATAATGGATTATACAAGAGTTGATTTCATAATGATTTGTTACTTGAACAAAAACATTTGGTTAAAGATAATTATAAATTTAAAGGAATTTGAAAATACAGCCTTATTTATTACAGCCTTTGGCTTTAGAAATTCCTGTTCCAAGTGGAGCTGGAGTATTGGTATCATAAGCCCAAATTATCTTATATATCTAATTTTGAAAATTAGATTTCAATTTTATATACATTTTTTGAAAGTGTCCATATAATGTAATTATTTATGAATAATTATTATTAAAAACACATATACTGCCCTACCTTTTTTTCGTATTCTTCTAGAGCTTTCATAAGCGTCTGGAGTTTATTTTCTAAATCAAATAAAGCTTTTGGTCTTTCTTCGTATTCCTTATATCTATCATGAATAGGGCCACCAAATTTCTAGAAATAGAGGAAATATATTGTAGAAGTACTCATTAAAATGTAGAAAAAATATACATGAAGATAAAATCTTTTTAATAATTGATCAGAACTACTTATAAATGACTAATCACCATATGAAAGAAACCAAGGAAATAGATCACATATGACAGCCAACAAGCCTATATCTTAATTGTGTGGGAATTCTAGAATAGGTAGTTGAGTTCCTTGCTTAAAATAGGAAATCCAGTGCTTTTTTCTTACATTTTCCACTATCGACTATAGTTTGGAATAGCTGCCATTCCAATCCGCTGGTAGAAAGGCAGGATACAAATGAAACGAACACAATAAAAGATCTAAAAAGTATCTGAGGCTTGGCAAGAAATCTAATGCTCAAGCAGACTGTAAGGTGGGATCATGATAATGGATCCATCAAGTAAAGTATTTTTGAGGAAGCCAAAGCTTTGGCTTCCTCAAAAATAATTTACTTGATGGAACCATGACAGAATAAAACCTATAACATCTGTCAAAAGCTCACTATTTTTAAAGTAGACATCTCTATTTTAAACATTGTCTATAGAACTGGAATTTCTAATAAAGTCACATCAGTGGCTTCATGTTCTTAGAACGTTGAAATTGTATCTGTAGGTTTGAGATTAAGATTGATCCATCAAAAATGTATTTAGGGTGTACAGAACTCTTCGAAGAATGTATTTGAAAGGATGGACATCATTTTTTTTGTGCTGGAGGTATTAAAAAATTGACCCCTATCCATATGATGTAGTCATGCAATCATTTGACATCTTTTTGGAACTGTGATTAGATTTATGGGGAAATTTTACTATTTAAAATATCTTTAATACTTTACATGTTAATGTAAACTTGAATTATGTACCAAAGCTTTGGAATTTGACTTTATAAGGAACTGTGACTGGGTTGAGCATGAGTGTCTGTGTATGTGTGTGTGTGTGTGTGTGCGTGTGTGCATGCGTATGTGTGTGTGTCAAAAATAATTAAAAAAATAGAAAAGTGGTATTATTCCAGATGTCAAGGAATGACAGTCATAAATGTGTGATGTTTTGTAAAAGATATTTTATACTAATTAACGAATGCAGCAATGTGTAAATGACAGAGATTCCCTGATATTTTACAATATCTTGTTTATAATATAGGAGTGAATTGATAAATCAGTCTCTCTCTCTCTCTCTCCATTGGAATGCTGAAAATGTTAAGGTTACAATTTTGATGATGTAATTGAACAAATGACATAGCAATATGCTAAGCTTATTGAATGGCTATATGACCTGCTTAAACCTGTGTGAAGAACCGAATGATTGGAAGAACTGTTACTGTTCCCTATACAAGTGCAGTCTGCAAAACTATGGGTTTGTTTTGAGAAATTAATCTTTGTTGGAAGAAAAAATGACTGTTGTATAACACCATGTTTTTTTACTCTTTGATACATGGAAATGCAAGTAACTTCAAAATGTTTGTGCTATGATAAGGATAGAGGCTTGATAATTAATGTGGATTGAGTTCAAATGTGAGTGATTAGAATTGAAGAAATATATTAAGGTGGTAGTTTCATATAGTGAAACTGAACGAAAACCAAATGGCAAACAAATATACAAAGGAAGGGTGAATGGGATAAAAAGGGGAAAATTTTTAAAAGTTGTTAGAATTGCTGGGATTCTTCAAAGCAGAAGTGAAATATTTTAAAAACTCAAAGGAATCCATAAGGAAGTGATGCACATGGTAGAAACAAAATGTGGAGAAAGATATAAAGAAGAATAACAGATATAAAACTCATTTTAGTCAGGGAAATCAACAGGAAAGTCTGGTAGCAGTTCTCAAGACAGAAGTCAGATAATCCACTGCAATTCCATCTAATTTATATGAATATATATTTACACAAATAAAATTTTGCAGTCTCTGATATTCCAGTAACTTAAAAAGTACAGTATCAAGTTTCTAGAAATATAAATAGAGATTACAATTAAGGACACTACAGAGAACAAATTCAGGCCCTTTATTTCTAGCAATGGAAAGCTTAATGTCTATGGAGATTCTCAGTCATCAAGGTCATAGTTGTTCCAAAGGTGCTTTTTCTTTCTTTCTTTTTTAAACATGTTTTATTAATTTTTTCTTTCACATACATATTTTATGAACAGAGTATTGACCAAATCATGTCTTGAAAAAGCTGCTTTTTTCAAGAGGCAACTGGACTTTCTTGTTTTTCTTTGAAGAAATTTCATTTCTCATCCAAGAAGCTTCTTCAGCTGACTGGATGGTAGAGAATGGAAGGATGAAACTCTGAAGAGATCCCACCAGCAGTTACAAGAAAAAGGTCATTTATTTCTTGCAACAACAACTGAAGGCCAATGCCATTGACAAGCCACAGTGCTACCGTCTTTACCCTAGGGAAGCCACACCATGCATATATGGACTCCCCAAAATCCACAAAGAGGGAACTCCCCTCAGACCAACTGTCAGCAGCATCAACTCTGTCATGTTACGTACAATATTGTGAAACATCTAACCACCTTATTAGCTCCTCTAGTTGGCAACACCACCCATCACATCAGCAATTTACAGGACTTCGTCAGAAAGGTTTGGAAACTGAAACTGGACCAGGATGAGACTATGGAAACGTTTCTTAAGATGTAACTTCCCTCTTCACCTGTATTCCATAAACTGAAGCAATCACGGTACTGAAGAAACGACTGCTACAAGACAGCACCTTAGGTGACAGAGCCAACCTCAGCCCAGGCCACATATATGCCGTGCTGGACCTCTGCCTGATCACTACCTATTTTAAATACAGTGAAGGTTTCTATAGACAAAAACACGGCTGCGCTATGGGTTCACCTATGTCCCGCATTGTGGCCAAGCTTCTATACATGGAAGAGGTAGAAATAGAAGCCCTAAAGTCCTTCACCAAAATTCTGCCCACTGACTGGTATAGGTATGTGGATGATAGATGGATCAAGATCAAAAGACAGGAATTGTAAGTGTTCACCAAACATATCAACTCTGTGAACAGATACATCAAATTCACACGGGAAGATGTTAAGGAAAATGGGCATTGGTCTTACCTTAAATGCCAGATTTCTTGAGGGGGGTGACATTGTCCAGATGAGGGTTATATCAGTCGGATCTGATGCTGGCTGAGTCATAACTTTTGACCACTCCCCTTGCTCCGCCCCTTTCATGCTCAGTTTTGACGAAGGAAGGCCACCAGAAGTATCTCCAACAGGAACCCCCGTTATCAGGAGGAAGTAATTCGGTCCAACGGGACAACTGGAAAAAAACTACTGAACAAGAACAATAAACTGTACAGGCACTGAGACAGAGGGAGGGGCTGGACAATGTCACCCCCCTCAAGAAATCTGGCATTTAAGGTAAGACCAATGCCCAATTTCCTTGATGAGGGTGTGACATTGTCCAGATGAGGGACATACCAAAGATTTGGCTGTCTCAAGGGCGGGATGTCGAAGGGCCTGGAGAGACCCTCGCACGATGCACCTGCTGCAAAACCCTCCTGCCAAATGACGCTTCAGCAGAAGCAAAGGTATCTATCTTGTAATGACGAATAAATGGCGAGGGGGTAGACCAGGTGGCTGCCCTACATACCTCCTCAAGGGAGGCCTGAGTTGCCCAAGCTGCTGAGGTAGCAGCACTCCTAGTGGAGTGGGCAGTAATGCTATTGGGAACAGGAATCGCCTGGGCCTGATATGCCGAGGCGATGCAAGCCCTGATCCATCTACCAATTGTGGCAGAAGAGACTTTGAGCCCTAGGGAGCCTGGCAAAAAGGAAACAAACAAAGCCTCTGACTTCCTGAAGGGAGCAGTCCTTTTGATATAAATCTTTAGGGCCCTCCGTACATCTAAGGTATGCCACCTTCGTTCCAAGGCATGAGAGGGCCGGGAACAGAAATTGGGCAAAATAACCTCTTGGGCCCTGTGTCCAATCTCAAAATAACTGTGTCCGGCCGGAAAACACAGAGATCCTCCCTAACTGAGAGGGCTGCCAGCTCCGAAATGCGACGGGCTGAAGTTATGGCTATAAGGAAAACCACCTTAAGGGTGAGAAAGCGAAGGTGAACCGTGCGGAGGGGTTCAAAGGGATTCTCAGTTAAAGCGTTAAGGACCTTGGGCAAATCCCAAGTAGGGTATCTATGAATCGAGGAGGGCCACAAGAGCCTGGCTCCTCGCAGGAACTTTTTTATCACAGGGTGCTGAGTGAGTGGTCGGCCGGATGGACTGGACAAGGCCGTAGACAGAGCCGCCACATGTCTCCGAAGGGTACTATGGGCCAGACCACGGTCAAACCCATCTCTGAGGAACTCCAAGATCTGGGCAGGTGAGGCTGAAACAGGATCTATCTGCCAGGAACGGCACCACCTATAAAAGGCGAGCCAGGAGATATTGTAGAGTCTGACTGTGGATTTACGTCTGCAGGCTTGAACAATGTGAATCACCCTATCTGAATAATTGTCCTGCCTTAGACGGGCCCCTTCAAGCGCCATGCAGTCAGTTGGAGCCACTGAGGGTCCGGATGAAGAAGGTTCCCCTGACGCAGTACAATCTCGTCTGGTGGAATCCTCCAAGGGTGAAATGTGGAGAGACTGACCAGGTCTGCGAACCACGGACGGCGTGGCCAGTGGGGAGCCACGAGGATAATTTCTGCTCTGTCGGCGATGACCTTCCGAATCAGGGCCGGAATCAGAGGCAGCGGTGGAAAGGCATAGTGAAGACCCGGCGGCCAGGTGAGACGGAGAGCGTTGACCCCTTCCGCCCCTGGTGTCGGGAACCTCGAGAAGAAGCGAGGAAGCTGATTGTTCAGGTGTGTGGCGAAGAGATCTATGGCTGGGATGCCGAACCTGTTGCAAATCTGATGAAATATGTCGGGATGAATCTGCCACTCGCTGTTGTCCACCTCTGTCCTGCTCAGGAAATCCGCCTGTGTGTTTTCCGACCCCGCAATGTGGTCCGCTCTGATGGAGAGGAGGTGTTGTTCTGCCCACTTGCCCAGGCGAAATGATTCCTCCATGAGGCGCTTTGAGTGGGTGCCCCCTTGACGGTTGACATGTGCCTTCGCCGCCATATTGTCTGTCAACACCAGAACATGACGGTGTTGCACGAACCGGTGAAAGTGCGTGAGAGCGAGACGAATGGCCTTCAGCTCCAGCCAGTTGATAGGGTTGGCGAGGTCTGATGCAGACCAACGGCCCTGAGCCACGTGTGACGCAAGATGAGCCCCCCATCCGTGAAGGCTGGCGTCTGTAGTGAGTACAAGTCGGTCGTGATTCATGAAGAGACACCCCTTGTCGAGAGAAGGCGATGTCCACCAACCTAGCGATCGCCTGACTGAAAGTGGAACTTTGACTGTTAACATGGTGTGAGCTTGGCGTTTCTTTTGAAAAGGAAGCAGGAACCACTGCAAGTGGCGAGCGTGAAGGTGTGCCCATGGGACGATCTGGACGCAGGAGACCATCTTGCCTAAGAGCTTGGATAGAGTGGCCAATGGAACTGATGGAGTTCTGCGAATGAGAGCTACTAGGTCCCTGATGTCTGACCGTCGTTCCAAGGTTAGGTAGACGGTCCCCTGGGCTGCGTCTATGATGGCGCCAAGATGGGTGATCCTGGTGACTGGCACTAACTGACTTTTTTTGTAGTTGACCAAGAACCCATGGTTGTTCAGGGTTTGAATCGTGAGGTGTAGGTCGTGTAAGGCTTGCTCTTGAGAGTGAGCCTGAATCAGAATATCGTCCAGGTAAGCCTGGATCCTTACCGGTTGTTGTCTCAGGTGAGCCGCCACCACCGCCAGGACCATTGTGAAGACCCTTGGTGCAGATGCCAGTCCGAAGGGAAGAGCCCGGTATTGAAAATGCTTTCCTGCATAGCTGAATCGGAGATACTGTCGATGCTTTGGCAGGATGGGAATGTGAAGATAAGCCTCCATGAGGTCTATGGAAACTAGAAAATCGTTGGGACGAATCCCTTGAAGAATAGAGGTTAGTGAACACATTTTGAATCTGCGATACACTATGTATGAGTTGAGATTTTTTAAGTCCAGAATGGCTCTCCACCCCCCTGACCGCTTTGGAACTACGAACAGGATGGAATAATACCCCTGTTTCCATTGATCGTGGGGGACCTCCTCTATGGCGTGAATCTGTAGTAGGTGCTGAACTGCTTGGTTCATTAATTGACGTCTGGATTCGCTTTTGGAAGTTGGACATTGAAGAAAGCGGGTTGGAGTCCTGGAGAGAAATTCCAGGGGGAGGCCGAATTTTACAACTGAAAGAACCCAAAGGTCTGAAGATGACCTTTCCCACCTGTCCGCGAAGAGGGACAGGCGACCCCCTACTGGAGGATTTGGTAGTGAGTCACTTACGACTGTGGGACTGGCGGAAACCAGAACCCCGAAAGGACCGTTTGGGCTGGAATTGTCTGCTCCTGTCCCGAAATTATTGACGGTCCGAGGACCGATAGGATCCCTGAAGATATTCCTGCCTGGAGGGGCCTCCCTGGGGGTAGGAACGAAAGGAAGGCCTTCTGTAATATGGAGAGGGTCTTCCTTCAGCCCGTTTGTATGTTGAGGGCAAAATTTTTCGCTTGTCCCGTGTCTCTACAAGAAGAGGGTCAAGTGATTCCCCAAATAGTCTGTTTGCAGAATATGGAGCTGCAGCCAAGCGCCATTTGGCCTTAAGGTCAGCAGGCCATTGGCGAAGCCAGAGCATCCTGCGGGCTGAAACTGTAGAGGCTAAGGCTCTGGATGCAAATTTGGCTGAATTCAAGGTTGCATCAGCCGAAAATTGAGTGGCAGCAATGATTTTATTAATATCCTGATGAAGGCGAACCTCACTGGGGGGTACCCTTGCCTGTAACTGTTGAAGCCAAAGGATGGTAGTTCTATTAAAAATGAGGCTGATGAAGCTGATTGAATTGCCCATGCCGAGGCCTGATGGTTCTTTTTAAACAGAAATTATAACTTTTTGTCTGCTGGCCTTAGACCTTCAGAAGTATCCCCAGTTACGTATGAAGAAGAAGAGGAAAGGGCCGCTACAGGACTGTCTACAGGTGGAACTTGCAAGAGTTGAGCAAACTTTGGAGCAACAGCATAATATTTCTTATCTGAACCATGTGCAGATGCCATGGTTGCAGGCCCAGCCCACTGTTTCTTTACCACGTCTATGAACAGTTGTGGAGTTGGTACATAACAAAGTTCAGGGGGGGGGCTCAGAAAAAGGTCCCTGTAGTCCACCCTTTTGAGCCTCCTGCATCTCTTGAAAGTATTCATCTTCCTTTAAGGCGGCTGTTAAGCGAGCCTTATGCAATAAAGACTTGAATTTATTGGGGGGAAATAATCCTGTAAAGGCAGGTTGATCTTGGATTATCCCCTCATCATCTGATAGGTCAGAATGTCTCTCTTCCTCAAACACAAAGGCTTCACTAACTCTGGAGGCTGCAGGAGAATGAGAGCCAGTAAGACTGACTGCAGGAGAAATTCTAATACGGGCAGATCGCTCTGAAATAGCAGAGCCAGAGTGGTGACCATGAATATTGGCTGCCATTCTAGAAGCAATGGCCTGTTCAATCAGAATTCTCAATCCTTCTGGCACATTTTTTAAAGGATCTTCGGGGGTTAGCACAGGCATAGAGGATTCACCTGTTGAAGCAGCTGCAGCTGCAGGCCCACCAAATACAGGAGTTGCAGGGGTCATTAATTGACTTGCAAAGGGGTTTTGCAAATTGCTTTGGTCTTGTTGAAGAACATTACCCTCTCCCTCCGAAGACCAGGCCTGGCTAACAGTTGAAATGGGAGGAGGGGGGGTAGATGGGGGGGGGTCCCCTTATCAGGCTCAGTTGCAGGCACTTCACTAGCTTGCTTTTCTAGAGATTTATGCCTCTTTGCTAAATCCTTCTCCTCAGGCTTAGAAAGGTGCTTACGTTTGGAAGTTGATTTCTTCCCAGTGTACATAGTATTTTCCTCCCCATGGGAAGAGCGATCCGCCATGTTTAGTATACTCACTGCGACCACGATGTCGACTGGAGAAATAGCTTTTGGTTTCAGTTTCACCACGTGGTTGAAATTTGAGATGGCAACGACTCTGGCGTTAAGCACGATGGCTGCCAGGTCACACTTGAGCAGGAGGAAAACTCTGCTCTGGAGGTATCTGTCTAGGCAAGCCTAGAAACGGACCTCCTCAGCGCCCCCCCAGCCACAAAGAGAAAAAAATAAAAATACTGGCTGGAAATGCCACAGGGGGAGGCAAGAAGAAGCTTGCTGCCCCCCCCAAACTTGCAGACTCGTTGGTGGCAAAGCGGCAAAAATTTCCTTTTAAAATTGCCGCGGGGCTTCAATTAACCGCTCTACAGCTGATCAGCGGTTTTGGGATCGCTGTAGGGTGGGCGGCGGCCCGATTTGGCAATTTCCCTTAAAATTAGGTAATTGCTATTATTGTTGGTGGTATTGTGGTCTAGGGCCCCTTAAACAATCGTTGGTGGGATAGATCAAAAAAATCCCCCCCAAAAAAGACAGGAAAAAGAAAAAGGAAAAAAGTTCCCTTTTAAAATGGGGCTTTCAAAATGGCCGCCGCCAGGAGCGAAGCAAAGCCTGCAGCTTAGGAGGCTCTAGCAAAGCAAAACCGGCAGGCTACAATAGAAGGGGGGGAAAAAATTTAAAGGGGAAGTAACAATTTTAAGCTATAGAAATAAAAAGGTGGTCAAAAAGACTTACAATTCTGTGATATTGAACAGACCTGGGCTGTATAGCCAGATCTGTAGGAGATGTTTCTCTCAGGCCGACTGAGTCTAAACTGGGCATGAAAGGGGCGGAGCAAGGGGAGTGGTCAAAAGTTATGACTCAGCCAGCATCAGATCCGACTGATATAACCCTCATCTGGACAATGTCACACCCTCATCAAGGAAATTAGTCTAGACTTCCTGGGCTGTGCAGTACACATTAACAAAGACAGAAACCTTAACACTGAAATTTACAGACCCCCCCCCCCCCACACACACATACACACAGATCATTTTGATTTTTATCACCCACTAGAGCACAAAATGGGAGTTATCAGAACCATGCACCACTGAGCTGAAGGTCTGCCCACCGCAAAGATGGGAAAGAAAAAGAACTAAAACACATCAAGGAAGCCCTCAAAATGTGTGGCTATGCCAAGTGAGCTTTCATCAAGTTTCAAAAAAGACCCAACAGGAGCTGCTCCATAATAGACAAAGAAGAGAACAATAAATGAAGCAATGTTGTCTTTCCATATATTGCCGAAATATCGGAAAAGCTCAGGAGGATCTTCAGCCAACACAACATATGTGTACACTTCAAACCCAAGAATATACTAAGGTAGAAGCTTGTCCAGCTGAAGGATAAAATACTCAGACACAAACTCAGAAATGTAGTATATGCAGTACAATGCAGTGAGCCATTTGCAGATCTGTACATTGGGGAAACAAAGCAGCTATTTAATAAACGCATGGCACGACATAGGAGAACAAACCCATGCATTTAAAAGACAAACGCTACTCTTTTGAAGACACCAAAGTCCACATTTTGGATAGAAGACCACTGGTTTGAAAGAGGGGTCAAAGAGGCCATCTATGTCAAAATTGAACAGGCCTCTCAATAGAGGGGGAGGGATATGATATCTCTCTCCAGTCTACAACACAGTCCTTTCAACAGTTCCAAGAAGGCTCAACATCCATTTGCACTATTCAGGTGACCCTGACAGCACAGATAAAAAACAACTCTCAACAACTCTCTAAAAGAATGCAAATGACCAGCTGTCTGCAAGGAGTATAAATCCTTCCATTCCCCACCATCTAGTCAAAGCTGAAACAGCTTCTTGGATGAGAAGCAAAACGTCTTCAAAGATAAAGGAAGTCCAGTTGCCTCTTGAAAAAGCACTTGGGGACAATGGAAAGCTTACTTTCATTTCCTGAAGTTTTTCCACATATACATGTTTTGGTTGATCCTCTCCATCTTCATAAAGCCAAATTTCTACATCCTCTAACATTAATGTTATTTTTCTTGAATCCTAGAGGGAAAATAGTACAGCATATAATAAACCTTTATCATTTTAAACTAGTGAAAAAATAATTCTACAATATTTCACTACTTACACTGAATTACAGTAATAAGATTATAACCAAAGCATCTTTTGTAAGCTCTTATTTCTACACCATTCATAAAGAACAAATAACTATAACTGCAATGTCAAAGATAGGGCTTCTTGCTATTTAATATTTTAAAGTTAACTTGGAGGAAAATAATATATTTACTAGAAGTATATAGTATAAATAGAGGATTCTTGGTTTTAGTTATTTCAGGAATATCATAGTCTAGCTTTAAGTCTCTCCTACACACATTCTGCATACATTAGATCTAAATCTAATGGTTAATTTAACAGCAACACAGGTAGACCATAATTCCATTTAAGATTTTCTCATTAAAATATCTAACTGGTTTAATTCTATACGTAATAATGACAATACTTCTGGAATTTACTGTATTTAAATCTGTATTGGGAATACATGCTATTTTCCTTGCCAAAGTGTGCAGAAAGAGATTTTAATAAATGTAATATCAATGTTTATATTTCTGTAGGTATATTGTAACACCAAGAACATGGAAAATGGAAACAGACATTAAAACAAGGAGCCTTGGTGGCGCAGATTAAAGCATTGTTAAGTAACACCAGCTGCCTGCAATTACTGCAAATTCAAATCTCACCAGGCTCAGCATTGACTCAGCCTTCCATCCTTTTGAGGTAGGTAAAATGAGGACCCGGTTTGTGGGGGCAATAAGCTGACTTTGTATAAAAAAGAACACCGCTTGGGGGGGGGGAGCAAAAACCCTACTAAGCAGGTATATACAAAAGTATGAAGGCTATTGCTTAATGCATTGTAAACCGCCCTGAGTCTCCGGAAAAGGGCAGCATATAAATCGAACCAATAAATAAACAATAAATAAATAAAGGAGCTTTGTTTGAATGCTTAAATGAGCAAAGACAATTTTAATGTATAGGATTGAAAACACCTACATATATGAATATGTTCTTCTTTAAAAGTTCAGCATTTACTAAGAGAATGAAGGCTTGTAACTAAAGGAAATCATGCCCACTATCTCACCAGTAATTCATGTAGAGGTGAGCGATGGGGCGCTCCCATGTGATGCCTCTCCTGCGCGAGCTGCACTGGCTTCCGGTGGTCTTCCGGGTGCGCTTCAAGGTGCTGGTTACCACCTTTAAAGCGCTCCATGGCTTAGGGCCTGGGTACTTACGGGACTGCCTTCTGGCACCGATAGCCTCCCACCGGCCAGTACGTCAGCTGGTGACCCCAGGGGGAGGGCCTTCTCTGTGGCAGCACCTGTCCTCTGGAACGACCTGCCCCTCGGAGATACGTAGGATCCCAGATCTCCGTGCTTTTCGCCGTGCCCTTAAAACTTTTAATTTCATCAAGCCGGGCTGGCTTAACACCCCCCCTTAGATATTTTAATTGTTAATTGATTTTAGTTGGAGTGTTTTAAATTTATTAGGCCAAAATTTAATTTTTTTTTAAAAAAAAAATAAATTTTGTATGTGATGTTTTTATTCTTGGCTGTCCAGCACCCTGAGTCCAGTGCGAGAAGGGCGGTATAAAAATCTAATAAAATATTTATTTATTTATTTATTTATTATTTATTTTATTAGATTTCTATACTGCCCTTCTCCTGCGGGACTCAGGGCGGTGTACAGCCAGAATAAAACATAGCATATAAAATTTAAAAACATTTAAAAAAACAATTAAATAATTTTGGCCCAAATTTAAAACAGCCCAATTAAAACTGAATTCGATTAAAAAACTGAGAGGATGGGATCAAGCCAGCCCAGCTAGATGGAACAAGTGTGTCTTCAGGGCCCGACGAAAAGTCCGGAGGTCTGATATTGTGCATATCTCAGGGGGCAGATCATTCCAGAGGGCAGGTGCTGCCACAGAGAAGGCTCTCCCCCTGGGGGTCGCCAGCCGGCACTGCCTGGCCAATGGCACCCTGAGGAGGCCCTCTCTGTGCGAGCGAACCGGTCGGTGGGAGGCTATTGGCGGCAGAAGGCGGTCTCGCAAATACCCCAGCCCTAAGCCATGGAGCGCCTTAAAGGTGGTCACCAACACCTTGAAGCGCACCCGGAAGACCACAGGAAGCCAGTGCAGCTCGCGCAGGAGAAGTGTTATATGTGAGCGCCCCATCGCTCCCATAATCCCCCGCGCGGCCGCATTCTGGACCAACTGCAGCCTCCGGGTGCACCCCAAGGGGAGCCCCATGTAGAGAGCATAAAATAAAATTAATTATTGTTTTCTTTTTGTTCCCTCCTGCTTTTTCTTCTTTTGATTACTGCTGATGCTCCTGCTACTAGAATGGAACATTTCAATAAATCATTCTGGCCCAATACAATGGAAAAGATACTACTAAAGGACAAGCAAGGAAGGCTTGATCTTTGCTTCTGGTCCATGCCTGGCAGTAAGGAAGACAACATTCCTGAAGGCCTCCAGGAATGTATATTACTGTTTTAATGAATATAATTTAATCATTAAAACAGTAGTTTTATTTTCATTTCCTTCTTAAATAGCATTCAGTGTAACTTTTAGTTTAATAGAAATTCATCCATAATCTGCCTTGATGCGTCAGTGAGGAGAAAACCTTGAAGGAGTTAGAAGCTGTTAAGTAATAAAATGGAGACATTTAACAATCTTCCCTTCCTCCCAGTCCAAAAAGGAAAAGAAGAAAAACACCTCAAAATTCACAGATCGTTAGAAATTTAAATTTATGTAAACTTATGGGAAATCTAATAAAGTTTAGGAGCATTTGAACTGATTTATAGAGTAAAATAGTTATAATCAATGGAAGCTCAAATTTATCTTAATTAATTTTCTCCACTGATTTTAAAGGGTTATTGACAATATAATTAGAAATATAACTAGAACCAACTCACTGCAATGCTTTATTACAGATGCAGCCATTTTAATACTAATGTTATTGTAAAGGACTTCATCATGTTATAGATTCATGAGAATTCTTACATCTTCAGTTATGAATTTTTCATAGAGGCCACAAAGCTTATCTCTCAAATCATACACATATTCTTCAACAGCATTTTTGGCATCATTTTTCTCCTTCTCCAGAATGTCTTGCATTATCATCTTCCGCTGCAGCAAATAAAAGAATTCAGATAACTTAATCACAAATTTAAAACACTGTTGATTTTTTTCTTGAAATACATCTGCAATATATTCTTCCACCCCAAATTACTGGATTTACAAGTAACAATTAGAGCGATTTTTTCTTTTCTGCACTGATACAATTGTAATTATTTCACTTCTATGGTTCAAGATTTCTGCAGTTGCTTACCTCATTTTCAATGTAGCAATTAATAAGATCCTGTTCAACCTGTCTATATAAGTTAACATGGATAGGTAGATCAATGCTCTTGATCTTTGTTTTGCTTGACTGATTTGCATCAATCTTGTCTCCTGAAGCAGTCTGCAGAATAAGAAATTAGTTATCATAACATTTGTTCCCATTACACATAAAGATAGAAATCTGATGAAAAAAACTATACATGTAAATTTAGCAGATAAAGCAATATCCTAATATGCTGCCATTTTTAATAGCCACTATCTTGCAATTTCTGCATTTTAACTTCTTATGAATTTTAAAATACAAGATTTGAAAAATAGTGTGATTCTATTTTCCAACATTGCTTGAAAATAAATTCACCCTGAAGTGTTTTAGACTAGCAGTCAGACCAGTCCACACATCAGTTTCTTCAAGGGTTATACACGACAAACATCCACCCTACCTCTACATAAACCCTTTTAACATACAGTCATGTGAAGAAGGAAAGTATATCCTCTCTGAGTTTTATGGTTTTACATATCAGGACATAGTAAAAATCATCTGGTCCTTAGCAGTTTTCAAAACTAGTAAATACAACCTTAGGTGAGTAATACATGACATATTACACCATTACAAAAAGAAAGCCAAATGGAAAAGCCATCTGTGAAAAACTAAATACACCTTATGATTCAATAGCTTATAGAACCGCCTTTAGCAGCAATAACTTGAAATAACTGTTTTCTGTATGACTTTATCAGTTTCTCACATTGTTGTGGAGGAATTTTAGCCCATTCTTTTTTTACCTCGTTGCTTCAATTCATTAAGCTTTGTGGATATTTGTGCACAGCTCTCTTGAGGTCCTGCCACAGCATTTCTCTTGAGGTCTGGATTTTGACTGAGCCATTGCAATTCCTTGATTCTTTTCTTTTTTCAGTCATTCAGTTGTAGATTTGCTGTTGTGCTTGGGATCATTGTTCTGTTGCATGACCCAGTGTCAGCCAAGCTTTAACTGGTAAACAGATGGCCTCATATTTGACTCTAGGATACTTTGGTATACAGAGTTCAGTTGACTCGATGACTACAAGGTTCCCAGGTTATAAACAAGCCCAAATCATCTCCTCTCCACCACTGTACTTGATGATTGGTATGAGATGTTTGCGCTGATACACTGCGTTTAGTTTTCGCCAAATTTGGCATTGTGCATTATGGCCAAACATCTCCACTTTAGTCTCATCTGTCCAAAGGACAATGTTTCAGAAGTCTTGTGATTTGTTCAAATGCAACTTTGCAAACCTAAGCCAAGCTGCCATGTTCTTTTTAGAGAGAAGAGGCTTTCTCCTGAAAATCCTTCAAAACAAACTATACTTTTTCAGTCTTTTTCTAATTGTACTGTCATGAACTTTAACATTTAATATGCAAACTGAGTCCTGTACAGCAGAGTTCCCCAACTTTTCTGGCTTTGTGGACCAGCGGTGGGGGAAGGGGATCATTCCGTGCAAGAGGCTGGCAAACGCGCACAAATAGCACCATTTGTGCAAGTGGCATGCATATGTGCCCACCACTCATGCAAGTAGAGCACATATGCACATGCTTTCCCTCTGCTTACGCATGTGGGAATGCACCACATTCACCCGCCATTTCCACAGCCCGGTTGCAAACAGCTCATGGCCCACTAATGGGCCAAGAGGTTGGGGACCCCTGCTGTAGAGTCTGAGATTAACTCTTGGACTTTTTTTATTTCTCTGAGCATTGCACCAGATTGATAGGCAGCAATGATTAGTGCTGTTAAGATCATTGCTAATGTTTTTCCTCTGTAGCATTGCGTTAACACACACCTTAATGCCGGACACCATAAAACTCCTAAAACTTCGGCTTTTATAGAGGCAGTCACACTTGCTGATGATTAGCTGATCAAGGGCACTTGCTGAAGTTTAGCTGATCAAGCTGCTACTTAGCCTCTTCATCCTTATGGAAGCAATAAGGATGTACTTTACTAGTTTTTCACACAAGACTTCTCCAGTTTGGCTTTCTTTTTATAAAATAAATGATGACATGGTGTGATGTGTATTGTTGTTCATCTGAGGTTCTATTTACTGTTAAGAACTGATAAGGACTAGATGATTTTTACTATGTTCTGATATGTAAAAACCATAGAACTCATAGTGTACGTTCTTTTTCACATGACTATAAGTGAGAATGCCAATGTGTCAAAGCATGGCACACTATTCTCATACCATGTTTGCCTGAAAATAAGACCCTGTCTTATATTTTTTTGAACCCCAAAATAAAGGCTTGGCCTTATTTTCGGGGGGGGGTCTTATTATTTTGGGGCACAATTTAGGGGTGGCAGGTGGGGTGGAGAGGGGGAGAAGTGAGAGGCAGAAAGCCCTGCCATGCCCAGTGAGAGAAGAGACGGCAAGAATCACGGCTGCTTTTGCAGCCGATTGAGGCTGCAAAAGCAGCAAGAGAAACGGTGGAGGGGAACCAGGAATATTGGGTAGACAAGATGCTGGGTGGTGAGGGCAGCGGCTGTCGGCTGCCACGAGCGAAGCACTGGGTGGAAGTACCCGCTGTGCAGGGACGGCTGAGCCTGTATCGCACGGCTGGCTGGGGCGGGCACAGCTTCCTGAGTCCAAGCCTTTCCCGGTCGCTGGACACTGAGCCCTCTCCATCCTCCTCTTCTGAGAAGGGAGGCTGTCCTTGGTGGGCGGAGTGGCAGCTTCCTCCTCTTCCTCCTTCTCCTTCCTGAAGACCCGCCCCACTTAAAGGCCCAGCGCGGCGCTTCCCCTAGCCCACCCGCCCCTTCGGCCGCCCCTCTCGCAAGCGCTCCAATCACGCAGCCTCCCCACCCCTCGAGATAAACCAGCCAAGAAGCACGTACAAACGGCAGTGAGCTGAACCCATCCTGAGCCTCACCACTTTCGGTCACTGCCTCCCTGGCCTGAGGCTCCCGCAGCAAGCCTGTTCACTTAGGGAGGACGTGCCCTTTTCTGGCCGGTCGCTGCTTTGTAGAAATGTCACAATCTCCACACAGCCTCGCCCACATATGGTGCAGGCCGGGAGCCCTTTACCCCCAGTTCTGCCTTCAGGGCTCTACCGGGTGGCCCCCTCCCCACACATCCCTGGCCTGCCTTTGTCAATGTTACAGAAGATGCAACACTGCACACTGCCCATAAGCAATGTGCAGCCTCTCACAGTAACGAGAATTGCCTGCAATTCTCCTTACTGCGAGAGGCTGCACATTGCAAAGAAGATCGAAGCAAGGTGGGAGTGGGTGGGTGGGTGGAGAACAAAGCAAGGCAGAGGCTGCGGAGCTGCCCCAAGGCCCCGCATTAGCTTACCTGAAAGGCCCTTCAGCCAGGCCACCCTTGGCAAACCCTCCCCCTTCCTCCCTCAGGGTAGCCACATCACTTCACTAACGTGCTTTCCAGCTCCATTGTCCCCTGTGCGCAGTCTGTTGGACTATGGTAAAAAAAATAACCAGTAGTTCAGACCTTCCAACTTTTCATGAAGAAAAAAAAATCCCACAGTACTTTTCTTGCCCTGCATGTGATGGTGGAGAACGGAGGTGGAAAGCAGGTTAGTGAAGGGATGTGGCTGCCTTGGGAGGTTTGGGGTGGGTGGGTGAGTGAGGGACCTCTGTGTGTTGTGTAGAGGGGGGGGGGATAGAAAGAACATTTCTGCCAGCCTGGATAACTCTCCGAGGTTGGATCAGATGTCTCTTTCTCTCTCTCTCACACACATACCATTCTTTCTTTGGGATCACAGCACAGACGGCCCTTCCAGGATTGCAAGGCTGAAGGCTTTGGATGGAGCATTTTGGGAATGTGTGTCTGTGCTGCGATCCCAAGTAAAGAAAGATCAGAAGGAAAAGGGGGAGGAGGCCGGCAGCTGTGGAGGTACTCTGGAGATCTGGGCCAAGTTGCACAGCCCTCGCTGGTTCAGCTGATCAGCGGGCAGCAATTAAGGAAATGAACCTCCAGGTGATGGGGAAGGGAAGAGCTGCCTCCTGTGCTGGCCATGCCCACCCCTTCACTAGGGCTTATTTTCAGGGGAGGGTGTATATTTATGCCCACCCCAAAAATCAGCCTTGGCTTTATTTTCGGGACATGTCCTATTTTCAGAGAAACACGGTAGTATTTTTTAAACATTTCCTAGCACTATCAAAAGATAGACAGTCCTAACATTAGAATCTGATTTTATCATAATTTCATGCATACCTTTCCTTCGGTACCTATATGATCAGTTTCCTCATCTGTTTGACTTTGTTCTGTTTGGCTCTTTTGATTACCATCATCTTGATCAATCTGCATTTTAGCCTATAAAATAGAAGTTTTGAAATTATTTAATTATTTTAAAATACAAATAAAAGCAATGGTACTAACTTTTATTTTTATTTATTTATCACATTTTGAAACCACCTATCTCCCTCACAAAAGGATTTTGTTCTTGAGATACACTATTCCCCTACCTCCATGGTTTTTAGAGAAAAAAATATTGAGGGTTTTTTGTGGGGGGAGGGCAATGCATGTGCCTTTGAGTCAGTCATAACTTCTGGCAATCTCATGGACAAATCCATGCAGTTGTTTTACCAATACTTTTGGAATAGTTTGTTACTGCCTTCTTCCTAATAAAAGATTATTCAGTTCCTTCAACATGGTTACTGTAAGGAAGTGTTCATGACTGATAAATAATTGTGGCTATGAAATAGTCTAATTACTTAATAATACAATTCTAATTATACATTACTGAGATCATATTACTAATTACAATACTAATCAGATATTAAAAGTAAAACAACCCTCTTCAAAAAAAATGTAATTGCATTTACAACAAAGAACACTTTAAAATGTTCTATAAATAATGGAGTTTTTTGGAAAAGAACCTTAGAAAAAGAAATGTAAAGTCTTAAACAGTAAGCAGAACAATAGAAAGCTGAAAATAATCCCTAGTATTAACACCTCATTACTGTAAGAATTCACAAGCTTGAGGCAGAAGATCATTATTTATTTATGAAAATTTATATCTTGCCCCCCACCCCCTCCCACAATTCACTCTCAGTGACTTTGGGTGGCTTACAAATATAAGCAGTGGTTAGAATGCAGTATTGCAGGCAGTATTGCAACAACAGTGAATCAAAAAGCCACTTGATGGGCTCTATCCCACTCAGGCTTCCCCAAGCCATATATTATGTTTCTAGGATTTAAGTCAAAAAATTATTCCAATATTTTTGAATAGTTTATTTTTTTAATGTACACAGGCACCACTATTATGCTCAATTGCTAGTTAACATCTGAAGTTGAAGCATTTTTGCTATACCGTATTTTCCGGCGTATAAGACAACTGGGCGTATAAGATGACCCCCGACTTTTCCTGTTAAAATATAGGGTTTGGGCTATACTCACCGTATAAGACTACCCCTTTTCCAATGCACACCAAATAAAAATTAAAAAACATCAACAGGCTTACCCACAATGTAAAAGCAGCTGTGCTAGACCCAAAATGGCCCCTGCAACAAGCGGGAACCTCACACAGCCCCAAAAAGCCCAAAAAAACAACTTTCACACTTTACACATATAAAATTCCACATACAGCTTTGTGAGATTTTGTGTGTTTGTGTAGTTAGAGTGAAACACTACAGAAACACACTAAATCTCAGAAAGCTGCACAAATATTATTTTATTTTATTTTTATATGAAAACTAAATTTAAAACTTCCTAAACTTTAAATGGCTAAGTCTAAAAAAGAACAACTAAAAAAAAAACCCCAATTAACTATTTTTTTTAAAGCTCCCAAAGGGGAAAAAAACCTTACCCAATAGAACAGGGGTCTCCAACCTTGGCAACTTTAAGACTTGTAGACTTCCACTCCCAGAATTCCTCAGCCAGCTTTGTTTTGCTGGCTGAGGAATTCTGGGAGTTGAAGTCCACAACTCCTGCCTGCTTGATTGCAGGCAGGGAGTTGCTTGCTGATGGAATGGATTCAGGCAAGTGAAGCAAGGCAAGCGTTGCGACTAGCAGCTAAGGTAAGCAAGCTGGAGGGGGAAAACTTTTTTTCTTTTACATGGCTCTGGCGATCCAAGCTGAGTTGCCTGATTGGCAGGCAACTCAGCTGGGATCGTCAGAGCTTGCAGACCCACGTAAAAGGAATACAGTTTTTCCTTTTACATGGCTCTGGCATCCCAGCTGAGTTGCCTGATTAGCAGGCAAAGCTGGGATCGTCAGAGCCATTTAAGGCTGGTCAGAGTCTTTCGGGCTGGTCTGCCTGGTTACAGGAGAACGACACCCGGCGTATAAGACAACCCCCGACTTTTGAGAAGATTTTCATGTGTTAAAAAGTCGTCTTATACGCCAGAAAATACGGTATTTGTAAAGTACCAAATAATCTATATTTTTATAGGGGCGTAAAACATAAAGGATACAGTAATAGAATGATCCAGGAAAAGTCACTGCTGTTTTACAAGGTTGCCAACATGTGCTTTATGAGTAGTCCTATATGCTTTGAATCAGGGTTTTATTTACTTCAAACTCCCCAAAATGTTAAGACTTTAATAACTAATGCAGCTATTAGAAAATCTTTACACTTGCCATCTTTTATATCCTACTGTATACTCAAAAAGAACTCAAAATTTAGACTATCTTTGCTATCTTCTGCTTACTGAATGCTATATATTTCACTTCAACCTCAGAGTAGAAAGGTCGCATCTTCACTTATGAAAGATGTCAATACTCTTCATGGTGTCAGAAAATAGTTAGCAAATATTTGAGAGACACCAAGGCTTAAAAATTAAAATAGCTACATTATTATCTTTTCAACTCTTTATCTACATCATAACTAACATTTGTATTAGCAATATTCAAGTTACAATAATATTTTCTGTTGCTTTGGTGTGCTTCTAACAGATGTGCTGTAAATTTGTTTAAATTAACTATTTTAAAATTTCTATGGAAGGAAGACATATTTACAAATAACTAAGCATTGTATATAGTTTTGTAAGAGATTTCTCAATACAATGTCAGATATAGCCTTTATTAGTACAGAGAAAGAGTGAATAAGTATGTTTATAAAAGCAAGGGATATAAGAAAGGTTAAAGATAGAAAGCAAGTTAATTTATATGAGATAGGAAAAAATATTGAAAGCACTAGCATTAAAAAATTTCATAGGTTTAGAAAAAAGTTAAATTACTGAAACAAGCTGGAATTTCAAGACAAAAATTCTTAATGACAAAGATTAAAAGTAAAAAAAAAAACCACTGCATTTAATCAGCACAATACATATCACAATTTAGAATTAAGAATTTTATTTATAGTTTTTACATACCAGTTCATCTTTGCTTTGATGACATGACAATTCTGTGTCCATTGGAATATCATTAGGCTCATTGTCCAAATTTTGCTTCTCCACTACAGATGCATTAGCCACACTGAAGATTCCATGGATATTAACTCGCACTTTAACTTTAACTTTTGAATTATCACCATCGTTTTGGGGACCAACATTTTGAATAACAAAATGGCCTAAACAACATAGAAATATGGCACCGATTAGTACATTTACTTACTTCTAGAAAACAATTACAAAAACATTTATAAACTTATACATCACTTATTGTTTTTAATGATCGTTTGAAGTTATGGTGCCTCAGACTGTGGCCTCACCTCCAGTTTCCGTGATTGCAAGTTGGGTACTTAGCAACTGGCTCCATTTACAATGGTTCAGCATCTTGCAGTCACATAATCGTAACCTTCCCAGCCAGCTTCTGAGAAACAAAGCCAACTGGGGAAGCCAGAATCACTTAATGACCACATGATTTGCCTAATGACTGCAGTGATTTGTTTAATCACAGCGATAAAAATAGTAAAAAATTCAGTTCTGCTCACACGATGACTTGCTTAACAATCACACTACTTAATGACTAAAATTCCAGTCCCAATTATGGTTGTAAGGTGAGGATACCTGTAAACATGGATCTTTGATGGACAACTTCCTCAAAAAGTTGCTACTACAGCTATGGTTGAATAACTGTAAGCTGCCTAGAGTCACCTTGGGAAGAAGGGAGGGGCATAGAAATTTAATAAATAAATAAATGCCAGACATTTGTTTCCATTAAGAAGAAATAGAAGTGAACAATTGCAAACCATATCTGTTTGGTGTATAGAAAGCCTTGATGAACTTATTACAAACTTAGTACCAGGCCCAGCACTAAAATCTAATTGAAAACAGTAGAAATAATCTATTTCCTCCAGTGCTCTATGCAACAGCATCCTTTTATCTCTCTATAATCTTCTCCAGAAAGGGTAGATAAGGAACATATAAACATAGGATAATAGGATACTCCGAATCCAAAATATTTTGTACACCTAAAATCAACAACTACTAAGTAAAAGAAAATACAAGCAGTCCTCAGTTAATTATAGTAATTGGGACCAGAATTTATATTGCTAAGCAATGTGTTTGTAAGGTGTGACTTGATATGATTGTGCCACTTGGTGATAGCAAGCCCTAGTTATTAATAAGCGACATATGCAGAAAAGTACAAAATACATTAAAGCAAAAAAACTAAAAGCATTGTTCACAGAAAACAAGGCATTACTAATTAAAACAATTATTTTATAAATCTATTAGATTCTCATAATTTGAAGCAAATCTTTAAAAAGGTTTTTGATGTCATGCCCAGCAAGTAACAAAAATATTTACCTATTCTTGTATCAGGATAAGGAACATCATGAGGATGTGTATAAAATGCTTCTAATTCAAAAGGCTCTTTTTTGTGGAAAGTAATAACTTTTGAGAATGGAGAAGCATGATTTTTGTTGAAGACTTCACATTCACTATAGAAAAGAAGAGTGTTTATAATTTAAACTCAAAAAGAACTACAAATAGAGAAGAATAGGAACATAGTCACAATGTATTCTTTGATACTAATTATCTGAAGCCAGAGAATTAAAGACTGAATCATAAAACCATTGATTACTTCCATTATATTTGTAACCTCTTTAAAGATAACAAGCTAGGATATGTACAACTTAATACTTAGACAAACACTATAGGAAGTTGAGAGGAACTCATTTAAAAATTAACCACAGAATGGCTTCCATTTACAAGTCTTTGCAATTAACAAGCAGTGTACACCCGCCGCACACATACATGCGCTTACACATGATGGGGGGGGGAGAGAAAACCTAAGATAAACCCTACTTTAAATTGAAAAAGTTAAATTTAACTTTAAATTGCTTCTGTAGGTACATTGAGAATGAACTGAAGACAAACAAGACTACATAAACTGGATAGCAAAGTACATAGCAGAGTTAGTATGACATGAGGATAAACCCAGTATGTTCCCTTATTTCCCTTGCATTTCTAAAATAGTCAGGAAGAAAGAGGGGAAGTATTGATGGAAGAGTAGTATAGTTATAGTCCTTACTACTTGAGTGGAGAGGAAGGAAAGGGGATGAAAGCAGAAAAGATGAAATCAGCAGGATTAGGTCAAGATATTCTGTTGCTTGAGACAGAAGACAATCTATTTTCTCAATATGCATAGCATGTAAGATTGGCTAAGCTACTTTGAAGTACAAGATAAATGTATTGGAAGTTTTTTTTTTTCTGGAAGCAAAGGCATTTTAAAAAAACCAATTAACTAGACTGACCTTAAAAGCAGCAAAGGAACTGCCTTTCTCTTTTCAATGTAATTAAGTGCCTTGGGGGGATTTGTTTTTTAAATTGCACTTAACACTGAATTGACTCTCAAGCCCAGCAGAAAATCAGAATCAAGTACAGTCATGTGAAAAAGAAAATACACCCTCTTTGAGTTCTATGGTTTTACATATCAGGACATAATAAAAAGATTATTCATAAGTGGAAAGCATTCAAGACAGCTGCCAATCTTCCCAGGGGCAGACATCCCAGCAAATTTACTCCAAGGTTAGACTGTATAATGCTCAGAAAATTGCAAAAAATCCAAGAGTTACACCTCAGATTCCACAAGCCTGAGTTAGCCTATTAAGCATTGAGCGTTCATGACAATACAATTTTTTAAAAAAGCCTAAGGAAGTATGGTTTGTTTGGAAGAATTGCCAGGAGAAAGCCTCTTCTCTCTAAAAAGAACATGGCAGCATGGCTTAGATTTGCAGAGTTGCATCTGAACAGATTTTAAGACTTCTGAAACATTGTCCTTTGGACAAACAAGACTAAAGAGATGTCTGGCCATAATGCACAGTGCCATGTTTGGTGAAAACCAAACACAGCATATCAGCACATCTCATATCAACCATCAAGCACAGTGGTGGTGAAGTGATGATTTCAGCTTGTTAAACTGAAGCAATGTTGTAAAGAAGAGTGGACCAAAATCCCTCCACAACTATGTGAGAGACTGAGAAAGTCATACAGAAAACCATTACTTTAAAGTTATTGCTGCTAAAAGTGGTTCTGCAAACTATTGAATCCTAAGGTTTACTTAAGTTTTTCACACATGGCTTCTCCATTTTTGCTTTCTTTTTGTAAAATAAATGACATGGTGTAATATGTCATGGGTTGTTGTTCATCTGAGCTTGCATTACCTATTCTTAAGAACTACAGTTGCAAGAAAAAGTATGTGAATCCCTTGGGATTACGTGGAGTTTTGCATGAATTGGTCATAAAATGTGCTCTGAACGTCATCTAAGTCACAACAATAGAAAAACACAGTCTGATTAAAATAATACTACACAAACATTAGATGTTGCCATGGTTTAATTGAACATAACATGTAAACATTCACAGTGCAGGGAGGAAAAAGTATGTGAGCCCCTAGCCTAATGACTTCTCCAAGAGCTAATTGGAGCCAGGAATGAGCCAACCTTGACTCCAATCAGTGTGATGATATTGGATGTGTTGCTGACAGCTGTCCTGCCCTTTAAAAACACACACCTGTTTGGGTTTACTAGTTTCAAGAAGCAGTGTCAGATGTGAACCATGCCTCGCAGAAGAGCTCTCAGAAGACCTACGATCAAGAATTGTTGACTTGCATGAAGTTGGAAAGGGTTACAAAAGTATCTCCAAAAGCCTTGATGTTCATTTGTCCATGGTAAGACAGACTTTCTACAAATGGAGAAAGTTTAGCACTGTTGCTACTCTCCCTAGGCGTGGTCGTCCTGTAAAAATAACTGCAAGAGCACAGCGCAGAATGCTTCATGAGGTAAAGAAGAATCCTAGAGTGTCAGCTAAAGACCTACAGAAACCTCTGGCACATGCTAACATTTTTGTTGACACATCTACAATAAGGAAAACATTAAACAAGAATGGAGTACATGGGAGGACACCACGGAGGAAGCCATTGCTGTCCAAAAAAAAATTGCAGCACGTTTGAAGTTTGCAAAAGAGCACCTGGATGTTCCACAGCACTACTGACAAAATATACTGTGGTCAGATGAAACCAAAATTGAGTTGTTTGGGAAGAACACACAACACTATGTGTGGAGAAAAAAAGGCACAGCACACCAACATCAAAACCTCATCCCCACTGTAAAACATGGCGGAGGGAGCATCATGGTTTGGGGCTGCTTTGCTGCCTCAGGGCCTGGACGGATTGTTGTCATTGATGGGAAAATGAATTCCAGAGTTTATCAAGACATTTTGCAGGAAAACGTATGACCATCTGTCCGCCAACTGAAGCTCTGCAGAGGATGAGTGATGCAACAGGACAATGACCCAAAGCATACAAGTAATTCAACAAAAAAATGGCTTCAACAGCACAGAATACGCCTTCTGGAGTGGCCCAGTCAGAGTCCTGACCTCAACCTGATTGAAATGCTGTGGCATGACCTTAAGAGAGCGATTCACACCAGACATCCCAAGAATATTGCTACACTGAAACAGTTTTGTGAAGAGGAGTGGTCCAAAATTACTCCAGATCGTTGTGCAGGTCTGATCTGCAACTACAGGAAATGTTTGGTTGAGGTTATTGCTGCCAAAGGAGGGTCAACCAGTTATTAAGTCCAAAGTTCACATACTTTTTCCTCCCTGCATTGTGAATGTTTACATGTTATGTTCAATTAAACCATGGCAACATCTAATGTTTGTGTAGTATTATTTTAAGGAGACTGTGTTTTTCTATTGTTGTGACTTAGATGAAGTTCAGAGCACATTTTATGACTAATTCATGCAAAACTCCACGTAATCCCAAGGGGTTCACATACTTTTTCTTGCACTGTAGAAAGGACCAGATGATTTTTACTATGTCCTGATACATAACACCATAAAACTTTGTCAAAGAGGGTGTACTTTCCTTTTCACATGTAAGTATCTCAGTACTTAGAAGAACAGAGTTATGTTAAGCTTCAAAATTATTCTATCCCAATGCTCAGTAGTAATATTGCCTTCTCATCCCTAATGAGCATGAATGTCATATTCATAGGAAAGATGAGTTGAGAATGCCTTGTCTTTGCCTAAATAAATTGTGGAAATGTTCACTAAAAGGAAAATGAGAAGGCGGCTTACTATAATGTGAATAGCAAAAGGATTGTGGGGCTCTGTTCTCCAAGGAAAATAAAAACATGAAGAATTGTATTTCTTTACAAGAGAAAGAAATTATGTAATAGTTTTTCATATTTAAATCAGTGGACTTGTTTATAATTCATCTAAATAATACCTGTACAAAGTTAACAAATGGCAAATCTAACCTACTTTTGTTTATAGATATACTATCTACTTAGTTCTTTCATATTTTTAAATCTCAAAACTCTTACCCTGTTCCTTCCTCATAAGATGATTGCCACCTCAGAGTAATTGAGTAAGGAACAACATCTGTGATGGAAAATTCACGAACTTTAAATGCTGGGGACAGAATTGCACACTAGAAAAGAAATGGAGTATCACTCAGACATGTGTCTGGTACACATTTATTTTATTTATGAGGTACTAGTCAACTACATTTTAACTTCACAATTATAAAACCTAAGAAAAAGTGTGGTAGCAAAATCTATGTTCTTGGAGATGACTAGTAACTTTTTTCTGTGACCAGAAAAATCATACAAGGCATGTGACATTGCTCACAAACAGAGCTCAGCTGTTTCAGAGAACAGATTCAGGATTAGTCAAAATGATTAATTAAAAATATATATAATTTAATTTATGTTAAATTGGTTAAATAGCTTGTTACCTTCAACTCAATGTGAAGATTAATGTAATTATAGCATGCTTCTTTTGATAAATTTGCAAAGCCAAGAAATTTAAGTTGCTATACTGAAAAGAAAAACAGTTTAACACACCTGTAATGCACAACCCCTTGCAACAGCTTCATCTGCATTTAATGTGGTACTTATCTCTTTACAGAAAAAATTACAAATCTGTTCCTTCACAGCTGGAATACGAGTTGCTCCTCCTACTATTTCTACACTGTAAATATCTTCACGCTGTAGTTCTAGGAGACAAACGAGAAAATTTGTTTTTATGGATGAAAAATATAATCAGTTTTAAAGGGAATGGATTCATTTGATAGAGAGACTGCAAGAAAGGAAGCAGTTTCTCTATTATATATTGGCATGTCTCTTTTGTTAAAATTAAAACCTACTGAATACTTGTGGAAATTCTGTTTCAAAAATGTACTTACCATTCTTATAGGTAATAGGGCTCTAAATCTAAGTATTAAATAAGCATGCCAAAATAACAGTGAGAAATTAATGCGACATATAACATAGGAAGCTATCTGCTGGTTCCAGAACCTAGCAGAAGTGAATACATAAATAGATAATAACAAAAATAAATACGGTATAGTGTAATTGGCAGTGAGTTTTAGCAGCTGGCAAAAAGCTGTTTAATCTGTTCAGTTTCATTAAAAAACAAAGACAAAAAGACTCCCAAAAATTATTTATATGCTTTTCTTGGCTCTCTAAAGGGACAACTATAAAAGTAAGGTAAGCAGATATATTGAATAATCTTTCTCTAATACTAACTTTTGTTTTTCAGCTACAGACCCTAAGTTCTTAGGATTTCTGATTTTCCAGTTGCAAATGTTCATGTTTCCAAAACCAAAACTGATATCCAGTAGAAGCAAAGTCTAAGGAGGTTTATGAGAACAAAAACTTCTGTAGAAATGGGCATATTTTAACAAAAATAAAGCAATTCCTGGACAGGGCCTCAAAACAGTTCTACAAAAGAAGAATTTGTTCAATGGACATGAAATGCTCAATGGCTGTTTGAGCAAAATGAAGACTATAAAGAAACTAGAATCCTAAAAAAGAAGCATTTCACACTGCAACATTTTAATGCAAACTTTATTTATTTTGCTCTACCCTGATTTCTACTTCTATTACTATTGGAATAGAAAAAAAAATGAAAGTATGATAAAATGCTTGTCTTCATTCAGATTCTGTACACATAAACCATTATCAGTGGAAGTAAGAACCATCAGAACCTTAAATGAGCTTTGGGGCCATCTGAAGGCTGGATACACAGATGTCCTATATCAGTGATGGCTAACCTTTTTGCCATCGTGTACCAGGAGTGGGGGGGAAGTCGCGCGTGCGCCCACATCCATAATTCTATGCGCCCCACGCATGTGCGCATGACCCTCCCCATGCTCCTGGCACGCAATAGCATGGTAGGCCCATTTTTTGCTCTCCCCAGCTTCCAGAGCCTTTCTAGGAGTCTGGGGAGAGTGAAAACGTTTGCCAATGTCCGGTGGAACTTCCGATATGGCTACGCATGCCACAGATTTGCCATCACGGTCCTATACTGAACTTATACAATATAACCAGAAATTAAGTTCAGAACACTCTGCTCTGCTGGTGCATGGTACAATATTTCAAAGTGATGTCCAAATAGTGAGAACTCCCACTCAACAAATGAACTATAGCGAACTAGTGACTATTCACAAGTATAAAATATAAGGTAATTTCCCCCCCCACCCCTTTTTGATTGTTTTCATCTTCTACTGTACATTTGTGCCAGTTACTTGACTACACCATCCTGATCTATACAAAGTCTATGAATCCTCAGGACCTGTTACTTAATTCTAAGACATTCTTCTTGAGACTCATGATTTTGGTTGCTTATTCAATGTTAGATCTGAATCTGTATGTGTACAGTCTAGCTCTCCTTTCCCAATCTTCTACCAAATTTTCTTTCCAGCACATTTTCTTCTCTTTCCAAACCAACAGAGTATTCAAACACAATTATGTACATGGGTTAGGACTCTGTCCGTCTGACTATCCATTAGCATGACAACAGTCTAGAAACTAAGTAGAACAGGATCAAATTTGGTGTGAAGAACTGAACAAGAGAAAGATCAAGTTCAAAATAGACTGGATCAGACAAGGAACAGCAGCATAAAAAAAAAAAATCCACAAAATTCCCCCAAATGCATTCCTTAGGGAAGAGGCAATTTGGAGCTGTTCAGCATATTACCAACTCCTGCAAACTCAGAACCCTTCTTTCCTCTTTGTCACATGGCACAGAACAAAACTATTAGGGGATAAAAAATTCTAGAAGTCATACTTTGCATGTTTTTCTTCTCATTTGCTTTCTTATCTATTGTACTGGATGCCATTTTTCTATTTATATCAGGGGTGTCAAACTCAATTTCATTGAGGGCCGCATCAGGGCTGTGGTTGACCTCTGGGCCAGGTAGGCATGGCCGACTGAATGGGTCTGGCCAGCTTGATGCCACTCACTGAGCGTGGCCAGCTTGACGCCACTTCCCAAACTGCTGGCATGTTTTCTCTTTGCACTCGGTAGACCAGGCCGAAGCCACGCTGGCCCAATGTTTCCTCTTCGCATTGGGTAGACCAGGCCAAAGTGATGCGGGTAGACAGGGCTGAGGCAACACGGGTAGACGTGGCCGAGGCAACATGGGCCAGCCCCTTACATTTTCCAGGACAGCCCCGCGGGCTGGATCCAACCACATTGTGGGCTGCATCCGGCCCATGGGCCTTTTATTTGACACCCTTGATCTAGGTAATTATTTTCTTCCCTCATCTTCTTAGCATCTTTTCTGTACTTGATAGAATCACATATACCCAACTTTGTAAAATTATATTTTCAATTTCCATAGACATTAAATAATTAAAGAATATTCAATGTGATATGCATGACCTTATATTTAATATAAAGAAGCCTTTATATTAAATATAAGCATCCAAAATAAGCTGTTGCAGCATTTACTTACTAGCTTGTTCCATCACTGCTCTCAAAGGAGGTTCTACTCTGGCCAGAAGAGATGCACACAGTTGTTCAAACTGAGCCCTATTTTGAGAAAAGAATATTAAATATTTCAGGCATATAAATGGTTATCTCATAATTCCCACTTTATACAATGAATATGATACCTGTTCATTTTGCTAGAGACATCAACGTCATTCATAAAGCATTCTATGTTTACTGGAAGATCAGAAGTATTTGCACTCATCAGCTTCTTCAGTTTTTCACATTCCTGGTATAACCGCAGCAATGCTCGACCATTGTCCTTAACATTAAGTTTATATTTCATCCTGAACTCTTCGCAGAAATAATCTACCAACGCATCATCAAAGTTTCTACCACCCAAAAAGGGATCAAATGTAGTAGCAAGTACCTATAAAATTAAGTAGAATAATAAGGAACATAAAAGCAAGCAAGAAAAAAAGACTTGTGGTTAGATAATGCAAACAGAAGTCTAATGCAGTGTCCATGCAAAAATAATGCAATGTATAACTCTGCTGGCATTACATCCTTATTCTCATCTTCATTATTATTACTATTATTTAAGATTTAATCTTCAAATCAATTGACAGTCTGAGTCTGATAAGAATTTAACAGTTCAAGTCCTAACCAAGGAACTAAGATTATTAAGGTAGCGTCTGTGTATATAGGCAGTTCCGAGTAAGGTGGTTTTTTGCAAAGTCAGAATATTCAGGGCTGATAAATTCAAAATTTCCATGTACCTAGGCAACCCTTTGGGTATTGCACCAAGGATTCCTATTACTATTCATACAACCATTGATTTCTTCCTCCACACTCGCTCAACTTCAATTTGCAGATCATGGTATTTTGTTATTTTTTTTCTAATTGTGTTATTATTATTTTCTTCATTAAATATGAAACTCAGTCAACTGAACATTTAAAGATGTATCACAAATATTGAGTGGCTATTATTATTATTATTAATTATTATATCAGAAAACATTCAAAGCGCAGCTGTGAGGCAAAATATTATTACAGGGTTTTTTCCTGTAAAATAATAATATAATATTGCTCATATTTATTTTCTGATTTAACTTATTTTTTATCCTGTTTTATATGTTGCTTCAATAATTTACCTTCAATTTTCCTTTGTTAAAAGCACAGACAGAAATCTGGTAGGCAGAATGTCCCATGTCTACAAAAACCACATTCCTTGGTCTCTCTTCTGGGGCTGGTAGATCTTGTTTATAAATTCCATAGGCTAAAGCAACTACAAGAATGTACAGAGTAAATTCTATGAAGTAGAAAAGCTTTAAAAATAACATATAGAATTATGAAAAACCAAAGAAAATAGACCAAGTAAAATAAAGAAAGCATACTTTTTTGCAGGGTTTTCAATAAATTCTTCTAACATCAGAAACAATTAGCTTCAAAACATTGGTTGCACTGTAACTAGTTATGTGTAAAACTATTATTCTAACTACTTTTGGAACATAACAAACCAATCAGATTTACTGAAATTTCATATGCTTGGAAAAAAATGGAATGGGGACACTGAAATATTTCAAGATGGAACAGAGTTTCATATATCTTGGTAATTTACCACTGTGTATATAAGTATTTTCTAAAATAAATCAATTAGCTTTAGGAAAACAATATTGTTTGATAATTTTAAAATATTTTGAAACTTTGACTTAACCATTTCTTTTAAGGGAAAGGGTTTACATTTTTTTTCCTGCCAGTCCTTTACTCTTGTGCTTGGCAATCCACATTTGCTAAATTCACATCTGAAGGCTGCTCCTAAATATTCAAAATGCCATTTTTTTTAATACTGTCAAAATTAAAAGCTACTCCAGAACACTAATTTCTCTTACTTATGTTCTAATGATATTCATCACAACTCATTGAAATTACTTATAGTTAAAAATGGCATAATTTGAAGAATTTGCCTTACTTAAGAAACTTAAAAACCTTCTCTCTTGCAGTCCTTCTTTATAAAAATGGTGAGGAAACAACAATACTTACTTTAGTAGAAATCACTCATACTGGAGGATAGTTTACTTGAAGATACCCCAGAATTTGGTTGTATACTGTATAATCTTGTTAGTTTGTTATGTTATATACTTTGTCTCTGATTTGCAAAACTGCAATATATCACAAGTAAAACATAAATTTACCTGCTGTAGTTTCATTCATTAGTCTCAAGCAATTTAAACCGGCCACTTGCACTGCTGCTATAACAGATCTTCTCTCGGCATCAGTAAAAAAGCTTGGGATCTGTGGAAAAATGTTTTCTATTAATTTCACTATATTCATCTTTCTAATGAGTTTTCTACAGGTGGCTTATGCCATTACAAAAACTTAAATTATAATCCTGAAATATGCAATTTAAATATAATTGTGCTAATTAATCCGTTTCAGTATTAATAGGCTAATTAAAATGTATAGATTACACATATTTCCAATGGATTAGTTTGGAATAATTTTATTGCTCTATAAGGCACTAAATCAAATTAGATCTCAATGCTGCAGAAAGACATATATTTTGACTGTACATATTTCTTATTTTCAACTTTTGCTTTTCCACAAAATGCCAGGTTGGGAAGAGAAAGGGAGCTGAGTAGCAGTCTATATTTCAATTCACTTCATGAATAGTGCTGTACATATATGGATGGTTCTTGACTTACAACCACAATTGAGGCCAGCATTTCTAGTGCTAAGTCAAGAGATTTGTTGAGTGAATTTTGCCTCATTTTCCAACCTTTCTTGCCAGTTATTAAGTGAATTACTGTAGTTGTCAAGTTAGTTTGGCTTTCCCATTGACTTTGTGTGTCAGAAAGTTGCAAAAGATGATCATGTGAGCCTGGGATACTGCAACCATCATAAATATGAGTCAGTTGCCAAATATATGAATTTTGATCATGTGACCATGGGGATGCTGCAATGGTTGTAAATGTGAAAAATGGTCATAAGACAGTTTTTTTCAGTGCAATTGTAACTTTGAATGGTCACTAAATAAAATGTTATGAGTTGAGGACTACCTGTAATGCCTGGAGCAAGTCTTCTACCTGCAACAAATGTAAGCTAATAACTAATTAAGCAACTTAGGTGCAAAACCTAATGTATTATTTGGTAATTGGGTTTCTTGCAAAATAATATCAACAATGTTTCATGTGCTGGCCACAAAACAATGAGAGGGAGGTGACAATGTGAATGATTTACTTTGCCTCAAAGCAACCAATTTTCAGGATGTGATGAACATCCTAAATCTATATGTCTGAATTTGGGCAGACTTCAGCTTATCAAGTATCTACTATATATACAACTGCTTACTCTTTACACATTTCATTATCAGTAATTGAGAAATCAGAAAAGAATATTTAGAAAACAAAACTTTATTAGCTTATAGTTTAATGTTATAATTGCCCAAAGTCACAAGATAAGCGGCAAACAAACCAAATCAAATAAACACAGCTGTATTTCCAGGAACATATTATAATCTAATCATTCCAAATATTATATGACAGTATTACTTTATAAGTATATCATTATAAAAACTTACGGAAATGACACAATCTGCTACAGGCTTTTTAAGTGTACTTTCTGATGTCTCCTTAAGCTTAACTAATAGCATACCAGTAACTTGTTCAATAGCAAATAATCTCTCTTCATCCAAATAACGTACCTAGAGTTTAAAAAACACCCAGATAAATTAATAACAAACTACAATACATAGTAGGCACTCATGTTATAAAAGCCCGGATGCGTCACACTCATTTTATTATTGTTTCCAGCAAACTCTATTTAGTGAGATAGAGGTCCCCAACCCTCAGGCCACGGCCCACTACCAGGTGGCATGTGAGCAGCTCCACTTGCATGGGCGAGTGTGTGTATCTGCACAGCTCCATTTGTGCGATTGGCGAGTGCATGAGCCTGCCGTTTGCACAAATGGAGCCTGCATCCATGCGTTCACCTACAACTCGCATGTAACTATTCCCTCTCCCCCCTTGCCAGTCTGCAAAGCTGGAAAGGTTGGGGAACGCTGCATTAGAAAGACCAGATCTTAAAATTTATTGTTCTTGTATTCTGACAGCAGGCATCATAAGAGAAAGTTCTATGCTCACCTTCACTCCTACACTCCCATTAGGTAATTTCTGAAGCTCATATGGCAGTTTCTCTTTCTCGGATTTTATAAAGGGATCATTAAATGCTCTCCCATGCAGCTTTTTAAATCCATGTAATGTATTCTTAATATTTGTGATAATCTGTCAAAATAGTATTAAGGTATTAATGTTCATATTAAAGTTCCTTTCATCTTAACAGTTTTTCAATAGTTTTATTAATTTATTAGTAAAAACAATATTCCATTCTTATTATGCATTTATAATTCCTTAGTTCTGTAATAAGATTTTATTTTATGCAAGACATAAATACCTAAATTCATAGTGTCCACTGGTGGTAATACTATCAATGCTTTTGATTTAAAAAGAGTTTTGTGAATAAATTTTCTTAAAAAAAATTAAGAATTTCTGCTGAATAAAATGATAACTTTTGAAATAATTATAAACTTATGTTTACCTGGCTTTTTGCTGCATTTCCAATAGTCCGGGCTTTGGATCCCAAAGATATACAAGCTCTGAAAAACAACAGATACTCTATAAATGTGCATGAAGAAATCAGATTGTTATCTATTGGGCTGTGAAAGATTCATCAATCTGAAAACAGAAAAAATAAGTATGCAACACTAAACATAGATGTATATAAATTTCAGTCATGTGATCTAGTCTGGGAAGTTCGTCTACAGAAGTTCAGCTTGATTCAAAACAATCAGTATAAAACAAATATAATGGAAAGTAGTGATGGTAAAGGAAGAAGCTAACCTGATTCCACAGAGCAAATAACCAAACCACGAATCATAAGCAGCCCCCTTTCAGAGGCAAATCTAATCTCATCAATATATTTTGACCTTCAGACAATCAAAAATGACAATACAAAAAGTAGAATTTTCAAGGATTTGTTTGAGAATCAGCAATGTAAATAATTGATAAGTAGCAATAGCACTTAGACCACAGGTGTCAAACTTGTGGCCCGCAGCCCGGATGCGTCACGTGCTGGCCACGCCCACCCCCGGTGACAAAAAGTAAAAAAGACAAAAAGCGATACATCATGACATGACAACGCGAGTTTGACACCCCTGACTTAGACTTATATACCACTTCATAGTACTTTACAGCCCTCTCTAAGCAGTTTACAGAGTCAGCACATTGACCCCAACAATCTGGGTCATTGTAAAATAAACATTTTAACTGAACTAGATTTAAGGGTAACCATAAATTATTGAATTTTAAAATGTTTGCAAATTATCCAAGATCCTAAAGTTCAAAGCCACAAGTTAAATTCTTATTTTTTTATACAACACTGTAAATTCCAGGAGCATAAAATAGCTATCAACCTCCAGATATAGCAAAATAGCCCCTTCCTAGTAGTAAAGAGTAAGGCTAAGCAAAAGAGTTTGAAGTCCTGTTTCTGATTTTGGGAATACATAGAACAAGATGAATTTTGGCCTGATCCAACATATACATAAATACATTCATTCACTCTCACTCTCACTCCCACACATATTCATGTTTTTCTATAATCAATTCATTATCAGTTTTTGCTACATTTAAAGAAAATAATAGGTGGAATGTTTGCAATGACAAATATTGTTTTTCAAAGGAACAAAGAACATGCAACAAATAATTGGGTGCTTTTGATTATATAAATTTTCGATTCTGCTAAATCTACAAAGAGATAATACCTATTTACAACTCCTGGTTGTAACCCATGGAAACAGGGAAGAGTGAACAAGTTCCACCTACTTCTGCAATACTCTACAATCATGTACACATCATCTCTTTCCAGGTACCACCCTCCACGCCTGATAGTTAAGAGAGGCAATAGAACAAGAAGTAACATGTCAGGCAAAAGGAAAGAATGCTACAAAACAGTAAAGATGAAATACTGGCCAACTTCTTTTACCCTATATATCCTCTCATGTAAGGTTGAATATGCAAAAATGGTACATATTACTGTGACCTGAATTGCCCTCAATAATATTTTTAACTGAAGAGAGACAATTATTTTGAGGTTCAGAAAGAAATGTTAAACCATGGAATTATTTGCAAAAACTTAAAAATGCTTCTGTTTCAATGCTATTGTGATGGATGGATGAAAAATGGCAATGGACAAAAGTAAAAAATAATGTGGGATAGTAGATGTCATGATCTTCACAATAGGTTCTTTTAAATATCAAATCATAGTTTTTAACAGAGCTACAATGTTTAGATGTGCAATTCTCATTTTTTAAAAAAGTAATCAGATGAGAAATGAGATCAGAAGAACAAAATAACACTTAAAAATAACAACAATAACAATATAACAAAGTGAAAAGAAGAAAAATCTTTCTGGAAAAGAGATAAATCCTATTTCTCTAATCCAAAGCCTCCAAAACACTATTTGATTCAAGAAAGGGATTCTGGAAGTTAGAATTTTAAGATATCTGGAAAAGGTCAGCACTGTTAAGAACAAAAATTCAGCACTAGAACACACGTTTTGTGTGAAAAACAGTGCCAGGAAAATTCCAAGCCTTTCTAAGTAAGACTGATCAAGGCACTTCTGGAAAAGTTAGTTTTATCTCAATTTAACGATCTTCCACATTTGGCAGTTATAAACCTATTGGTCTTATTCAGCAGGACCAGTTAAGAATGAGTTGGAGGTCAAATACACCCAGCTAAGCTGAGAATTTGACAACACCGAACTACCACAGTTCAGGATCCGTGCTCCATGCTGATACATAGCAGCGTCCAAGTTTATACATGACAATGAGCCACGATTTAGGATGTCGTGTGAACCCACCTACTAAGGGTTTGTAAACTATGGTAACAGCTCACAATTCAGAGAGAGAGAGAAGCTTGTAATTCTAACCGGCCCTTGCCAACCTCGTAATTTCCAGGTAGGCAGAGTAGCACCGGTCGGGGGGGGGGGGGAAGCTCCTTAAAAGGTTTCATGAGGCGGAGGCTGCCGGGAAAGGAGCCAACGGAAAGAGCACGAGCCGCCGTTAATCTCTCCGGAGCGGAGGCTGTTGCCCAAAGCCCGGTTGGAAGGCTAAGACTCACGGGGTGCAGCGGTCGCTGTACTCATTGGCGATGGTCTCGATGCCGCCCCTCCGCGCCACCGCGATGTAGCAGTTCTGAAAGCCCAGGTCGATGCCCACCACAGACATGACTGCGGCGGGTGCGGTCCGCTTTCTTCCTCACCCCTCCCTCCGCGTTACCGCGGCGGGCCCTGGCGGGACAGTGCTCGCGGCGGGGAGACGGCACCTCGGCGAGTAGGCTCGCTCGCTCGCTCGTTCTGTCACTGCGGAGCAACAACCGCCAACCGGCACTTTCTCTCATCTGCGCAGGCGCGGCTGATTGCCAGACGAGGACACCGCGAAATTCCGACTTGGGCTTCGGCAGTTTCCGCGCGTCCTCGGGTAGCCTCCAGGAGTTCGAGAAAGATCTGGAATCCGGGTGAGGAGACTGCGAAAGAGGCTTGTCTAGGACGCCCTCTAAGGGCCAGGGTCCGGAACGGCGTTGTCACAGAGGCCCAAAGCGGGAGAAGCACGGAATACGATTAGGGGCAGCTTGCAGTTATATAGCCAAAAATTATTACCATTTTACTTCCTTTGTATTTTACGTCTCCAATTCCCGGATTGAATAGAACCCAGGAAATATGAAATCAACACCGAAAGAATAAATAGACCATGAAAGAAGATGAAGAAGACACGTGTCAGAATAAGAAATAAAAATATAAATAATTGGGATATTTATTTGTTTTTATTTAAAGATTTGAATAGCTGCTCATCTTAAAACCAAACTTTGGGTGGCTCACACTCAAAAGAATAAAAAAAATATAACAATAAAAACAGTACAATGGGACAATTGATTATCTTATATTATAAATGATGAGCATATACAAGACATGAGTACAGGATATTTACTCTGACAGATAATTATGTACTATCAAGTTGATATCAATTCTTAGTGACTACTGTAGGAAGTTGGCACCCACCCCTTTCCTGGAAGAGTGAAAAATTTTAGGAAATATGAAAAAGGCAGAATATTATATTTCCCTGGATGAGAAATGGAGAAGCATATTTTACAGACAAAGCCGCTCCCACCTTCCTGCCCCCCCCCCACCTTTGTCAATGGGCCATTAAGGCCTGGGCCAGTCTATTCTACATAACAAAGATCTGACTCCTTCAGGCAGAGCCATAGTAGGAATTGCCAAAGATCCAACAAAGATAGGATTAGCCCTCTACACAATAGCAGCAGAAACTCACCACATGTGACCTGGGAAGCACATGTGACCATCAGACAGCAAGGCTAGCTAAGACCCCAACCCCCTGGGAGTCTGACAACCAATCAGGATACTCTTGGGGCCCCAAGAAATGCAGAGCCAGAGAGAGCATAAAAACCCGAGGATTTACTGTATCTGCCCCTTTTCTGTTCAGGAACTCAAGCCATGTGATCCTGTCCACCATTAAACCATCTTTCCAAGCAGTCTCCATGTTTCCAGTGTCTTTTTCCCCACTTGGAGCAGAACCCAGAAGGATGTTTCTTCTAACACTACATAAATAGATTTTCTCAGTTATAACAGAGTCAATCTATTTTCTGCTTGGTTGTCTTCTCTTTCCTTCCATCTTTCTCCGCATTACAGCCTCTAGGCAAGTAACTCTTTATATACTGTGTCTAAAATAAAATAATTTATGTTGAGGTATGCCTGAAGCGAGAATTCTGGATTTATTTCTTTGATAATCCATTGGGACTTCTTTGGGCTGCCTCAATATTCTCAGGAGTTTTCTCCAATATCATATTTCAAAGATATCAATACTCTCACTATCCTGCTTCTTCTAAGTTCAACTTTCGCTTCCATAGAGTGTCATAGGGAATACCATGGCTTGCAGTATTTTAATGTGTACCCTAGGTTTCCACAATTGGTGCAACTCTGTAATTGGTGCAAATTATTGTACAAAAATACAATATTCTCCCATCAGCCATCTTTTCCCATCAGCAAATAAAGGGGACAGGCAGAAGGCTGTGACTTTGCTGATAACCCACAACTGTCTGTAATGCGTTTCAGTTTCTATTTTTCTGATACTTTGCACTAAATATTTTTCTTAAATGGGAATTCTTTTTGTATACAGATAGTCTTTGACTCACAACATTCATTTAATGATGATTTGAAGTTGCAACAGCCTTGGAAAAAATGACATGACCCATCCTCAAAGTTGATTATTACTCCCACTTGCTTACATGATCACAATTTGGGCACTTGGCAACCAACTCCCATTTATAGTGAAGGACGTTAGCACCCACCCCTCTCCTAGAAGAATGAAATATTATAGGAAATATTAAAAAGGCAGAATATTATACCTCCCTGGATAAGAAAAGGAGAAACATGCTCTTGGAAAGCAACCCTCACCTTTATCAATAGCCCCAGAAAGGCTGGGCCAACCTATCTACAAAACAAAAGACTTTCATCCTCAGGACATGATAGGATTAGCCCTCACTCAAGATCCAAACCAGGACAAAGCCATTAAACCATAATAGGAATTGCCTAACACCCTTTCGGAACACAATCCTCTTCATTACATCATCAATCCAGCAAGATTCAACCAAGCCTGGGACTCAAGACAATCTACAAAGTTATTCCTGCATGGCTCCATGGGAGTCCGACAACCAATCAGGATACCTGCCCTTATGCAGGAACAGAAAGCTCTAAGGCGGGGCCCAAGAGAGGGTATAAATCTCTTTCTCTCACCCATGTGCTCATTTGCCCAGGACCCAAAAAACCCACGTGGTCCTGCCCACCATTAAACCATCTTTCTAAACAGCCCCCATGTTTCCAGTGTCTTTCTCCCCACTTGGAACCTAACCCAGATGGACATTTCTTCCAACAATTGAAACAGAAAACTGATGGCAGAAAAAGACCCAGTGGTACATCAAGTCTATCCTTTGAGTTTGTTTTTCTGTTTTTGTTTTCTGTCTAATTATTTATTTTGATTTTATTACTTATTTATTTTTAATCTTTGTTGAATGATTCACGTGTTTATCCCAGTGGTGAAATCTAAAAATTTTTGCTACTGGTTGTATGAGTGGCTTGGTGGTCATGTGACTGGGTGGGCATGGCTTGGTGGTCATGTGACTGGGTGGGCGTGGGCAACTTGACATCACTCACTGTTAGAGCCAGGAATTGCACTTTCTGAAGCACATTCTGGCCTTCTGAAGCCAACACTTTGAGTTTCTTCCTCTTCTTTCTCTCTCTCTCCCCCTTCCTTCCTTCCTGTTTTTCTCCTTTTTTTCTTTGTCTCTCCCTCCCTTCCTCTTTTCTTTCTTTCTCTCTTCCTTTCTCTTTCTTTCTTTCTTTCTTTTTCTTTCTTTCTTTCCTCTCTCTCTTTCTCCTCTCTCTCTCTCTCTCTCTCACACACACACACACACCCCTGGTCTGAGCAGTGGCTGATGCAGGAGAAGGAAGAAAGTGCTCCGGGAGGGAAGGTGGCCGGTCCAGAAGCAGTGCGTCCCCCATCATGGGCTGGATGCAGGCAGCAGGACCCGAGGCAGAGGGAAAGGCAAGCGGGCGGCATTCGCCCAAAGGTCTGTGGGAGCCAAGAGCACCAGGCCCAAAAGGCGAGCAAACCTTGCCATGTTCCCCTGAGACGGCTCTTCAGCCAAGTGCAGCAGGTCTCCCTTCCCCACCGCCAGTGTCGGCCTTACATGTGCCCGCCTTCCTGGGGCTGCCCATGCAAACCCCAGCGGAGCAGCAGTCTTGGCTCCAGCGGTAACTGAGTGAGAAGGAAGAAAGTGAGCAGTCTCTCAGCGCCAGCAGCACCGCCCATCTCAGCCCCAGTAACAGTTGTGTCTCCCCCAAGGGCTGCCGGGCCAGCAGAAAGCAACTGTCTCCCACTCAAAAGACTGGTCCTTGGGTGGGATGGGTTAGGGTTCTCTTTCTTCCTCATGAATTAAAAACCCATGTTAGAGCTGCAGAGGAGGAGAAAGAGCGGGGCTTGCTGCACAAAAACCCCAAAGGCCATGCAAAGTTGCAAACTATGGGCAAGCTTACTAAATGAACTCAATGAACCCTGCAAGGAGGAGGAGGAGAAAGTCACGGTCTTCTTGCCTTCCTTCTTGCCGCTCCGAGCTGTGCCCTGCCTCGAAGCTACCGGAGAAGAGGAGGAGGAGGGCTGCTTGGTGTGATGGCTGCATTTCCTCTCGCCCCTTGCATGGGCAGCATCTCGGCCTTGCAAGTGCCATGGGCTGCCCAGCACAAGCCACGGGCGTTGCATCGGGGTGCTGGAGGCAAGCGGTGCAGAGCAGTTTTGCAGAGGAGGTAGAATAGCGCAGCAGCAGCTGTTAATGTCCTGTTTCTTGCCAGCCAAACAAGAGAAAGAGGGGGAGGAGGGAGGGAGGGGCAGTTGGGTCTTCCTGGCCTTTGCTAGGTGCTCTACCCCCCCTCCCACTCCCCCAATCGCTTCCAAAAGATGCGAGAGGTGTTTTGGGCAAAGGTGGGGAGTTTTTGGAGCAGGAGAATAAAAAGGCTCTAAGAGACCCGGATTGTCACTGGGCTCCCCCTCCCCTTCTTTATTTGTCTGCCACTGCCATGTCTGGTCCCTTTTTGTTAAGCCCACTGCTCCCCGGCACCACCACCCCTCTCAGTGCTAGTGCAGCCGCTGCACCTCCCCCAAGGGCAAGGGGGTTAGGGTTAGCTGGACACCGACCTCAGAAGGCAAGTGGGCATGGGGGACCGCCGGGAAGGCAGCGTGGAAGGCAGGCAAGCATGGTAGGGCTGCGGGGAAGTAGACTGCTAGCTCCCTTCACTACAGCCCTGCCATGCTTGCCTGCCTTCCACGTGGCCTTCCACTTGCCTGCCTTTGCAAGCTGGCCATGGGGATGCTGGGAAGGCCACGTGGAAGACAGGGTAGCATAGCAGGACTGCAGGCTGCGGACCGGTTTGGGGGCATGGCCAGCCAGCAGTCGCTACCGGTTCAGCAAACCAGCTCCAATGTCCGCTACCAGTTCGCCTGAACCCGTCCAAACTGTAGCATTTCACCCCTGGTTTATCCCAAACATGTTTAAACTCAGTTACTGATGATTGACCCAGTATCTCTGCTGGAAGTAGGTTCCAAGCTTCCACTACTTTTTCTGTGAAGCAATACTTTCTAATATTACTTTTGAACTTCCCTCCTGTCAGTTTGAGGTTATGCCTCCATGTTCTTGAACTTGAACTATATGATTCACTTAACAAATGTGGCAAAAAAAAGTGTGACTCACTTAAACATCTGCCTCACTTAGGAACAGAAATTCTGCTCCCAATTGTTGTACTTTGAGGACAACCTGCATTTGACTTTGAATCCAACTTCTGATTTACTTAAATTGCTAATTCTTTGTATTCCCAGTTCAAGTCTGCAATATTTTCATATTCAGTTAAATCTACATTGTCTGGATAGCTTATTCAATTGTGCATAATATATTCACCATCAGAAGAAATATTGCCTCTTCCTAAATGAATACATATACCCTAAAGAATTCTGCTAATTGCAGAAGTAAAGGTTTAGTCAAAATCTTAATCATAATGCAAAAAAAGATGGACCTTAAAGAGAAACATACCAAGTGAACATACATCATATTGGACCCTTGCACTTTACTGGGGCTATCACTTCTGAGCCATAATGAGGTATAGCAAATTCTATCTAACTCTTTGCTGCCCTTGGCCAATTATTTAACATCTGGATGTCTAAAACCTAGAACGGGCAGTTCACTTTTAAAGAAAACTGACTCTTAATTATTTGTAGCATGAAATGATTAACATGCTTAAATTTAAAAAAAATTAAGAAAGTGCTAGAACTTCCTTTGCTAGGCAACAGTCATGTAACGGCATACAACTGCATAAAAATTCTCCAAATTACTGTTGTTGAATGAGAATTATCTCTATATAAAACCAATCAATTATTTCTTTCAACAAACTCTGGAATAAAAAAGAATATTTTACCATATGTGAATGCAGTCAGTCCTTCTTTATAATATAAAAAGATGTAGCAAAAACCCAACAACTAATTTTATTCAACAAACCATGACAATGCAATGTGTGAATCAAACCTTAGTTTCCAGTTATGGTTTTGGCAGCGAGATTTATAGGGTTAATACACAATAAGCTAAAAGTACATATATTCTGATTTAGCATATTGTGCATTATAAATAGCTACTGTAATCTATAATCTATAATCCATGGATTACTATAATAATTAAGATTATTGTGCAAATAAGGCACATTGTTTATTTGTGAATACATTTTAACATCAAGTTTATAATATCTCTGCCTGTTTAAGGTTGAAGTTGTTCTTTTTTTCAATTACTGTCTCAGTGTTGTTCATTTCTAATATGGCACTAGCAAGATACTATCTGATAGCAAGATGCTATCTGTAACCAATTTAATAGAAGTATTTTTTGGTAAACTTTGTCTTCCCTGAAGACACCATCTGGCCACAGTCTCAAAAAAATGGCTTCAAAGCACTCTTCAGCTATGGTGGTTGACAAAAATTCTTTAGCTCTTCACCCATCCTTTCAGGGTGCAAATGAGCAAGCTATAATGACAGATATTTGATCTTTGAGAATGCAAGTAATGCATGAAGAAAAAAAAAGATTTTTCATAAGCCTGTTGACTGGCATATATGACTTTTCTTAGCACCATCTATCAAACAATCAAGATTTTCTATCCTCATTACCATCTTGATGTTGGAATTAGAAATCAGACATCCCAGTTGTAATGCTACATCATTTTTTATTCTAAATTTAGGAGAAAACAATCCCACCCCATTTTAGATTGAGCTCTGCAGTATTATTCTCCCTGTTTGATATAGAGGTAATGCTTATCCTGATTATTTGGATCCATATAATTTTCCTAATTATTAAACTCTATGTAACGAAGACTACTAAAATATGTGGATTAAATTCACCAAATAAATGTTATTTTCTAATATTTGTCTAAGAATTTAAGGAATCTTTTCTGGCAGGTGTCTGATTTTATTAATCTATTCTATTAAGAACTAGGCTAATTTCTTCCAGATATTTGCTTCTAAAAAATCTGTTGCAGAAGTTAACAATAAGATTATTTTCTTGAATGGATATCATCAACAGATTTTTTTTTTGGCTCCTAGTTTATCAGGGTCAGTTTAAATATGCATGTAGTTTTAAACCTTAGGGGTTCAGTTAACTACTTAAATGATGTTCTTTATTATTTTCATAAAATCTTCTGAACCCCTTTTTTCTGAGATCAGCATCAATCGACATTAAACAAGACACTATTGAAAAGATGACTATGGTTACACAAGCATCAATCGTTCTCTGCAGATTTCTTTATATCTGCTCAGAAACCTTTTTTAGCATTGGTGAAATACATTCTTTTTCAATAGCCTTACAGATTTGTTAGTAGATTCTTAACAGAGAGTATTCCTTTTCATTTCCTTTCCTATGAATTTTAGATTTTAATATTGTCTTTCTCTCTCTTGTTCTGATTTACTGCCTTTTTTCTCTGCTTATTACATTTTATTGCTTTCTGTTGTAAATCACCTTATGGGTATCTGACAAAAGGCACACTGAGGCTCTCCTCCTATTTCTACAATTTATATCCTGTGAACAGTATCATTGAAGAACAACAGATTTACAGATTATAATCTTTACTAACTGTTTTACACTGATGATTTTTACTACACAAAGTTAATTTATTGCTTTGGAAAGACATAACTGAAATTCTTACATTGTATTTGATTCCTTTACCTGAATGTGTCCCGTTTTTGCTTCGAAACACATTCTTTCCTTTTTAAAGAACTTCTGTGATACTGGAAAGGTTAAGGAAAACTGTCTCCTAGCAAGAAACTCCTATTATTACTTTGCTGCAGAACATTACAGTACATTCATTTCAAGATGCCCTTAATTCAAACTATTGAACAAAATAATTGGAATAAACATGCACTAACTCGGGCTATAATCTGTCTAAATTTTCTTTAGCTTTGCCTTGAAAAGATTTTATTTCTTACTAATAAAAAGTTTAAACTCCAATGTAAACTATTCGGTTTGGCTCAAAGCAAACTGGATTCCAATCCAAGATCATTTATCAACTATGATAGACAACTTTGGCTAGGCAATTCAATGTTTCTCTCTCCCCCTTCCTCCCAAAGAATTGCTTATGTTCAAGATGAAATCCAGGAATCTTGATTTTGAAGGTAAAGATAAGGACTCAAGAAAAAGACTGGACAGGGAAATAATAGGCAAAAGCCTTTTGAAAGTAAAAACTAAATAAACGAAACCTTTAAATTGCTTTAAAATCATAACAGTAAATACTACTGACTTGTTACAAAGTGGAATACTAATTAATAAACCAATATTCAAAACAATGACTTTTATCTCTACAAGTGCAATGCAAGTAAAATGTGGTTTTAGTCAGATGTTCGGCCTAGTGAAGGATCAATATGAAGGAATTCCTTGATTTTGTCATAAAGGACTAGCACCAAGGCACCACCTGTCCCACGAAGAACATTTGAAAAAGCCCCACGAAAAAAGGCACTTATTCCTTCCTGGCCATATATCTTGATAAAGCAGTCAATGGTTCCTCTATATTGGCGTTCGGTCTCTCCACTCTGAATTAAAAAACATTCAAATATAACCAAAGTTAATGCAAACCATATACACTTGATATATAATAAATAATTATTCTGTAATATTTGTTTTACTAAATTATAGGTATACTATCGGTACCTCAAATGTTGCCACTGCTAAGAACTTAATGATGAAATATTTTTCTGATGTACGTCTCTGCTACTATACTTAAATTGTCTATGATTTTCCCAAAAGGTTTTCTGTAAACTTCAAGAGGTCACTTCACAGGAAATTTTAAAAACTTCTAGTTTAAAAACTAGTTTTTAAATGTCTGGTTTTGGTGCAAAGTTCTTTAGTGAATTTTCACTCTGAGGTTTCTCATTATCAGTAAATATCAGTCTGAGACTGATTGATTGAATGTTAGATTCTCCTTAATTAATTTGTTGAGAGGGGATATAAATGCAATTTTTGAGGGGCTGCTGCAGAGAAGAGGGAGTCAACCTATTTTCCAAAAAATCAGAAGGCAATACAAGAACCAATGGATGAAAACTAATCAAAAGGAAAGAAACAACCAAGAAACAAAGGAGTAGTTTCCTAATGGTGAGAACAATCAACCAGTGGAATGGCTTGCATTCAGAACATGTTGGTGCCCCATTACTGGAAGCTTTTAAGAAGAGCCATTTGTCTGAAATGGTATAGACTCTTCTGCTCAAGCAGGGAGTTGGACTAGATGACCTCCAGCTTCCTTCCAATTCTGTCATTCTATGTTCTATGATTTTGCACCAAATGATTATAATTCTGCAATGTATATCTAGATGTTTTAAATGTTGGCTCTATAGTAAATAAATAATAATAATAAACTGAAAGAGACAATTGTGGTTCTTTTTCTTTTCTTCTTGCTAAACGCTTTCCCAGCGCCGCGAAGCATCAGAAATCCTCAGAGTTTGCCGCAGTGCACCGGGAAGTGACTCCAGAGATGACAAGGGAGCTGTAGGCGGTGGCTGTTGTGCCGGCAGACTGGGAAACCAGCTCACCCACTGGCGGCAATGCAGCTATCAATCAAGCTGTCTGGAGGTGCCCTAAAAGGGATAGACTCCGGTTGCTGCTCTATGTTGATCGGGTTGATGGTAGTTGGCCTGGAACCCCAGGGATGACTAACCAGCCGGCAGCAGCGGAGGGCAAGCTGCAGCTGCAAGTTGCCCTCACAGAATCTCCTCAATGTAATAGGATCTTCAGCTCCCAAGATAGAAAAGAAAGAAAAAATAAAGAAATAAAATAATCCAAACTGGAATCTACTCTATCTAACTGCCAGAGCAGTGATCCACATGTCTCTCTAGCTAGATTGAGTGAAAAAACTGAAGCTCAGCTGAGCAGAGGAGGCATGGTCAAAAGAAAAAAGAAAAAAAAAATCTTCACTCAGTCTCTGGCAGATAGATGAGAGATAACCCACGCTTGGATTATCTAAGCAGCGTACTGGAAAACCGTATTTTATTTTTCAATTCCTATGTTAGTTATATCAAGGTTGTCTACAAATCATAGCTAGTTTATAAATACCAAAATCCCCATTTGAAATTGTAATTGCATGCAGGGTATAGATCCATGTGTATGTCTTATACAGAGGCTACTTAGTAACAGAATACTTGCTTGCAGAAGGTTTCAGAATCTCTGTAGGTGTAGAAAAGATTCCTGCTGAGATTCTGAAGAACTGTTGCTCAAATAAGTAGGTAATACTGAGTTGGATAGGCCATGGCTTTATTCAGCATTATATTTTAATATCATATTTTCTGATTAAAGAAGAGAGTAACAAGTAATATCAGAACAGAATGATGTAGCCCAGACAGTCACAAGGGCATTCACATGTTTTCTAGATGAATTGTTTACCTGCATCATCATGCGTCTTCTGACAGTGTCAAATGGATAGGAGAGTATCCCAGAAAATACTGTCACCACTTGAGCAATTGCAAAAGATAAAAGGAATGGGGTTTCTTTTGGATTTGGTAGCATTCCCTAAGAAGAGAAAATGTAGTCATTGGCTTGTATTCAAATATTTAAATTTAAGCATGAATGAAGTCTTATTCACACAGAAAAATTTTATACCTGTTCAAAGTATTTTGATGAATCATTTTACATTATTGAAGTAATTTAAAATATTTTTCATCTTACGTTTTAGGTGTCAGACAAATTAAACAGGAAGAATGTTTCATATATGAAAAACTAAGATGCAATATAGCTAGATGTCCAGATGGTAAACTGTGGTCCACTGGTGAGACCAAAATCTTAAATCACATTTATCTAAATGCAACAATCTTGCCAAATTTTAGTTAGGTAAAAAATAAATATTTGTCAAGAGTCATTTTAAAGATTGAATCAATTACATTCATATTTCATTATTTTTGTGTTTTCTGAATACTTTCTAGAAAGTATATTCTTTAGTCAGTCATCATCATCCATTTATTCATACTAACTGAATTACATAATTAAAGACAGTAGTAATTAAAACTACTTTTAAAGAAATGCACAGAGAGAAAATGTATTCAGAACATTAGCAGAGTCAGCAACCATTCTGATTTTATCTGAAGTAAAAATACTGCCCCCTCTCCCAACGTCTTCTGCTTCAAGTTGGTGGTTGTGTCTTTCTGAGAAAGATGAGTGAAGAACCAAGATCATCAAGAATCAGTAGAGTCATTCAAGGTATAAATTTTATCACATCTGTCTAGCTAAAGCAAGCAGACTCCTATATGAGCAGCAGAATTACACGACAATGCTAAAGCTGAGTAATCATTTTACTGACAATGACAAAAGCATAATTTCATATTGCATGGAAGAAAGACATGGTAAACCAGTCTTATATTATACCAAGAAAATTACCGTGTTTCCCCGAAAATAAGACCCTGTCTTAAATTTTTTTGAATCCCAAAATAAGCATTTGGCCTTATTTTCGGAGAGGTCTTATTATTTTGGGGTGCATGGAGGAAACCAGAGGAAATGGCAGGGACCGGCTGCGCATGCTGGGCTTATTTTCAGGGGAGGCCTTATTTTAGCGCAGGCGCTCAAAAGCCCGATTGGGCTTATTATCTGGGGTTGTCTTATTTTAGGGGAAACAGGGTACATGGATAGATAAGAAAAAATAATTGATGAATGCTTGATTATGGATATAATCAACCTCTAGAACAAAAGAAGTTAGATCAACTCTCAGTTGTTACCAAGTCAGAAGGCTAGAGGAAGTCATAGAATATCTACAGAAATATGGCAAGTAGCCACAGAAGAATTCAATTTTAAGTAAAGTATGCCAGCAAATATGAAAAACAGTCCAGAGACTAAGAGATTGGAAGATGCTAATCTACAGACCTATGTCAAATAAAGATTTAACAAAATCTGCAAACCATCAGATTATATCCTTACTTAGCAAAATAATGCTTACGATTGTTCAACATAGCTTAGCCATATACTCAAAGGGAAATATCAGAAATTCAAGCTGGTTTTAGAAAAGTCTGAGGAATATGATACATTAGTGCTGGTGTACCTTGAATAAGTGAAAAAGTGAAAGAAAACTGAAAAAGAAGTCAAGATGTGAATAATTAATAGATTTCATTGATCTATTGAAAGTCTTTCAGCTGTGCCAACTACAGTATATCAAGCTATTGAATTCTCTTAGGAAATAGAAATCTATAATATGTCATGTAGAACTTATACACAAGACAGAAAGTTACAGCCCAGGAACATGGTGGAATAGATTGACTCCAGGATGGCAAAGGAATGAAATAAGACTGTATATTTTACATAAATTATCATATAAAACATGTATAATAAATATAGTATATCAATACTCAATGTTATAGAAAAAAATAGTTCAAAACTTACTTTTATGGTGTCATAACATCCAAAATATGATGCTCGATATACAATAATTCCCTGTACTGAAACGCTAAATCCTTGGTATAGACCAGTAATTCCATCTTTTCTAGCAATTTTAGCAATACAGTCAGCTAGACCTGAAAATTGTCTCTCAGAGGGACCTTAAAAATGAAGTTTAAAAAAAGCAAATTTTCAAAAACATGTTAAAATACTTGAAGCATAAGTAAAAATAAAAGATCCCTAGTCGTCATTTTGTAAATAATTTCGTCAGCTATTAGATGTCTCTATCTGGATAGATTGCCAAATCTGATGAGAAATCAGAGTCAATTTTATAGATGAATCAAGTAACTATATTTTGTTTGGCCAATTTGTGGTTTGTTTATTCCATCTGTTCTGCCAATTTCCAGAAGAAACATGTTGAGCACAAAAACAAATTAGAGGTAATTCAGAATTTATTTATTTATTTAATCCAATTTTAAGGCCAACCAACTTCAAGGTAGTTTACAGATAAAAGAAAGAAAGAATACATACAAAAGGAATACCACTGAGTGGAAGAACATCAAGCCTTAAACCAAACCAAACTAAACCAAACCAGTCTCAATAATCCCTCTTTCTACAATGTAATAATCCAAAATGAAAACAAGTCATAAAAGAAATTCAAATCAGTTACCCCGAAATAAATTTTGGTTTTTTTTCTTAGAATGAGTTAACATGCCATGGTAAACTAAAAACAAATATTCTGTGATATTTTTACATGACGTGTAAATGAAGAAACTTTGGATAGTATCTTTCATTTTCAAAGTGACTGGCACAAAGTAACTGGCACTAAAAGTTATTCAAATTTAACATAGTAAATAGATTGTTCCATGGAATTGCTAAGTCCAAAGCAATTTTCCACAGAATACTTAATAGTGGGGAAACATTAAACAAAGGGCATAGATGTGAACTTTTTAAAGATATCTAATGCCTGTTGAAAAAAGTAAAAGCTAAATGTGCTTTATCTAATGAGATTTATGTACAAGCAATTCAAAGTTTAAAATATCAAGTTTTGATTATCTTCAGTATTGCTAGTACAGCATATAGAAGCTAAAATAGTCAGGTGACACATCTTTAAAATATTTTAAACATGTAGCACCTTACCTTTGCCAATGTCAGCACCCAATCGAGTTCGTGCAAAGTCTAATGGATATACTACACACAATGAAGTAGCCCCAGCTGCTCCACCAGCAGCCAGATTTGAAACGAACCATCTCATAAACTGTAATAGAAATAGTGTGCTCGGTTCAAAATCAATGTTGCATTCAAGCCCTTTTTTTGCTGATGAATATCTCAACTATTGTAAACTAATGTTGATATAATGCTGATTTTATGTATGATCAAATTCAAATAAAAGCAAATGACCATATTTTAGGGAGTTTGGATGGCAAAATTACTAATTATACATACTCATAAAATCCTTTTTAATAGTGCCCAAAATAATAATTTTGATTATTTTGGGCACTATTTTCTATTTATAGCAATTGACATAGGTTGAAGTGAAATTCAACCTATGTCAATTGCTATAAATAGAAAATAGTGCCCAAAATAATTTTGACTGTAGGTATCACAGCTTTTACCTGTGACACATTTTCTTAAAGAAACCACTCTGAACTTTATGTGTTAAAGTGTTATTTACTAGTTACTTACTTGTTTTCAAGTATTCTGTATTAACTTCTTTGAAAAGTACTGCATTTACAATTTTAGATTCAAGTGGTAGTTTTGCAATTATTCGTATCTTTTGTTAAAATACATCTTCCAGTGGTTTTATTTATGCACTGAAGCTTAGTTAATTTAGCTTTCATTCATTATACTCCATTATATTATGGAGTAAATGGAAAGATTTACTGAGCTTGGCTGATCTCAAAAGCTAAGCAGTGTAGGCTTTTTCTCTACTTAGATCTGAGTTCAAGAAAAAACTAAGAGCTGCAGATTAGCCCAGAAATCAGAAAAGCATTTTGTAAAAAGTTAATGGTAAATTGCTTCTGTGTTGTTGCCAAGAAAATAGCCTGGGCATGTTCATATATAGGCATCAAGAGTTCTGTTCACTGGAAAGAGACATTGCCACAAGGTATTTTAAGAAAAGTATCATGTTCTCTAGAATAATAATTTAAGAATTAATTTGTCTCAAGTTGACAGAAGATGAACATGTAATACAAAATATTGAAGATTAAATAAAGTCATTTGCAAGTGCTCATAAATAAAAGAACCCTAAATGTTAAATAAGTATTTGCTAATTCAGAAGATATTAAAATATAAACAAATTGCCTACTGGCAAAGGGAGTTTTAATTCTCCTTGATAGTATTCTTATTCAGACATTTAGGGCACTTATGTAAATAAACATATGTCTTTTTAAAAACATCCTTTCCTCAAAGATTGACAAGCTCATTAGATACAAAACTTTGTATACTTTCTCTTTATTCTCTACCATATAACTTCAAAAATAAGTAACCATTTACTGCATTTATATTTGCATATTTTAATCAAGATTCCCAGTGGTTTACAATTAGATTACATTAATTAACTACATTAAAATGAAATATGAGATCTAAAATATTTGGAAAGCAAATTACTGTCCACTATTATACTGCACAACTGTACAGTAGGTTAAAAACTATTTATTTTTATTATTACTTCCTAGGAAATGAAATGGTGTTAATTCTTCAATGCCTTTTAGAAATGTATTCATTTAAACATTTACAGATTGAAAAGACCTAGGGGACACAACAGCCAATAAGCTATATCAATGCAGACAATTATTTTCAAAAGCATCCATACATTCAAATGATTGATCAATCAGATTTCAAACAATTAGATAATGCTGAAATTTGCTTAATATAACCTGGACAAAGCTAATACTTTCCAGGTACATTTAGACTACAGTTGTTGGAATTTAGAACCTGGGCTGGGATGATAGGTGTCATAGCCTAAAACATTTAAGTTATGAGATTGCATAAGACTAACTGAAGTTCTGACTCCTTTTTTGTTGAATATTCATGCCTAAACACTGTCTCACAAATTTCCTTCCTTCATTTTCAAGTGGTCAGCAAGTATGCTATCTGTGATTTCTACCTTGCTGACATTCAAACACATCTAGAAAAGATTAAGCAGAGTATTGCTGCCTTAATACAGCAGATATTAGAACACAGAAAAAATAAACCAACATATTATTGGGTGTTAAGCGGAGGCATTACAAGTAATAAGACTCAGCATTTCCTCATGTAACCATTGAATTAATCCTTTATTAAATATTTTGCATTTTTATGCAAAGGTCAATGGTTTGAATTCTAAACAGGATTCCACAAAAAGAAGCTAGAGTCAAATCCAATGGAGGATCCTGCTGATGACAGGAATAAAACAAATTTTCAATTATTCTCCTTTCTTACTATGACCCTTATCTATAGTTTCAAAGGATCAAAGGCTGTAGGAAAGACTATCAGGCCATATAAAGTACATACATATTGTTTTCCTGCCAGGCATGTCTCATAAGTGTTAGTCAACTCTTTTTTCCCATAATCATCCAAAAGAAACCCACATTTCCAGTACTTCTTAAGATTAAAACAAAGGAAAACTTTTGGAATAAACCTTTATTAAATCAGACTTACCTGTGTATCTTTATCAACTCCAGACATGAAAATCTGCTTGTATTTGTCCTTAAAGGCAAAGTTTAGGGCTTGAGTTGGGAAATATCGAATAACATTGGCAAAATTGCCACGCCAATAACTGAGAAATCCTATAGGTAGAAGATTTTAAAATGTATAGGGTTCCTCATTTTAAATAGTTTAAAATTGCACGACTATACTTCATTACTGAATTTTTTTCAATTTATTTCAAGTTTAAACACTTGAAATAAATTGAAAACATTTCAAAAATTAAATTACTACTGAACAACTTTAAAATTTATATTGTTTCCAAAGTCAATGGTTAACTTTCAAATTATAGATTATTCTAATCTTAACTATTTGATAACTATGCAGTGGAAGCTTAGGTCTAGATCAGAAATGGCAATAAAATTAATTGATTATTTGTTGATATAACTATTCTGTGCTGTTCTCAGGACCATTCCAATGTGCTTACTCCATTCTTACTACATATCTAAGATATGTAAGAGTTGCTTCAAATTTGATAATAATAAATATACAATATTGAAACTTAATCATCAATTGCATAATAACTTTACAATAGAACTCAAGAGTTTTATATATAAGATCCATTTTATTTACAGCAAAACCTCTCATTACAAGATGGTATTGTTCTTAATATACCTCTCAAAAAATCTGCTAAAAAAACAAAACGGGTTATGGTGGCTTTTGTAAAACCCAACAAGTTTTATAATATACAAGGTAAATTGATTAGAAATAGGGAAAAAAATCACCAGTTAATCCATATGACCTAAAGATAAGACAGTACCAAGATGAATTTGTGTGATATTTCCAAAATATGAACGATTTCTGGAGTACTAGTTTTGAACACTGCAGTTTACTACTGTACTTTATCCGATGAATCTACCAAGAGCTTCCATGTAGTTCTCAATATTAGGAAGCCCCAAAACTTGTTTAAATATGAGCACAAATTTGGCAAAGGCCTGAACACAATAAGGATTAAATATTTATAATGAAGCCAGTTCTATGTGATGACATTCATATAGTTTTCAGTACTGTAGCTGATTTTACTAAGCTTAGAGTTGTAGGATGCCCATTTGCTTCTGTGACAATCCATTTTGTTTCAGCTCACTTCCATAAGCATTCACCATGGAAGACAAATATTGGCACCAGTGGATAATTTGTTCCTAGCTTAAACAAAAACTGAGTTACATCAGAGATAAAGAGATAAATACAACAAAGATACCACAGATAAGAGATAAAAATTTTCCCGCTCTCAAATTTAGCTTTTTTTAAAAAAAATTAAAATCTACTACAGTATGCAGAGGCAAATCATATGAATAAATTCTATGAAACCAAATGAATCCTTTTGATTTGGAAATGATAACATATTGGTTCTGACCTTTTTCACTTTCTGCCTATTAGACCAATGCGTTAAACTATGGGAAGAAGAGTTGTGAATTAGTGACTATTAAAATCCAAATACAATTTTTGTATAGGTAAATATTTTGGATTTAAATTCCACGAGTAAATCATCTTTGTGGGCAGTTGATTCTGCAGATGTGTAAAAAGGAAGTTTGCTTTATTGTGGCAATAGCTTACACTGTAAAATTATAGACTTTTAAAGAAGCATTTGATAATATTTAATATACAACATTGTTCATTATATATTTTATTAATATTTGTTGAAAATATCAAATTGCATTTTATATGTTTGAATGCTTAATAACCCTTTATTGCCTTAAGCTAAAAAAAGGCAGCTCTCATCCAATTATGTTTGCCAGCTTTCAAAAAGTACTATATTCAACAAATTCAAGCAGAATAACAATGTCTGTCATATTATATATTCCAAGTCCTAGTTGTCAGATAATGCTTAAAATCTCTAAACTATATGGTATGGTACTCCATTTTCTCATAAAATGTTACCGGATCTGTTCTACTGCAAATTACTCCCAAACAGAAGCACCTCATTCCTAGTCTGGTTGATTCTGTTTGCACATTAAATTAAGACTACAGTCTAAAATATTCAGAATGTTAATTCTTACATAAAAATTCCACGTAAGAGATATACAGAGAGGGGGTGGGGAGAGAGAAAGATGGGGGGGGGATGTATTGGCTTAGACATGGAAAGAAAACCTTATTATTAGTTTCAAATTCAGTATATTCCAACCATGCTGAATGGTTGGAATATATTTCCATGTAATATGGAAATATTACATATTATTTACTATAGTTTTAGATTTATTTTAAATCATCTCTGCAATATGAAACCATAAGGACAAACCATTAAAAACTTGAGTATATTTGATCACAGCATACATACAGAGATACACACGCATGGCAGAATGTCACAAAAATTTCCAGAGGGCAAAATATATTATTATCTTGCAGAGACAAACATGCTGGATAGGATATTACTTGAAAAGTTGCATATTCTTGAGTTCTATAATGGAAAAATTATACTAAATAACATTTAAAGATGAATAAATTCACATTCTTCTAATTCTGTCACTACATTATTTGGAAAAATTAACCTATAATCAAGATCCTAAACTATTTAATCATGGTAAATAAACACAGTTGTTGTTTTCTTAAAAAATCAGGGCTGGAATTACTAAATAATAAAAAATAAAGGTTGCAATCTCATGCACTTTGCAGTAAATTTTATCTTACTCAGTGGGCCTTACTTTCAAACAGAAATGGCATCAGGTTATATGGATATTGCAATTGGAAATTTATATTAATGTTATTTGTAGAATTAAGTAGCTCACTATATACAATTTTATCTTCTGCATTTACAAGTATAGACTAGCAATCAATCCCATGCATTCAGGGCAAAGATTCAATTGAAAATTGGCAGGTAAATTTAGGATATAATTAGAATTGTTTCAATAAGACGACTGATGTTTAAAGAATTCATATATATTCAAACTAATCCATCACCACTAGGCTAAGATATTGCAGTTTGGAGAAATGGAATTAAGTGTAAGTGTAGGTAACCTAGATTTTGCTAATTGTTTTTACTATAATTTTCACCTTCCCTGTTCACAGATTAGGTGTTGTATAAAAGACACCCTAATGCCAACTACCTAATGGGCATCTACTGTAAATTCTACAACACCTTAAGTCCTACTCACATAGCCAGTAGTAAAGGGTTCTGCTAAATTGCAGCTCAAGAGATGCCTTCTGGAGAGATGGTGGCAAATAAATTTAATAAATAATAACATATCTAAAAGAAAACTAAAGTCCTTTAACTTATTGTGTTCATGGGAGAGAAAGATTTAAAACAGGGATTTTGGCCACAATAACTTTGAAAGGAGAACTATTTCTAGGGCTAACATTTATTTTATTTATTTATTTTTGTCAAGCATGTATAAGATAACAGATATAAGTGTAAACATGATTATGAATACAGGAAATGGGTACAAATAAATGGGGACATACCTTGCTCCTGAGGAATGCGTACAAAGCAGTCTATCATGCCTTTGTATCGCTGGTCGGCACGGATCTGCTTGGATGAGCCCTGAACCTGGAGCAGGAGCTTCACCCGTTCAATGGGTGCTACTGTTGTTTTGGAAATAGCAGCTGCCACCCCACCTATCATGAGGTCCTTCCCAAATGAGACAGGATCGAAAAGCTGCTGCGCCTCAGCAGCCAGCATGATGTCAGTTGGGTAGAAAGAAAGATGTTGGTGGAACTACTAGGGCCTGCAAGCAGCATCACCCAGCAACACTTCTAACTGTCACTGCTCAGAAAGAGCTAATGGAGTTCCCCTCCCCCCCCACTTCATTCTCAAGCCACATGATGCAGAAGCACCCAATCACAGCAACCGTCCTGCCTTTTCCTTTTAAAGGAAAGGTTGGGGCTTTTGAAGATGGAGCTAATAAGTTCAGTATAGTGAGCTGAGGCCTAAAATGAAGGAAGAAAGCCTGCAAGAGAGAACTTGACTCAAGAAAGACCTTTCACCTTAGTTAATGCAACCAATAGTTATGAAGGGTTTTCAGTAGTCATCCACATTTCACATTAAAAATAGAAATTTGGCTGACTAAAAAAGCAAAACGGAAGGCTTATCACATTAATTTCAGCAAGAAAATATAGAACACCACTCCTGTTCCCTCCTACATTGAATACTTGCACTAACATGAGTGTCAATTATAGTATGTAATATCACTATTTATTTAGAGACTTTTATATATTACCAACCCCAAAGGAGTCAAAAGTTTGTAGCATAATAAAATACCAAAATATAAATATATATTCAAGACAAAACACAATGATCAGAATATAAACTTTCTGATAGGGCAGTTTGACTACAGTTAGCACCCATAGAATTAAATGGTATTGCCCTTTTAATGGGCAAAAGATTAAGATAAATAGATAATTAAAGCAAATGCCTAAAAATATAAAGATTTTAGTGAATAACAGACTATAACTATTTGCATATCACCCAGTCACAGAAAACATAAACAGAAATTTTAGAAACCTAATTCTAAAAGAAGACAAAAGGAAATAAATGAGGAAGCCCATTATCACCATTTTTAGTGATTTTGGTGAGATGGTATCACCCATCTCAAAAAAAAAATACTTACAAAAAAATAGCAATGCAGTAACTAATTGCACCCCAGAAGCTAATAGTCCATAATATTTTATTTGCTGCCAAAATCAGGTTTTGCACCATCATTTCCTTCTTGTGGAATAGGGACCCTAAATATATATACCTGGCATGACTACACAGGATGAGCAAATTCTATTCAGAATAAATGGTCCAAAGATAATGAGGACCTGAGCCACATAAAGTATATAGATTAAAAATAACACTTTGAAGTAGACCTGGAAGCTTTTGGCAACCAATGCAGCAACTATAGGTTTATATTGGCAAAGTGTCTCTCACCTACCAGCACTCATACCATTGCCTTCTAAATGAGAATTTTCTGAATTATCTTCAAAGATATCCCCAAGCAATGTGAATTACAATTATCATTTGGCAATAAACACATGAATCTCTGTTCTGAAGAATTTGCTGGATCACAAAAAGATACCTGAAGCTGCCATAACTTCTCTTACTGTTCAAGTGGGAGTCATAAAGAATTAGTGAGGTTCTTTCTTATTCTGAAAATGGGTTAGCATATAGTAGTTGTTAGTTTTACATCTGACTGTTCATATTTGTTTTCCATCTCTCAATGATTGGAGAAATCTTCCAAGGAACAAGTTGGACAAGATGCTGTTCATTAATAGGAATAAATTTATATTTTGTTTCTTGTAGTTTAAATTGACTTGGTTTTTTTTTTTTTTAAATTTGATTTATATGCCGCCCTTCTCCGGAGACTCAGGGCGGCTTACAATGCGTTAAGCATTTATTGGCATTGCAATAAAGTCTCTAATATACACAAGAAGACATTAATTTTCCAATAGAAATTCTAAGCATGAAAACTTTCCTGAATTGGGACAGTAGTGAGGAAAATCAAAGTCCAGATTTAAAAGTCCTTTAAAAAACCTACCTTGGCTGGTCTATATATCATACTGGACATATTGTATGTTGCCTTTGGCTTAGCCACTGTAGTTGATCTATGGCTTCATGCCTTAAATCAAGCCACGATTGTTATTTATGACATTTATCTAGTTTGGTCCTTAGTTTCAAAAATCTAGTGCTAAGTATAGTTCTCTAATGTATTTTTATATGTTCAAGAAATTATTTATATGAATATGTGACTGATAGTTCTTTACATTTTAGTATAATTAAAAAGCATGTCTTTATCAGGAATATAATGAACCCACAAAAAGATATATTTTAGTTAAAAATTAAATGAAAAAGAATTAAATTAAATGCAAGACTATTTGAAGAATATTTCTTTATTGTAAAAAAGTCATAACATTGTCTGAAACAAAATGGACAATTCTTCCATTTATCTCCAAGTACTAGGAAACATTCAGTTTTACTTTATAACAAGTATTTTCTAAATATTCTTTTTGTATCACAAAGTACTATATCCATTTAAGGTAAGGTAAACTACCTCCCCTAAGAATTTGCATATAAATTTTCTGCACGACTTAAGGAATCCATTTTGTTAAGGCCACCAGATCAGGACTGCATAATGTGGACAATCACTAGATGACAGCAGAAACTAAGTTTTCTTTTCTCTGTCTCTGATAAAATCATTGTGATCATCTGAAATTTTGAACCTTAGTTTAGATATCCACATATTTTGATCTTAAATCCCATACCAAATTGAAATAAAACAGTTTCCTACCTCTGACATAATATGCAAGCATTACATTGTCTCTTTAAATGAAGTCCAAAAAGGTGCATACTGTACATAATAGAAATTTCTATTTTAACTGCAAAATGAGTGAGATTCTTTGCAAGTTCTAAAGGTACTTCTTCCAAGGATATAGCTTTATGGGAAAAATGTTGTGTATATATCTTGATCATTGATTCTGTAGGTAATATTTACATATAATATATAATTAATATATAATACATCCAACTTCCAGTCTTCTGAAAGGAATGACTTCCTTAAATACTGTGTTTCCCCAAAAATAAGACCCTGTCTTATATTTTTTTGAACCCTGAAATAAGTGCTTGGCCTTTTTTCGGGGAGGTCTTATTATTTTGGGGCACGTGGAGCAAGATGGGGCTCCTCTTGCCATCTTACCTGATTTCCAGCTCTGTCTCCCTAACCCTAACCAGAGAGTTAGGGTTGCTGCGCATGCATTTAAATATTTTGGGGGAGGGCTTATTTTCAGGAGTGGGGCTTATTTTAGCGCATGCACTCAAAAGCCAGATTGGGTTTATTATCAGAGGATGTCTTAATTTGGAGGAAACAGGGTAGTGTTATGAATGTGTAAAATGTTTTTATATTACACGACTGATTTTAGGGAATATTATAAAGGGCACCCCAAAGTAAACCACAATGTAATACTTTTGTGTTTTCTGTGACATGGAAAATGAAAAACTGCAGATATGTTTATCTATACAGCTAAGCCAAATGATAACTTAAAAGCCAATTCAACAGCAACCTCTGTGACTGAATCATGAAAACAGACATAAAATTCCCGAGGCTTTGGATCTAGGAAGAGTCTCCTGCAGAAAAAACATAATTCAGTGTCAGCACAGGATTAAAATATATGTGAAAAACAATATTTTAGCAAGAGTTTATTAAAGGATTAAAACAGACCTATCAAAATTAGATACTATTCTAAAGGTCCAGTAGAAATTGTTGAAACATTCAATATGTATATTTATGTATAAATTTAAGCTTTGCTGCATTTTAATATACTACAGTTTCTACCAAATGTTGGATTAGCGAAGAACCTAAAAAAAACATTGCACAGGTTGTTTTTATTAAACAAAAATGTTCTGAGAATTTGGATAACCAAGTAATAACTATTTAGACTAAATTAAGAAAAAAGTATTACTTACCCTACCACCCAGTACATTATAGTGGAATCGGATTTCTTTTGATCAGTACAGCTGTCAGGAGCATACTCAAACAATATACCATGTTCTTTCACTTGATTTAGGTCCAAATTTGCTTTTTGGGATTTTGATGTTCTCCCAGACCTTTTATTCTACAGTAAAGCAAGGACAACAAAAATAATATCTGAATTATTATTATTATTATTATTATTATTAATAATAATAATAATAATAATTAAATTTATATCCCGCCCTTCTCCCCGAAGGGACTCAGGGCAGTGAAGAGCCGAGAATTAAAATAACATACAATATAAAAGTTAAGATAATTAAAAATAAATTAAATTAAACGGCCTCCCCAATTTAAAACCCCTAGCTATACAATTAAAAAACTAATCCATAAAACCTATTCAGGCCAGGCCGGCTTGCTGAAATAAAAATGTCTTCAGGGCCTTACGGAAAGTGCGGAGATCCGGAATCAGCCGTATTCCGGGACGTAGCTCGTTCCAGAGGGCGGGTGCTCCCACAGAGAACGCTCTCCCCCTGGGGGCCGCCAGCCAACATTGCTTGACCGATGGCACCCTGAGGAGGCCCTCTCTGTGAGAGCGTATTGGCTGGTGGGAGGTTATCGGTAGCAGAAGGCGGTCTCGTAAATACTCTGGCCCTAAGCCACGGAGCGCTTTAAAGGTGAGAACCAACACCTTGAAGCGCACCCGGAAGACCACCAGGAGCCAGTGCAGCTCGCGCAGGAGAGGTGTTATATGGGAGCGCCATGTCGCTCCCGTAATCATCCGCGCAGCCGCATTCTGGACCAGTTGGAGCCTCCGGGTGCTCCTCAAGGGAGCCCCATGTAGAGAGCGTTGGCGTAGTCCAGGCGAGAAGTGACGAGAGCATGAGTGACTGTGCTTAAGGAATCCCGACTCAGAAAGGGGTGCAACTGGTGTATCAGGCGAACCTGATAAAAAGCCCCCCTGGGCACGGCCGTCATGTGCTCTTCTAAAGACAGCCGTGTGTCCAGGAGGACGCCCAAGTTGCGAGCCCCCTCTGTAGGGGTCAATGACTCGCCCCCAATAGCCAGCGATGGCACCAGCTGGCTATATCGGGATGCTGGCATCCACAGCCACTCGCTCTTGGAAAGGTTGAGTCGAAGCTTGTTCCTCCCCATCCATAATTAGCAGTATGGAGAAGTAATAGAAAGAATGTCACATTGTATATGATAATTATGAAATATCTGGTGAAGGGAGAGTTTTTATAAGTAGAAATTTGTCTAAAGAAATAGCTGTCTACTCAGTTATATCTAGAATGGTGTTTGGTACAAAAGAATTCTCCTTTGCCCCTTCCCAAAATATAAGGACATACTTCTCTCAGCATAGTTTGTTGAAAAATGGAACGGATGGAAAGACAACAGTGATGGAAGTTCTTGATGAGCTGTGGATGGATAGTTCCACTGAGTTGTGCTACTTCAGCATGTGTTGGAGTAATAAAAATCCCATGCATTGTTTCTAAACAAATATAATGAAAGAGGGTATTTTCTGGACCCGAAGTCAACCTTCAACAGCAAAAGAAAATAACCAGATAAATACCTAATAAATAAACATCATAAATAATAAATTACAAAAAGAAAAAGATCAGGACTTTTGATTTTCTATATAATTTAATAGGAAACATATGATAATTCTGTATTTTAGTAACATAGTTAATAGTTAACACATTATAATAGAGAATTCTAATGATATTCAGAGGTCATCTAGTATACCATATCCCAGCATTAGTATACTGCATTAAAAATTGAATATATTATACATCACATATACTTGAAAGTACTTTCTAACTCTCCCCAAACACTGATTAATTAATGAAATAACTGACTAATTTCTTTAGTAATTAATACAGGTAAGAAATTAATTAACCAGATTTAATAATCATGAGACCTAGTTTGGTGTAGTGTTTAAGGTATCAGACTAGGGACTATAAATTCTAATCCCATTTAGGCACAAAGCCAGCTGGGTGACCTTGGACCATCTGCTGCCAGTGCCACCACCCAAAGACAAGCCTCCTGCAGCTGCCCATTCCAGGCCACCGACCCTGGCTTTCCCATGGCCTGCACGGTATGTCCGGATTGCATGCCTCCCCATCTCTGTGCGTCTTGGACAGGTAATTGTTGTGGCTCCATTACCTGAGCCTGTGTTATCGGCAGGAGAGGACTCCGAGAGTGAAGGAGAGGAGTTGGCAAGGCCTCCCTCTCCAGGACCCTCCTCTCTGGCAATGCCTTTGGTGTCCTCCAAAGGTCAAGAGATAGGCCCGGGGCCAAGCACACAGCCACAGGTGGACAGTAATGAGGAAGATGAGTCTTGGCTGGACCCTCGACAGCGTCACAGAGATAAGCGCGCGCAGCAGAGGAAGAGGCGTGCCAGGGATTAGGCTGAGTCACTGGACCACACCCCACAGGGTATAAAAGTGGGTGTGGTGGCCGGTTCAGCTCTGTGACAAGCAAAAAACAGATATCGGACGACCTTCTTTGTATTTACTGGACTTTGTTGATTATTGTGTATTGGCTTTGTTCCCGGACGAAGGGAGAAACTCTCCCCTCGTGAGTAAAGAATACCTGGCAGCCAGCCACTGGGTTGCTGCCAATTCTGATACTGGATAAACTGTTGTCAGCTGAGTTCTTTAACTGTTGCCTATCTGTGGGGGTGCATGTGTGACACGGGGACAGAACAGTAATCGACTCACTTGCTGTTCACGGGCTGTAGCTGCTGCCCCCATGCCCTCACTGCCTGGTGCTGGTCACACCCACTCACACCCACCTCTGGCTGATGACGACCTTAACTGGGGCTTATTTGGGGGGTAGGGTTTATATTAGGAGCATGCTAAAAATCAGGCTAGGGCTTATTTTCTGGTTAGGTCTTATTTTGGGAGAAGCACGGTAGCAATTATATAATGCTAATAATATGGAATATATATAATATATTTATATTTATTTAATATGGGAATAGTAAATACTAGAATTTAATCCCATACAATAGGATAAATGTTGATAGGATTTTTTTTTTACAAGTTTACCAAGCCCAATCAGCTTTGCAGCATGTGGTGGTAGTTCAAACCCAATTCTGATACAACAGAAGACTTTTTATTTTAATAAAGGTAATAAAGAACTAAGCAATTGATTAGTTTCACCATATTATTTGAGGCTGAAACCTGCATACTAAAACTAGAAGTCAAAGTCCTATAAATCAGGGGTCCCCAACCCAGAGGCTGTGACCCACTACTGAGCCATAATCTGTTCAGAACAGGGCTGTGGAAACAGTGTGCAAGCATGCACATGTGCACAGCTTTACTTGCACCTATAAAGGTTGGAGACTGGTGCTATAAGTGAAGCAAACAAAGAGACTGAAAATGGATGCAGAACTTGTATATCTTACTGATTCAGTTCAGGGGTATTGGGCCTGCATTTCAGGATCACGTCTTAATTTTGTTACATCTCTGAAGATCTCAACAACTGACAAGGTATAGTAAATTCCCTCCCAAATCCCAAACCCTACCACCTATACAAAGAGGATAGTAGCTTTATAGTTATAAAATATTTAGAGCTGCTATTAGTCAGCATGACCTATTCATAAAGATCACTATCTATCTGCTCCTCATTCTATTACAATGTAAATTTATATTTTGATTCAACATTGAAATACAGGCTGATACCTGTAGGAGAAAATATTAACAAAAAGTCTTTATGCAGCACCCATGTTCAACATGATTTGAGGACTTGTTTGTGGAAATGCACACGGTATATTATCATGAAACACCATAATAGGAAAACAAAGATTGACTTCCACCTAAATGACATTATTGTTAATTCAGCGATTAAACCTTTAAAAGACATAGTACCAACACTATTTGATTGGAAAGCTAAACTTAAAAGAATATGCAGCAATGGCAAAATTTGGTAATATGAAAGCCATTCTTATTAACGTTTAGTTAAGCGTCTGTTAAATTTAAGTAAGAATGGTTTACAGATTTATTCTAAATTAGCCAACACAATACTGTGTTATTTTTCTTTTCTTCTTCAACATTTATAACATCTATAAAATTTATAAATACATATTTATATACTTTATATAAACATAGAAATACATAATAATTTACATTTATAAATAATAATACAATGGAGATTTTAGCATTAAAATATATCTATCTATCTATCTATCTATCTATCTATCTATCTATCTATCTATCTATCATCTATCACATTTATGCAGGTAGTCTTAAACTATGTACAGGTAGTCCTGGACTTACAACAATTGAGCCCAAAATTTCTGTTCCTATATGAGATGGTTGTTAAGTGAGTTTTGCCCCATTTTACAACCTTTCTTGCCACAGTTGTTAGTTGAATCACTACAGATGTTAAGTTAATAATATGGTTGTTAAATGAATCTGACTTCCCCATTGACTTGCTTGTCAGAAGGTAACAAAAGCTTACTTATGACCTTACTCCACGACACTACAACCATCATAAATATGAACCAATTGCCAAGCGTCTGAATTTTGATCACATAATCGTGGGATACTGAATGGTAGTAAGTGTGAAAAATGGTCACAAGTCACTTTTTTTAGTGCTGTTGTAACTTTGAATGGTCACTAAAAGAATGACTCGAGGACTACTTGTATATCACGACAAAACTTAATATATTCTGCGTAAGTTTGTTTTTTATTAACATTATGCTGAACATTCATTGTATAATTTCAGTAATTATCTATCCATTAAAAAATAATCCCTTTTTTGAAAATACTTCATTTTTTTAAAAAAAGGATTTTTTAAAAATATCAGCAACAAAAAGTTATTTTTGATATGTCCAACTGCACATTCTCTAGGAAAATATTAATGCACTCAGAAAAGATATTTTATAAATACTATAAATTAGCTATAAATAAAAATCCTTACTTCATAGCATTATATAATTCAGCTTCCTTATCTGAGACATTCTTTTTCAGGGTTCCAAAAGTAAATGGGTTTGGAAGAACAGGCTTCTTCTTAGTGATCTGAGAAACAAAAAAGAACAGTCTCATAATAAGAGAGTAAGCAAGCCTTAGAATTCACAGATGGCAAATGGCTGTGTTTTCAAAATGCACTAAGCTGTTAAAGCAATTTATATGTTTTGTGAACAATGCTGAGTTGTTGTGTTAGTGGACATGTCATCCTAGCTATGAAAAAGTACTGTTTTTATTGCAATACATTTTTACAAAACTAACACTTGAACAAAGCTGTTATTTATTAAATGATTTGTATTTGGGAAATATAGAGAGATTTCATTAATTTATACGAATAATAAATTATGCTGAATGCATTCAACTTTTATTTAGTTCTTAAATTTAGAATAAAAAAAGCTCATTCTTGTGGAGAAAAGACCACAGTAGGAACTGACTTGAGTATGGGAAGAATGGCAATAAATAATGGCCCAATTTTGCAATGGTCATAGTCAGTTCATTCTAGAAACAGAATTACAGTTGCCTTTGATATAGCTGTGTATATACTATTAGTACTGTCTTCTTTTTGACAAGTCATATTTGCTCTATAGTATGTTGTACATATAGGTGGGGAATAGTATAAAACCTTAATGAAACAGAAAAATCCTGAAAAGCTACATCATGGGCATGAACAATTTTCTCTTTTACTTATTAAGTATCACTGTAACTTCTTTTTTATAAATACAGAAAGTAAGTTACATTACCTATGGACATTATTAAATGCAGCAGCACCTTAAACAGACCATTATTTAAATAAGAAATAAATCCACTAAGACTTTTCAATTGTATATGGTATATGGACTGAATTCCCATTTCTTCCTTCAGGAGTGTCATGACCATTGACAGGACACTGACTACTCCTTGAGGGACTTAACATATGTGTCCTCAAGACAGAGTTACCAGAACTCACTTTTTTGTTTGGTGGAGAAGGTGCAGTACTTGACATATGATGCAATTTGCTGAGAACAGACGAATTAGAAAAGCCCTCCAATTTGTCAGACGATGAAGGGAAGAACCAATCTATGCAACACACCAATGGAGCAGAAGCTGTTTCTAATCTCTCATCTATGCTAAGATCTATTCCATCCAGCTGAAGGATAGTTGATTTCACCTGGTCAACATATATGCAATCTGGTCCAGGATTTCCAATAGCTTTGGAAGAACAACCTCCTGCTTCCAGCAATACACTCAGTATAAAATGCTTCTAAAAAAAAAAGGGAAAAAAAACTATTTCTGCCACTGCATTTATTTTACATACATACATAATAGGTTACATAAAAGTAAACCATAAAAAGTAAACTCTAAAACTAAAAATCAGCACTCAACAAAACACCTGGGAGAAATAAAATTAAAAACTAGGTTTGGGGGTAAAAACAAATGAAATGGTCTATAGCACTTATAAATAAACTATATAAATACACTTCTGTACTAGAATATGGAATGCATTTGTGCTTGTGGGAATAGCTGATAAGCCTTCCCTTGTCAACCTTATGCAGGTATTTATTGTATAGATTTAGTGACTATAACAAGGGCCAGCAATCTGGTTGTTATGCGAAGCAGTCGCTAAATGAAACCACAATTGTGCTTATGTTTTAATTCAGCTCCCCTTTGCTTTACAATCCTGAGAAGGTTATAAATCCAAGAATTGGTCACACTATTATTTTATCATCATCATAACTGTGAATAGTTGCTAAATGAAGCAGTTGCTAAACAAGGTCAACCTAGATACTTGAAGCAACATGAATAGACAAGAAATGCTAATTTTTACTACCATTGTATAAAGTATTTGATGGGTATATCACAACATGTCCTGACATGAGCAAAGAATCCCTCTTTGAAGTATTAAAGCAGTTATATTTCTCCTGCAACATATTTTAAAGTCTTTTTCCAGTTCTTGAGTGCATATACATGTAGTCCTTACTTAACAACTGTCCTTTTTAGCATCACAGCATCCCATGGTCACATGAGTTCCATTTGCATAATTCACAGTTGGCTTCCAAAAAAAGGTCATTGGAGTAACTGGCAGTACAATTGCAAGTTGTGGTTACAGGATCTGTCACTTAATGCCCATTTCACTTAGCAATGGAGTTGTCAGTCGCAACTTGGTCATTAAGTAAGATTACCTGTACATGCAAAGCTACTTCACTCATAGACAGAGTAAAGAGTTGTCTATGCATGTGCTCATGAAGGAACCATCAGAGAAGCTATAGTGAGTCTTTTAGAGGACATAAATGTTTATGTTTAGGGTGACCCGCTCTCTGCTCCATCAAGAGACGCGGGAAGGCCCCTTGGAGGGTAGAGCTGAGGATTTTGTACAATATCTGTATGACAAAATTGCTCAGATTCGTGAACAGCTAGACTCTGACTGGATTGATCCAGAGGAGATGACAAGGGCAGGTCCTGAGAATATTATTTGGGAAGAGTTTGATCCTGTGACTCCCGAAAGCGTGGACAGGATACTGAACAGACTAAATGCGACCACATGTTTATTGGACTCGTGTCCATCCTGGTTGGTACTGGCCTCCCGGGAAGTGATGCGAGGCTGGCTCCAGGAGATTATAAATGCTTCTTTGAGTGAGGGTGTCTTTCCCACCGTCTTGAAAGAGGCGGTGGTGAGGCCCCTCCTCAAGAAGCCCTCCCTGGATCCAGCTGTATTAGCAAATTATCGTCCTGTCTCCAACCTTCGCTTTGTTGCAAAGGTTGTTGAGAGTGTGGTTGCACGACAACTGCCTCAGTACCTGGATGAATCGAATTATCTAGATCCGTTCCACTCAGGATTCAGGCCCGGGTACAGCACAGAGACAGCATTGGTCACATTGGTTGATGATCTCTGGAGGGCTCGGGACAGGGGTTGCTCCTCTGTCCTGGTCCTACTAGACCTCTCAGCGGCTTTTGATACCATCGATCATATTATCATGCTGCACCGGTTGGAAGGGTTGGGGGTGGGGGGCAGTTTTACAGTGGTTCTCCTCCTTTCTCTCTGACCGGTCGCAGTCTGTGTTGACAGGGGGGCAGAGGTCGACCCCGAGGCCCCTTATATGTGGGGTGCCACAAGGATCGGTCCTCTCGCCCCTTCTATTCAACATTTATGTGAAGCCGCTGGGTGAGATCATCCGTGGTTTTGGGGTGAAGTACCATCAGTACGCTGATGACACCCAGCTGTACATCTCCACCCCAGACCACCCCAATGATGCCCTCGAGGTGATGTCCCGGTGCCTGGAGGCCGTACGGATCTGGATGGGGAGGAACAAACTCAGGCTTAACCCATCCAAGACCGAGTGGCTGTGGTTTCCGTCGTCCCGATATAGTCAGTTGGCGCCATCTCTGACTATTGGGGGCGAGTCGTTGGCCCCCACAGATGGGGTTCGCAACTTGGGCATCCTCCTGGACTCACGGCTGTCTTTTGAAGAGCATATGACGGCCGTAGACAGGAGGACTTTTTATCAGGTTCGCCTGATTCGCCAGTTGCATCCCTTTCTGGATCGGGATTCGTTACGCACGGTCACTCACGCCCTTGTCACCTCACGCCTGGATTATTGTAATGCTCTCTACATGGGGCTCCCCTTGAGAAGCACCCGAAGGCTCCAACTGGTCCAGAATGCGGCCGCACGGGTGGTAATGGGAGCAATGTGGAGCTCTCATGTAACCCCCCTCCTGTGCGAGCTGCACTGGCTCCCAGTGGTCTTCCGGGTGCGCTTCAAGGTTTTGATTACTATCTTTAGAGCGCTCCATGGCTCAGGACCAGGGTACTTACGAGACCGCCTCCTGCCACCAATAGCCTCTCACCGACCAGTTCGCTCCCATAGAGAGGGACTCCTCAGGGTGCCGTCGGCCAAACAATGTCGACTGACGGCCCCCAAGGGGAGAGCCTTTTCTGTGGGGGCACCTATCATCTGGAACGGGCTTCCCCCGGAGTTACGAAACATCCAAGACTTACGCATATTCCACCGTGCCCTGAAAACATTTCTATTCCAATAAGCTGGTCTCGCCTAACTCTCCCTTTTTAATTGGCTTTTAAACTGGCTTTTAAATTGGGTTTTAAACCTCTTTAGATAAATTTGGATGTTTTTAATCTTTGAGCCTAAATTACTTAATCTGTTTCTTAATAGTTTTTAACTTCTATATGTATTTGTATTTGTTATGGCTGTTCACCGCCCTGAGTCCTTCGGGAGTAGGGCGGTATACAAATATGAAAAATAAATAAATAAATAAATAAATAAATAAATAAATAAATAAATAAATAAATGCCTTAATGACTTGAGGAATGGTACCCTGCTTGCTTTTGAAATTATCTGCATCCCTTTGAAATAATTTGCACAGCATTACGTAGAGCCTTGAAAGCTTGGTGCAGGATTACATAGATGGAAATTTACCATATTCTCACTACAAACTGAATTGCATCAATTAAGAATAACAAAGACCGCAGGAAGCAATGTTCATGCTATGAAAACCTACCAAGCCAACAATGAGTAAGAAGTATCTTGCTAGGGGTTCTTGGAATCCTTTATATGAAGTTTGAGAATCCTGAAGATGATGTTGTGGAAATACTTCTCGCCATATTACTAACTGACCGATTCGCTGTTCTGCTGCTAAGGGCAAAAGGCAATAATGCCTGCTGTATAATGCAATATCAATAAGGTCCTCTTTCGGCAAGTGACTACTAATTAAATATCCCTAAAATAAAAACACAGACAACACATTATTATACAGCCATGCACTAGTTTTTTTAGAACTTCTTACACTAGTTCATATTTTTTTTAAAGTACTACATATTGTCACAAAACTCAGTCCAAACCAATTGAATCATAACAAATTTAAATTAAGCACTGTCATTTTTATTGATAATGATAAATTTATTTGTTCCTAATGTATAATTACCTACCATCTTCAGATGAATTGAGTTGTGAAAATTAAAAACTATTATTCTGTAGAGATAGCTCAGAAAGGCAATAGGTTTGACAGTATATACATAGAATAAGACAAACCACCCAAACCCACCTTATGTCTTATTATAGTTATTGTGACTTTAAAATCTTTTCCCCCTCAATTAACACCTTGTATGTGGTTCAATTAAAGTTGCCTTTGTTGTTTGAATGTAATCAATTTACCAGAAAGCAGTAAAGTTTGCAAAAGCTTACCTTATAGAAGAGACATGAGCCTAAAAATGTATACTGTCGTCTCACATCATAGTAATCTTCAGACTATAAAAAGAAAGACAATGAATTTTGGATTTTAGCTGATCCAATGTGTAGTTCTGGAATATTTTAAAGAATAGAATAGAATATTTCTAATTTTGCCTTATTTTCTTGACCAGCAGGATGTATAATTTGACACAGAATATGATGCAGTATATTCCAGAGAAGACACCAACTGAACAGATATAGTGAAGATGACTAGGACAGAGTCTGGTATGTTTATCTGAAACTTGTATGCCTGTGAAAAAAACCTGAGGAAGTAGAATGCATGTCAGGATTGTGAGCTCAGCCACCTGTTTATAAGATCCAGATCCTGCTCTGGGTCTATGTGGTGACATCTACTTCTTTGAAGGAGGGCATTATTAAACAGCCTTGAAGGAGGCTATAGTGTGACCCTTCCTTAAGAAGTGATTGATTGCTAGACCCAATGATTTTGGAGAATTTCTGTTTGGTCTCCAACCTTCCCTGTTTAGTTGGGCTTCACCTGCAGAAGATTGCGGAAGAAATTCATTATCTGAACTACTTTCACTCAGATTTCAGACAGGATCACCAAATCGAGACAGGAAATGGTTGCACTTTGAACGGCTTGGAGCAGAGCCATTATGAGGTTATTATGTCCATTTTTGTACTCCTTAATTTCTCAGTGGCTTTTTATACTGTTGATCAGTATCGAGGGTACTATTTTGTGATTATTCTTTCCTTGTGCCCAATTTCAAGTGGTGTTAACAGGAGGCGAAATTGTGTCTTTAGCTCCTGACTTGTAGGGTGCAACAAGTCTTGATGCTCTCATCCCTTTTGTTCACCATTTACATGAACTGGGGGATTAAAATGACTTTATCATGATCCTACAATTCAAAATTGTACTTATGATTGTTATATATATATATATATAGGCCTAATCATTGTCACTCCATGTCCTTGCAGTTAATTACAAGGTTTGCAAATAGACATTTAATACATTAATGACCCATATATTAGAAATAAATATTGAAATATTTTTAAAAAGTAATTCATCTACATTTTTTCATTTATTTTTTTTTAATTTGATTTATATGCCGCCCTTCTCCGAAGACTCAGGGCGGCTTACAATGTGCTCAGCAATTTAAAACATGAATGAATGGTATTCCATATTTTAAGACAGTCAACCTATTTGGATTATCTCATCTTTTCCTGCAGTACTTCACCTTATTTTTGTTCCCAATTCCTATAGATCCAATTCTTATTAAACACACTGTAGTTTGCTGTTCTCCTTACTTTTTTTCCTATGAAAAAAATAGGAAATGATAGTAAGAAGGAACAACGACTACGTGGAATTTGGATCTATGAGAAAGAAGATGAGATTTTCTTTTGCGTGACCCTTACTCTTAATTCATACTCTCCCTTTGAACCACATGACCAAAGCAAGAGTAATGAAAAAGAGGAGAACAATGATAGGAGCAGAGCCTCCATTGTAGCATTGATGAATCACCAGTGATGACATCCTAATTTTGGCTCTTACATGAATAACTGGCATACCACTGAAATCAGCAATTTTAAAATAATTTCTCTACTAAATAGATGAAGAAATGACAGAATGCACAAAACACTTGATTAAAAATAAAGTCTTTACCAATTCTGCAAAGTCTGCTGCCTCCAGGTCACTCAGAGCTGCATCAATTTCTACCTAAAATACATAAGCAGAAAACATTCATATATATTCATATATGTTTGTGTATTTTGTGTTCCCCTCCTTCCTATCTTTTAATAGTATTGATTACTGTTATTTAGTGCTTTGTTGTTTATTATTATTATTATTTTAATGTGTAGTTTTAATGTTTGTAAGCCACCGGAATCATCTGTGGACATTAATTAATTAAGCAAGCAAGCATGACTTTTGTTCCCAGCCTTGTAAAAGCTTCTCAATACTGAACAATATCTTAATATACACAACTACATTTTTCAATCCACAATAATTAACAAATTAAATATCAGCCAACTGTTGGAAACTACTGTAAACTGGATCAAAAGAAAAATATATAGTAATTAGGCATTGGCTGTTTTGCAGATAAAGCAAAAACAATTATACTTTTTAGGCCTCCAATGCAGTGCTAAATGTAAGACATTCACCCTCATGCTAATGAATTACAAGGCACAGTTTCCTTGAAATGTGACATAGCATCCTCACTGAATTATTAGAAAAATCTTTTTCACTAAGCCTTTAGCCTTTATCTCTATGGAACGTTTTTCACAAATTCTCACATAATATCTTTATTTTGCCTAGGAAACAAAAAATCACTTTTATTTATATAACCTAATTATATAACCTAATTATACTAATTATACCCCAAATGTAAAAATGTCTGTTCTAAAATTTGTCAGAAAGCAGAGGTACTCCCTATAGTCTGAAAAACAGTAGTTTTTAACCGATGTTACCAAAATTGTTAGCCACAGAGCTGGTGCTTATATCATTCATTTCCTCTGTTCTTTTATGTCTGAAATTGAAAACAAATGACATTTCCCTATTTTGGGAAGTCACTTTTTCTTAATTCTTATTATAGATATATCATAATCTACCATTTTATAACATAATAAGCCACTTTTCTGGTATAGTCTGTTTTTCTTAAAATCAAAACTTTGAAATGTCAAACCACATACCACAACAAATTCACTCAGAAATGTATCAGGCCAACAATTAAATAACATTTAAATTTGTCCCAGTCTTGAATTGCTAAAACATCATCTGCTTCAAGAATGGGACCTATATGTTAATTCAATTAATTTGTCAGTAATTTCTATGTAGAAATACATTATGTGTGTGTATGTGTCTGAGGGCATAGATAGATGGGGAGGGGAGCATTGCAACAATATAGATTTAAAAACATAAACTTTTGAAAAATTTTAGAGGATCATGTGTGATTCTGTGAAAAGAGCACCTTGATTCTGAATTTGTATTTTATTTTGCCACTGAATGTTACCATGTGGATTCTATATAAAGAGCCCAAGTAAACAAACGGCACCCGTAGCTGTTAGTTCTTTCATTCCTTTCATAGACAAAGACATGCAACATGGGATAACCTAGCATGAAAACCTGATTGCCCCTTCAAGTTTGTAACTGATTAACTACTGTTAGCTGCAGTAACTACAACAAAATTACCCTATAATTGTGAACAATTTCTCAATCACTATATGAATATTCTGATCTATTCTTTCATAACAAGTTGCTTCAACTCAGTAGTATTTGAGGCTTTACTTGCATCAACTTATTTTTTCAGATCATAAAGAAACATTCTCACTGTGTTCAAGTCTAGGCTTGGCTATTCCAAAACATGTATTTTGTTCCTGTTCATTCATTCTTTTGTATATTTTCTTGAAGGCATGGGCACGTTGTCTTGTTGCATGACTTACTGGCAGTTCAGGTTCAACTGACAAAGGTTCTGATGTTCTCTTGTACAATTTTCTGATAAAAAGCAGACTGATAATTTCTTCAAAGATCAGAAATCGCTTTGGTCCCAAGGAAGCAAAACATCCCCAACTATGCCACTACAAGTTTCATGCTTCACAGCTGCTATTAAAATTTTATTATGGAATTCAGTGCTTGCAACTCACAATAATACCCAGATAGCCCCAAATTTTTTAGATTTGATTCATCTGTCCATACGTCATTCTTTCAGAGGTCTGTATCAATGAGCTATTTTTTAAGCTTAAAAGTAATATTAATATTTTTTTTAAATGAGCAGTGGCTTCTGCCTTGTAACTACCCATGAATTTCTATTAGGGCATGGCATGCGCTCTGCATTTTACCAGCTAAATATTCAGAAATACAAACTTCTGAGTACATGCTATTTGGAGCTACAGTTCAGGACATGATCTAGTTAGTATATTATGACTATTTGAATTTACTATGTTAATTCATATATATGCTAGTTATTCAGACTGAGGGATAAAACAATACTGAGTCAGAATCAGTGGTGGGTTGCCCCTGGTTCGCAAGAACCGGTAGTAAAACTGGCAGGAAGCTCTGCCCACTGACCTGGATGTCATCATAGGTGATCTGCGCATGCGCAGAAGCCTCTGTGCATGCGCAGAAAAACATGTGCGGGCACGATGCAAACCGGTGGTAAAGGTAAGTAGAACCGACCCCTGGTCAGAATATTTTGGCACATACATGAAAATGTCTATGTGTATCTTGGTAACTTCAATTAGACTAATGTCCGATTTTTAAAATCTGTAATCGAGCTTACTTTAATATTTTGGGGCAACAACAGCCATCGTACTCCTGGAAAGTTGTATAAAAGTAATGAGCTGTTATCATAGTGGTGAGAACCAGGGTTGGCTTTGGAGTTGGTATCCTGAAGAACTTGCTGGAAAAACAGGCTGAAGAAGTAATCCAATCTAGAAGTATTTCCTGCCTTACAAAAAGCACTGAACAAGGAAATGAAAAGTTGGAAAAAATGAGAAATATGCTAGTTCTTGCTATAATCTATCTACCTAGCATAAGATATTTATAACACAATATAGATAGTCTTAAGAAATCAGAAAACAAAATAAAAACAGAAACAAAAAAGGAGAGAGGTACTGGAAAGGACAGTATGAAAAAGAAAGGAAGAAAAATTTGGTTGTAATCATTTTTAAAATCAAGTTATTTTAAATGTAGCCATTCTCCTACGTGGAATGATCTGATTACTGTTATTCTGGTAAAAGTACAATCTTTATAAGCTAAATATATTATGTTCTTTTATTAGACAATAATACTTACATGTAATTCAAAATGTAATATGAAAGGGTATACATGATTTTCAAGATGCTTCCACTTTTACATTGTTTAGACTTTGTTTAATGGCTATGGTATAAACCAGGGGTATTAAACTTGATTTCATTGATGGCTGCATCAGTTTTGTGTTTGACCTCGGGGGCCGGTGTGGGCATAGCCAGGGTAGCCAGGGCCAGCTCAAAGTCACTCGTGTCAGGGTGCCTGGGATAGCCCGAGCACTCTGCCAATGAAAACGGGCCCAAGCTCAGTTTTTGGTTGCAATGGACTCCTGCAACCCTCTGCCAATAAAAATGGAGGTCAGGAGGGCCACACATGGCCCTCCTGAGCTTCGTTTTTGCTGGCAGAGGTACCACGGACCAATGCTTGCTGTTTCTAGGGTGGTCATGCGGGCCAGATCTAAGCACTCTGTGGGCCGAATCCGGACCCTGGGCCTTGAGTTTGACACCTCTAGTATAAAGGATAAAAATTCAACACAACAGTGGCATCTCCTAGACCAGGAGTGTTAAAACTCACATTGTCACGTTGTTGTCATGTGACATATCGCTAAAATGGGGATGGGCGTGGCCAGAACGTGATGCATCCAACCTTACGGCCGCGAGTTTGACACTCTTGTTCTAGACCATGTTGGGGTTAGAAAAAGGTCCTTGTTGAGAAAAATATTCTATATACAGGTCAAAATGTGGAAGAGCAAAACTTTCAGATTCTAAACGGAGCTTCTGAAACAATTTGAGATTTCAATAGGAAACTGATCTTTAAAGAATGTAAGAGAAAAAAACATTTGAATAAACAATTGACTCTGTGAACAACTTGCTTTATTATGAAAAACTGAGAAAACAAAACAAAATATTTAACTTGATATATTTAGAGATTCATCTTTATATTGCTATTTAAAACATATAAAGTATATCTAGCAAACAAAGCTACACTTTATCTCCTGGGAATTTAAATAATTTGAGTTTGATTTTTCCGTTTCCCATTCTGCAGAGCAAATCACATGTGAAACTGACAGAATTTTTAAGCATAATTCAGAACACGATAACTAGATCTGTCTATCAAAATAAAATCTTACAAGTACATTTTAAACAATGTAAGTATGCAACCAAAACTAAAATGCATAGGTTTAGTTACAATGGTCCAGAACTGGAATGCTTACCTATCCAAGGAATTGTACATGAAGGTCAATATTCTCACAACATCTGCAATCACGTTCCTTAGCTGAGAGAGAGGTACACTAGAAAACCAGAATAATCTTTTAGATAATTTTTCTAACAGAATAAATGCATATAAGGGAGAAGGAAGAATGTGTGCAAGGATAGCACACAATCCTGACCTTAAAAGCAAATGAAAAGGACATGAACTAATTTTGAGGGTTCTATTTTTAAAATATTGTTTTAATTTTGTTACATGCCATAAGAGACTAGATATTTTTATAACAACTATCTTAGAAGGATGATCTTTTGATTTTAGTAAATATTTATGAATAATTTTAGGGACTAAATTTATGTAGCAAAAAAAATAAAAATAAAAAGGGAAAAATAGAGAAATGTACCTTTCAGCTGGAAGACCAATTATGAGCAGCTTGTCAGCCTTCTTCCAATAAGCCACATGGATCAATTTCCCACATAAAAACATAGATGAACTATAAAAAGTCAACAAAATAATAAAGAAAATATGGTCATGCAATTATATCATTGCTCAAATGGGTCAGTTAGTACCATGCATAAAAACTCAGTTTCTTTCCTATTTTAACTTTTAGGCAATAGTTAATTGCTAAAATTCTTCCCATCAGTTTTTTTTTTTTATATTATTCTCCTATATGTATATTATCTTAATAGGCAGCTTGGACTATGTAAATAACATAATGGATGCCAAGTTAGTACTACTCTATGATTTGTCATATTATCCAGTGTTGGACATCTTTTGATAGCCAGGGTAACAATTAGAATTCAAGAAGCACAGGACCATGTTCAATTTATTATTTATTTTACAATACTTACTTAGCTTACAATACTTAATCAGTTCTTATGATCCTAAATAATTTATACTAATTGTTAAAATACAAAAACCAACAATAAATATAAATAACAATAACTTGGCAGCCCATTAATAATATTCAACAGCATTCAACTTGATTTGATGGACTTTTAAAAAAATTGTGATATGTAATAGTTTTCAATAATCATGATTTATGAGAGATCAGGGACAGCAAATTTAAAGCAAAGGTATAAAATTATTAAATTCTAAAGAAAAAAATCAGAAATCTGGTGGTGATGGTGGTGGTGGTGGTGCAAAAATGATTAATAAGAACAATACTTGCCTAATTATTTGTGTCCCAGTCATATTTTCCAGTATATCACACAGCGTGAGAAATATTCCTCTTACACTTTTTATTTTTTGAGATGCTTTTGATATGGGATATTGGTAAATAATTTCTTGCTGTCAAAGAAATGTCAGTTTGTGTATCAGTTAAGAAAATTATGGGAAAATCCATATCCATACTTAAAATTGATCTTTCTTGATTTCATCTAAAAATCCTCACCAGGGAAATGTATTGTAAAAACTTCACATTCAAGAATAAAGGATGCATTCCTTGGGAAATTTGTGTATACAATTTGCTAATACATTTCATTACTGCTGATTTTAGAACTATATATTATTAAATGATTTGCACCCTTTTTTAAATTTTATAATAAAATAATTTGTAATTAAAAAGTTTTTAATTGCAAGCCACGTTAAAAATGTTACTGTTTTGTGAAAATAAAGAGACTATATATTATCACTGAATCCAAATTCTAATATGAAATCCTGCTTTTGTGGACCAAATAGGTCTCTGCTATCTCACAAACTCTCTAAGTGACATTATACAAATTATGTAAATCAATACTTATGATGTCACTCTCTTTTGTAAAATGATATTATTGTACACTTTGTTCTGTTATGTGTGAAGTCTGTTGCATTAAAATTCAGAAAACAGAGATTATAATATTGGCATTTCAAGTTATAAGAGTTCTAAAACCCACTTTGCAATTTTTCTCTTTTAAATTATAGGTCTTCAAGCTATTGATAAGTTTCTCCTGACTACATAGGGACTCTAGGCTGATCCTTTTTTAAATTCCACCCCCACGTTTTGCCACTCTTTCGCTTACAATTATATATGATTCTTCTGTTTCCAGTTTCTTGGAAACAATTTTTTATTTTCATTGCTTTTTTGTTTTATTTGTGTTTGTCTTATTATTGTGTTTGTCTTATTATCACCTTTCTTGTTGAAAGAGAGGATATATGCACTATTTTAGAAATGTATTCCTACCTCATCAGATGAGTCAGATTCCAAGTTAAGTGAGAGATACATTACAATATGTGGTATACTTTGCAGAGAGAACTGCAAATCGTTATTATGGTCTCTCCATAGCAGCTTCACCAAATTGTTTTCAGAAGATTCTGTCTGTTTACTCCTTGACTGAGATGTTCCTGTTGGTTCAAATGCTGCTATTTCAAATGTAAATTTTACCTGTTAAAAGAATTAATAATATTTTCACTGGGTATAATTTGGATCTTTAGAAATGTTTTCTACACAGGAAATAGTTTTAAACATACACAACAGTGGGGTTTTAAACATACACAACAGTATGGTTTTCATAAATATAATGAAGTAATGAATCCAAATTATTCACTATTAACAACTGCACAAGTAAAACCTGATAGTAAAGACTTGAAGTAAACACAACTGTATAATTTAAGTGTAATCTTCTCTCAGATTTTTTAAAATGGAGCATAGAAATGTTTTAAGTAAGTCAAATGCATTTGTCATATTGGAATCAGCAAGTGATATTCAGTATTATCAGTTGCTATAGAATGTCTTTTTTGCTTCATACTTTTTGTCTCACTATGAAAAATATCATTTAATGTAATTATTATTGGTTCATTAACTTTATGATTTGATTTTCTTCAAATGAAAGTTGACCGTCTATGCACCACCCATTCCTATTTCTGTGTGTTTTTCACATTTGTCCCTATATTGTTATGATTACTTAAAGTTTTTAAGGCTCTACATCACCGATTCAGAGCACGGTGCCATTTTCAAAATATAGAAGAGTTCCTCCCAAACTCTCTAAATGTAGTTCTGTAAATGATGTTTACAGCATAATCGCATCTGATTATGAAACTATGTCAAATGGTAAAAAAGGCATCTTTTCAGTTTAGGAGAGTGAAATATCTTAACTGCTCAGGCAACAATATGTCAGTCCAATCTTTCTGCTTAGTGCTAAAAGTTTTAATGCCTCTCCTTGCCCCTATTCCTGTCTTATTAATTTTTAATATTTGTATTGTAGGTAAGTAGACAGGACCGGCTGGAGCAGAATACAATCATTGTTCTAAACATACATACCTTGAAAAAAATAAATATGAGATATATATTTTATTTTCAAGATCATCCATTTTATCCTTTTTAGTTAAAGGAATATGACCAAATAAGAGCCTGAGAGACTCATCCTAGTCAGTGACTAAAATATGTGCTCTCTTCTGCAAATCAGTGCCCTGACAACAACTTACTTTCATCAAGGATTACAAAGAAAGTTGTGTTTTATGTAAGGTTCATATAAAAAACTAGTATAAAAAACTTAATGTTTGCATGCTTGTCTAAATAAAGTCAACTGAAGTATACCTGCATAGGACCAGGAATACAAGACAAAATTCTTTCTATATTTTTAGAGTCTACATCAACATCATTTACAGCAACAAGGGCATCTCCTGAAAGCAGAAGGAAAAGCAAAATTAAGGAAGCAAACAAAATAAAATTCCAAATGATGGATAGGATGTTCCTTAAGAATGGCTGACTTATACGCATGCACTGAAGATTAATATTTATTTCATTTGAGACATTTATATATGCAAATTATCTGCTCTCTTTGCTTCCCTTTCCAGCAATGTAATTTGCTCTTGTAACAAGATATGAGCAACTATCAATTCCAATTATGTTGCTTTAGTTTAGGACATATAATCTTCTAATTTTCTCCTCAGACAAGGGTTTTTTTTGTTGTTGTTGTTGATGTTTTTGTTTTGTGGGCTGGGAATCGCTTGTCAATTTGGAGTCAAAAGAACCTTGCCAGAGCAGAAGTAAAAACTGACCGGCCTATAAAAGAGCAACTACTGTATTAGAATATGATAGCATGCTTTCCAAAATGCTAATCTGGATTTAAATAAAATTAATTATTAAAAAATCTGCACTACTCATTTTTTCCTTTGCCTTAGATCTTTATGAACATTCTATTAAAATTGGAATTCACTGTCAATGACATATGTTTATTTTATATCTCAGTTGCTTAAGGCTTTAATTCTAGTTAACAATCAAGAGTTAGCCTGTTTGCCAAAAAAGATACCATATCCTTATAAAATGTAAGATAACATACTGTATCCTATTCAAAATATTTTCAACTATATATGATCTTCCATTTTTCTCAAAGAAAACAGGAGTTTTCCTTTCTTCCTGCTATCCTACATGTAATACCTACATATAGGTAGGTAAGAGCTATGGTGGTACAATGGTTAAAGTGCAGTACTGCAGGCTAATTCTGCTGACTGCTGGCCAACTGCCAGAAGTTTGATTCTCATTGACTCAAGGTTAACTCCGCCTTCCATCTTTCCGAGGTCAGTAAAATGAAGCCCAGATTGTTGGGGGAAATTGTTATGACCTAGGCTTCCCCAAAAAGCACGAAACAGAATCCTGGTCCTGATAAAACCTCTTTTATTAACAAACAGTGAATTCCTCTCATTCACCTTCAACAAAGTCTTTCAAGGGAGAATTTACAGTCACAGACCTTATCTGGCTTGGAGAACTGCCAAGCTGATATCTTCAAAACTTGGCAAAGAGTCTCGGAGAGTCACAAACCAATTAGGTGAACTAATGGTCTCCTGCAAACTCCACTCCCCTTTCGCTCCTCTTTTATTCCCTCTGGGAAGGGCCATTTATCATCCACCTATGGCCTTACTCCCAAGTCGACCCTTGTTCTTTAGCTGTTCCCTTCGTCTGGCAACTCTGCGCATGTGCACACTGGAAACAGGCTCCAGCTGTTTGTCTGCCTCACTGATATCTGACTCTGAAGGGAGCTGATAACTGGCATCCGGCCATGGCCCCCTCTCTGCCTCTGACACAGAACCCTCATCAGAGCCTTCCTCAGACTCCAGGATTGGCCCATGTTCGTCCCCAACCGCCTCACTGTCCGAATCTGCTGCCAGCTCTGCTGGCTACTGGCGGGCCACAACAGAAATATGCTGATTCTGTAAACCTCTTGGAGAGGTTTGTAAAGCCCTATGAAGCGGTATATAAGTCTAAGTGCTATTGCTACTTAGCTTTGCAATATTCCCCTGCATATGAGTCTTTACAATGATTTTATGCTGAGAATCTTTGGGTTGGTAACAATTTCTGAACTCCCTACCTTTTCCCCTAAGTAGGCTTGATGATTTTGAAGAGTCCCAATGTATTGTATGATCATTAAAAATACTATATAATCACATTTCACTTGTACAAATGACATAAGGTTATAATGAATGACAGCAATAACTACATTATTCTTGATTCAAAATACTCAAATAGCATACCTAGTCCTCGACTTACAACAGTTCATTTAATGACTGTTCAAAGTTACAACAGCATTGAAAAAAGTGACATGGCCATTTTTCACGCTTACTACCATTGCAGCATCATATGACATTGCATTGAAGAGCCTTGGTAGTACAGTGGTTTAAAGCACCCTGTTATTAAGACCAGCTGTCTGCAATTACTGCAGGTTCGAATCTCACCAGGCTCAAGGTTGACTCAGCCTTCCATCCTTTCTAAGGTAGGTAAATTGAGGACCCAGTTTGTGGGGGCAATAAACTGACTTTGTATAAATATACAAAAGGATGAAGGCTATTGCTTAGCGCATTGTAAGCCGCCCTGAGTCTCTGGAGAAGGGCGGCATATAAATCAAATAAAAAAAAAAAATTGAGACGCTTGTCAACTGACTCATATTTATGATGGTCACAGTGTCCTGGGGTCATGTGATCACTTTTTGTAACTTTCTGACAAGCAAAGTCAATGGGAAAGTCAGATTCACTTAACAACTGTGTTACTAACTTAACAACCACACAACCACAACTGTAGCAAGAAAAGTTGTAAAATGAGGCAAAACTCACTTAACAAATGTCTCACTTAGCAACATAAATTTTGGGCTCAATTGTACTTGTAAGTTGAGGACTACCTGTATTTCATATTACCGACAAACAGAAAACAATATTGGCTAGAATATAATTTATTTTATATCCTCCTGCTCCTAATATCTATTGCAATTACATTGGTTACTTTTGTGAATGTATGCTATAAGTTGAGAATTAACAAACATCTGATCAGGGAAAAAATATATTATTCTAAAGGCCCAGAAAGACTATCAGATATACTTGTTGAAATTTTAAAAAATATGTTCAAGATGTGATTTGACTTCCTAATATGTTCTTGTTTTATTAAGTAGAATACGGGCTGTCAAACCCTTGGCCCGCAGGTTGAATGTGTCACACACTGGCCACGTCCACGGCCTGGTTTAGTGAAGGGGAAAAAAGTCATATGTCACATGCCACCATACAACTTGAGTTTGACATCCCTGATGTATAACATGTGAAATATTTATTGCTCAAATAAGATTAATATCTCTCAAACCATGACTATTCCTTAATCAAAAGTCCAATACCAAAATTGAAATAAGCCCCTCCATTTTCCACAATACTGGTTTTGTTAGAAGTGTGTAAAATATTGAACTTACCAATTAAGATCTGTCCAGACTTTATTGCTGAGCTTCCTGGGATAAAACCACGCACTGTAATTTTTTCTTCATTAGTACTTCTAGATTCAGTACCATGACTGTATTTTTCAGCTGTTGTCCATGGTGGTTGGTGGACAATTCCTATTAAGGATTCCAGAAGCCCATGTTGGTCCCCTGTTGCAGCATTTGAGTCTTTATGTGGATTTACATAAATGTAGATGTCCTTGTATAACTGTTGGTCGACATCTCCCATCTTATGGCAAGCATGGTGTTTCAATATGGATGCTGGGCCATAATTATGGACACAGTCTTTACTACTTGCTTTCTTCTTTTCAGAATGCCTCAGAAGACCTTTATTCTTTAATAAATTAGTAAACTGTTGCAATCTATGTTCACACTTTCTGTCTTTTACAGCTTTCTCATGAAAAATTTCAGCTTCATTTTCACTAAATCTCACATGGTTCATCATAGATCTAGCAAGAGAATTGTCATGAAGGATGGTTTCCTCTTCATCTTCAGTTAATTCTAGGTAGAATAATTCTCCATTTTTCTGTACACTATCCAACCACTCAGGTTCAATGTCACTATGAACAAGATGACAACAGTATATTTAATTTGTAATTAACATAAAAGCAGTTATGAAGTGCAGAAGAGGACCAAGAAACTATCACTCAAAAGATTTACTATTTGGATGCTTCAAAAGCATTGGATTCTGAAACCAACACTTTTGGCACAACATATAAAGAGCTAAATTAATCATGATAACAATGGTTGTGAATATTGATCATGATTTTTAAAATATAAAAAGTGTATATGTAGAGGTTGGTGGATTCTAATCTGAGGAGTCCTTGATGATATCTGAGCTTGGTTGTTTTTTTGTAGACGTTTCATTACCCAAACTAGGTAACATCACTGACTAGCACTGATAATGTTATCTAGTTTGGGTAATGAAATTCTGCAAGAAAAGAACCAAGCTCAGAGAGCACCAAGGACCCCTCATTTCAATCCTGAGGTACAAAACTCCTTTACTGGTTTCTAATCTATTTTGCTGCACTGGGCATTATAATAACCTATGCCATTCATTTAAGTGAAATTCATCATAATAACATTCTTTTGTAAATTAGGAATTCAACATTACATATCTGCAAACACTTCCCAATATAATCAGGCTCTAGCAGTTTGTCTAAATGCCAGCAGGTTGGTTCTGATCTAAACTTAAATGGAATACTGTTCAAAGGAGGAAGCAGCAACAGAAAAGGCTTACTTTTGTGTTCTAATGGAAACAGTGCTTCAATTATGTTAAACAATACTTAAGTGCCTTCTCCACTAGGTATTATTGTATGGGTGAAGGTGATCCCATTTATATTCAGGTCCCAAACTATCAGGCTTTTAAGGTGACTACCAGCACTTTTAATTGTACAGGAATCTGTCATCCACCAACAGATGGGCTTCCAAATTTTGGACTAAATACAGCTTCCAAATAGATTTCAAGAGCAGCAACATTACAGTAAAGTTTATGGAATGTGTCACAGTGCCAGGATTTCCTTCTCCAGGAAATGATGCAACTGACATGCCAGCCAAATATGGACAAAGATCACTCCAGGAATAGCCTGTCTGTCGTTTGAGTAGTAGCTAAAAGTCTAGGACGACTCTAAGTATATACCTGCTTCTTCAAAGAGCTACCGCTTCCAAAGTTACCATTAAGTCATTAAGACTGAAGCTAGCATTCCCTATAATCCAATAGTGAATTCAATCTTATATATTCCACATATTATATGGGAAAGATTATTAAATCTTTGCAGATTGCTAATAATTGAGAGATTAGCACACTTTTGCCACATCAGATCAAATATTGCCAATTGTGTGATGTGTGACCTTGTATTTGTATTTGCTTAGAAACTGGATATTTGAAGGCGTAGGGGTTATTGCTACATAATGTACTTCTTTTCAGATGAAATGTTTCACTTTGTGCATTTAGCCGCCCAGATATACTTGACAGTGAGAAAGGCGGCATATAAATTTAATAACTATCAGCAAAGTTTCAAGATGGACAATTGATAAAAGGAGAGCAAAATCTGTGATCTGAGAAGGAAAAAGAAAGCATGTAGAATTTTTATTTAGTATTTAATTATTGGTTTGGGATTAAAAGTGAATATTTCCCAGCTAATAAGCCAGGATACTTCCCCATTCATTCAGAATAAATATAGACGGGGCAAATTCCCACTCACTCTTTCAGATACAAATAGGCTAGAGAGAATGAAGGCTTCCCAAAAAGAAACACAGAAAACGACTGCATTATCCTATTTCTAATATTTCCATTCCCCACCATTCTCCAGTCAGAGCTGAAGAAGCTTCTTGGATGAGAAGCGAAACATCTTTTCAAAGAAAAAAACAAGAAAGTCCAGTTGCTTCTTTAAAAAGCACCTTTGAGATAACCATGACCTGGATGACTGAGAATCTCTATAGACATTATCTCCTATGCTGAAATGCCAAGCATTCTTTGGGAAGAAAAGGGTAAGGGAATAAAAGAGCCTAAGGGATCAATCCGTAAAGTTCCTAGATGAAGGCAAATGAAAAGCATTCCGTTGGGTAAATTGCAATTCCACACTTTCCGCGTTTCTAAAAGCAACAAGGAACAGCACGTTTGGAAGGCGGTTCATTTCAAATCATTTATTCCCAACCCAACTCCCTGCCTTCCCTCCGGGAATCAGCACATGCGCAGACTGCAGGCCTAAATCGGTCGCAAAAGCGGGAAAGAAGCGGTGTCTCTCCTTACTCGGAACTGCTGGACAAAGACGGAGAGCAGGAATCGCCCCTCTGAGTCGAGTCGCCGCCCTTAGACTCCTCATAATCCTCAACCGACGGCTCTCGGGGAATCTCAAAAGACCGGCGAGGCAGCGCCGTCTTCTCCATAACAAGGGGGGGAAAAACCCAGTTTCTTCCGAGATCCCTACAAACCCTCTGCCGCCATGACACTGGAATCCGAAAAAAAGCAGAACGTCACCCTCTGCCGCGTCTTGATTGGCAAAGGCTGGGGAAACCATGGCGACCAGAGAAGCGCTGAGAGACCTGACAAGCATACGCTCCGCCCCTGTCCAAAAACTCTCCCTAAAACTCCTAAAATCAGACTAGGGCTTAAATACTTAACAGTCTTTAGCCTCCCTTCTTCGCTTTGCCCATATTTTCAATCACCTTGCCTGAATTATATTGCATTTCTTGCAAACTCTCAAAAACTTGCACACTGGTTTGTATGCATTCAGCCTGATAAAAGAACTGCCTTCAAAACCCAACTCTGTGACCCTGGCATCATTCACCTTCACCAGAGCAAAGATTATTTTAAGTCCTTCCTCAAAAGCCACCCTATCTTTGATACTCCCCCCCCCTCCACGCTAAGAATTAACTGTTCGATAATATGTATATTAACCTAGAAGTAGTCCCGGGGAATCCATTTCTTGGATAATGGATTTCCACTGGATCAAGTGGATTTCCATAAGGGATTTCCACTGGATCAAGTGAGATTGAAGATTACATTTTACTGGCTTAAATCAGTGTCTCAACTAATTAACTTCTCTGCTTTTGGGATATGGTAGTGGTGGTTTAACTTTGAATCAGTCTTGAACCTTAAATGCCTTGCTGGCCTCGATTCTATGTTCATTGCACAAGTGCCTTTGGGTTAAAAAAAAAAATCCATACATTAAATCATATTTTATTTGGGGCTATTCTTTATCATCTATCCCCAGAAACACTGAAAGTAACCATCTCCTCACACAAAAAGAGTTTGGACTTGCCTTCTGCAATTTGAAAATTGATGAATGGGGTATTTTTCTACCTGTGGTACTGACTTTTGTTTTGCATTATTATATTAAGACTTCATTTTTATCTTAATTATGTAACTAGCAGCTCGACATGATCTTGATTAGAGTAGCATATTAGCCCTGTAAATCAATTAATCAATCTCCAATTAATATTAATAATATAAATTCAGAAACCTCTCCAAAGTGTTCACAGGTATAAATAGTGTTACATGCATGCATGAATATGTACAAGTCTATCTTACAATGTGCTGTATCTGGATAAAAATTAACATTCCAAAACCTGTCCACTAAACAATATTATGTGATACTTAGATAATAAAGCATTACCTTTTTCACCATCAGAAAAATAAACACTTTTTCTATGGAAGAAACCTTTTATGTGGGAAGGTTAGTTGACAGTTTAAGATTTGCCAGATCAATTTTGTGTGGAACTAAAAAAGAAAGAGGCCTTCTGGAATTAGTGAAATATAATGTGTAATGTAAATCAACTCAGTTGCAAACTGGAAAGGCAAAACCTGCATATACATCAACTTTCCCCAGTGCGGCATTGAAAAACCCATCGTTTACTTAGGGTGTTGTTATCCCATACGTCTGAGACCAACTAATGCAGATTAGCAGAGAAGAAATCTGGAGCGCATCTTTTTTCACTGGGAATCTCCTCCTTTCGCAAATTTACACCTTTACCTGTGCAGCAGGATGCTCTGCACCGAGTCTAGGTCTTCTAAATTCCGAGGTAGCGGCCTGGGGATTCTCTGCTTCGTAGCGTGGAACATGGTGCTGAAGAAGTAAGCGCCTCTTCATTAGCTGCCTCCAAAACGGCGTCCGCAGTATTTATCGAGTTTAATGTAGGACCTTTCGGATCATTCCCCCTAGGCAAAAAATAACAGCTAAGGGAAGGAGCAATGTGGAAATCGAAAGCTATAATGCTTAACAGCTCCTGCCGGCTGCCGGGAGAGTTTGAGAAAAACTACGCTCCGGTGTACGGAGCCTCCGCTGAGCTCCGCCTCCTTTAAAAAGTCTCGATTTACCGTAACGATTTTTCTTGAGGATGTCAGATTGTCTGTAAGCACGAAAGAAGTTTAAGCTTCCGCGCTCATACAGAAACTCTTCTGCAGGTTTAAAAAGAAAGAAAAGAAAGCCCATTTTTCTAGCTCAGTGTTTCTGAACCTTGGCAACTTTAAGACGCGTGGACTTCAACTCCCAGAATACCCCTGGCTGGGGAATTTTGGAATTGAGGTCGACCCGTTTTAAAATTGCCAAGATTCAGAAATACTGCCTCTAAAAACACAGGTGGGAACCTTTCAGTCCTGTCCTTCTTATATTACGCTCCTGAGTCTTAAAGACTTCCCAAACTTTGTTAATTTAGTACCTAGTGCTTTAGGGATTAGGGGAAAATCATCCTGGTGATCCAAAAAAAGATGCAAAGCAGTGTAACCAAGTGATAGGACCATCGCGGGGACTCTCAGTTATAAATATATCAGAACCTACAAAAATCACCTCTCTCATTTCTTTCACATGGCATTATTTAATGCTATATACAAATACTTAAACACAACTGATTTTAGCATGATACATCAATATGTTTTATACAGTTTCATTTATTATTGTATACATAGGAATAGGTATAAACCTGATAGGAATCCTTGGCTAATCTCATTTCATCTGTGTACCATTTCTACTGATTAAGTAGACAAATTCCTTGTGTGTCCAATCACACTTGGCCAATAAAGAATTCTATTCTATTAATTTGCATTTACACAATTTATTAGATTTGATATTTCACCTTTCATTGAAGAACTATAGGTGGTACTCACATCTCTCTTCCTTGGCAATAATCTTGTGAAGTAGGTTAGACTGAAAGACACCCAGCAAGCTTCCATAGGTAGACTAGGACCTGGAACTCCCTGTTAAACTTAGAATTTGCGATAGTGGCAAATATCTGTAGCTTGGGTGTAGGATGAGGGTAAAGGGTCATTCTCCGAACTTATGGGTTGGTTGGTAATGTTTCAATACCAGGTTAGGTAACATTTTAGGCAGAATTTAGGGAGTGTCAGTGTTGGTGTTCTTCTGCTTAAAAAGGTTTTGTGTGGTCAGGAGGTCTTGTGATGGGAGAGTCAAGTCAGGTATGGGTCTGCTGATGGGTCTGGTGATGGGGAGGCCACATCAGGTGAGAGTCATTGGGAGGTAAAGTCCTTGTGGGGGTGGTGGGGGTTGTGGGGGTTGGTTGAGGGTCGGTGGCATCGCTGGTTAGTTGTGTGGTTGATTTGAATTCTCAAGGTTCATAGACTGGTTATAAGTTGATGTGCCTTGCACTTCACAAGCAATTCCATCAACAAACACTTTGACGCATGAGAGAGGAGGGGGGAGGAGAGATTAATTTGACTGAATAGAAATTTCTTTAAAAATTTCAAATATATATTGATTTGTTTCTGATTTCTATAAAATATATATGTATGGCCTATTTAATGCACTCAGCATAAAGCAGTAGATAAAGTAAAATAACAAGAACAAAGAACAAAGCATGACTCCAGTTATCAATGCTATACATATATGAATATCTGGCAATTGCCTTATGTCCAAATAAGGAAATTAAAAGTATTAATATAAATGAAGCAGAATATCTGTTAATGTAAATTGCAGATGAAAATATTGTCATTATATCTAAAGCCCTACAACTTCCAATTTTTAAAAAAGTTTTGAATTAGTGTCTATCGATAATAAGAAATCAGAGTTACTGTGTGCTCATACTTCCTGTAACATATAAACATTATCTAATCTAATGGACTTTCTCTTACCTTTTAAGAAAAAAAGATACCTAGGAGTCAATAAATCAAAATATTTGATTCTCCTATATTAGGACACACCCTGTGTCCTAATATGGGAGAAAAGAATTGTTTGAGTAAGTAGTTAATACTTATTTAGCAGTACTCAAAGCCAACTCAATCATTTGTTATACGTATCATTTATACGTATAAAGGGAATACGTATCTAATATTAATAATAATATTATTAATAATAATGTGTTGACAGCAGTGATAATTGTATTCTCATAATATTGGAAAAATAAAGATACCCCTACAGATGAAAAGATAATTAGAAAAATCTCGGACTGTGCGGAGATGGATAGATTGACATTACAAATAAAAGATAAGGAAGAAAGAGAATATTTAATAACATGAGACTTGTTTTATCAGTGGATAAAAGACGTAGAAATTTATTGTTATGTAAAAGTAAATGAGGAAAGATTATTACTAAATATAAGCAAATATCATTATTGTTATTATTATTACTAGAACGACTACTATGATCTTATATAAGTAAATGGACTCAGAATACATTGTTGACTAAGCACTTATGTATAGTAAAGGAAAAAATGTATCAATAAAAATAAAAAAAACAATATAGAAAAAAAATCTAGTTTTCACAGTGTGGAAGAATATTTCATATTAAATGATAAGCAGAAGTACAAGAAATGCATAAAAATATACTTCACAGAGGATGCTTTAGACAGTACATAGTCTGACTGTTCTTTTTCTTATTTGATACTTGTTCAGTTTTATTCTGGAGAAGATATAAAATAAAACAATTGTTCTTTCATTTAAGGTGATCTCTTATACTTCATAAATGTTAATTAAAATATATTTTAAAATCTCACAAGCAGCATTTACTTAATATATTCCTTTGGTATTTTTTCCCCACAATTCCATGGCAAAACTGCAAATAACTATTATTACTTGAATGAACATTGCAAGAATGTTGCATAAAACAAACTAGCTTGAACTAAAAAGGCTAAAAATAAGATATAAGGGTCTAATTAGTAATTTGTTTTCACGGTGGCCAACCAACTGCAGAAATCCTAGTAGTCTATCGGCTAATGGCCCTCAGAGAGTCATATTGCCATCCAGCTAATAGTCATTGATATCATGATTTCCATGAATTGGTTCAATCCTTTTTTGAAGTCAGCCACGCTGGAAGCCATCATCATGTCTCATAATAGCAAATTCTATAAATTTAATTACATGTTATATAAAAATATTTCTTTTTGTCTGTCCTGATTATTCCAAGATTCAGTTTCATTGGATACCCCCTGGTTCTGATATTTTGGGAAGGGGAAAATAGCTTCGCTTTGTCCACTTTATCCACACTATGTATAACTTTATGCATGACTTTGGAACTTAAAGATAAGAACG